GAAGACTCTTTAATTATTCTAAAAGAAGAAAGATGGAGCCGTTCTCTAAGTACAAGCGAGGCAATAAAGTGGACTCGCGGATATCTTTTCTCTGTGGGGTGCCTGCGTCTGCTCAGAGGGAGTAACCTACATCCACTCTCCCCTGTCATCAGCGACACACCACAGGGTCATTCATAATTCAGCATCGAGCTCCAGCCGAAACAGAAGAGGCACTGTGGAGACACAATTACCCGCCTCTCATGCCTCCACACGTCCGTGTGGGCTTGTGCAAAGACACAAAGGCTCACATACAGGTGATGGCATTTCCCCGGCAACGAGTCCGGTGCTGAGGAGAGAGGATTGGTCTCGTCACGCCCCAAAAATGACCGCTGTGTCGTGCTCGTGATTTTACACGTGTTGCCCACATCTGCAGGAGCCCGTTTCTCATCACCGAGCACGAGGTTTTCAGCTTCATTATAATCACAAAACATCCTGAATGTGTCCATTCCATCCAATGTTTTGTTTTTAATTGAGTTTCACTGTGCCATGATTTATTAAACACTCATCAGGTTGACTGGATACAGAATATTGACATGCACACATTTGCATGTGCAGGGAATATATTTCTGTTGTCCTTAATTGTGACATATTTGGCCTATTTGAAACTGTTGCTGCAGAGAGGCATCCACACACAGAGGCTGTAAGGTCTACCGTACAAACTCATTTAAAAAAAGAAAAGCACATTCTCATATTTGTTTTTGGACAATAGACGGAAACGCATTCTAAATGAGAAACTGTTGCCGTTACACAACATGTTATCAAGAGAATAAGCCGAAGATCACGGCATCAAGGAGCAGTTTGCAGGTAAGTAGCCGAGGGCAAAAGACGTATTGATGCGCCTCAATTCCTCCTGAGAAAACCGCTCTGAGAGAAAATAGATCTTTAAACACGTGTCCGTGGCTCAGCAGCGTGTTAAAGCACTGGGTAGCATCGGTTAGCACTGGTTAGCATTGGTTAGCACTGGGTAGCACTGGGTAGCACAGGCAGTCATAAGGTAAGCAGCGACATGTTGAGTACAAAATCCTCACCTCTAATCAAAAATGTCCTCATAAGTCCTCAAGCTCCAAGAAAAATAACATTACACTGATCCCTCGTACTATTATGAAGGACCACGGCTGAAGCTGTTAAAGCTTTTAATAGATATTTCCTGCTATTTATTCTTGGCCGGTTATTAAAGGTTTGCATATAGCAGAGTGGAGTAATAATAATAACATTAATAATAACGAGAGTATAAAGTTTGTTCTATGTTCTACCTTTGCTTTATTCATGTTGACTCGGTTTGATCTCAGTGAGTTTCAGCTCTTCTTCTTCGATACCACATGATGCTTATTCATTAAAAGTTGGTCCTGTTTAGAGTGAAATGCATAAAGCAAGGCGGGCTTTGGGTCAGGCTCCCTGAGATTCACAGGTTGTTGCCATGATGTTTGGACTTGTGTCATTCCCTTAAATCACTCGGCAAACCCTGCTAGTTGTAGCGTTTATTCACTGAGACAGTGTGAAAGAGGAAACACCGATCAGTGGCATCGACTGAAACCCTTTGAGTCCACCGGAGCTAAAGACGGGCATCAGACATCTCTCCTAAACCACCAGCTCGCCCTTCAAATCACATTTTCCCTCTTTTCTCTGGTCCCTCCACATCTCATTGGTGCTCCCTCACCGGGACATTAAAAACCGAACCCTCCTGTTGTTTGAAGGTCACTTTCATTTCTTTGTATTGACAAACGAGGGAGACGGGGATCCAATGTAAATCAAACAGCCGCTCTCTTACAACATTTGGGGGGGGGGGAGACACGGCGCCGACCGCCAGAAGAAGATTTGAGCAATTTGCACATGATAATACATGTGAACGTCTCCATCGCAAAGGGCCCAGAGTGCCGGGCCGAGGCAGGTTTCTGTCTCATCATCCAGCCAGGCGGAACAATGGGAGCACACAGCGTGATAGAGGTCTTCCTCTCGCCCCCCCATCTCCTCTCGCCCCCCCCCACCACACCACCAAGAACTTCTACTACTTCATTTTACGATTTTTTTTTTTTAGCAATTTCCATTCAATTTCCAAGTGATAATTTGTTTACTTGTTTTTTTTTCACTCAAAACCTTTTTGTTTTTGTTTATAGCTCGTGAGAAGGTACGTTTGATTAATAAAAGTGCATTTGGCTAATTGGCTCCAAATGGGGGGGAGATTGGTGCCACCTGGGTTGAAGTGGCACGAGTCCCACAGATGGTCCACGCGGTGGAAACGGTCTGGAACCAACGTGAGGCCGCTTGGTCTGTTGGAGGTGTGATGGTCGATAGTTTGTGTACCAGAAGGTTCCACTCCCTCGTCTGAAATAAATCCCTCTTTTTGGTTCTTTCAGGCTGGTAAGGAAATCCATCAAACTTATACATTAGCCCGTTATTTTTCTAAACCTTTTTTCTATAAATTCACAATCTAAATCTAAATAGTCATTATTATTCAAATGATGTTTTCCTCAAATCCGAGGGCTTTGTTCTTGTATCACTTATAGTCTGAATTATACACATTCTTTAATGCACGTTGACATTCTTTTTTATTTCATGGCTGTTGTTGGAGTGAAAATGCAGGTACGGAGAATCAAAGTGACTTTAACCCGTGTTCAGAGTTCTGTTCTGGTGACGCTTACAAACCAACACGTATAAAATAAGATAACGTCTCGTTTGCATATTCACACGTTGTTAGAAACCGTCAATCAGCCGGGAAGGTTTATGGTGATATCTATACAATAACTGTTTTATCCCATTGATGCTGCTGGTCGATTAAACGTGTCCTCATCTTGATGTCGGGTTGAACTCATTTCACGTATCTTTTCGTTTTTAAAGGGATTAATCTGGACCACTCCTGCAGACCCGGCAGACGGGTGTTCAGCACGGAGCGTTCCTGCAGACACGAAGCTCCCGCTGAGCTTCGAATTGAGACCCGCCCGGAGAGCCGCGCACGTTTCATTATCGGCTCGACGCTCGCTGAGAGACGTCCGGGGCCCCAAAGGCCTCACGCCATCACGTGACCTCCCCTGGTTCCTGGTGATAAAGGCAGTTTTTCTGTTCATTTGCTTGTTAAAGTGAGTTAAATTGTTGAAGGATATCGTGTTTAATTATCACACAGCCCTGGAGTGCGTTTGTGTCTTAGATCTTTGCATTATTCATCTTGTGACTGTAAACCATCGACTCGGGGTCCCTCACCGACTCTCCCCATAAGCTTGATCTTTTTCTCACACTGACACTAATTAGATGCTTTAACCGTCATTTAAGCTGCCCGTCCGGAATGTGTGCCGCGTGCATCGCGGCAGCCAGCGGGTGAAAGGTCACCCTCCTGGGGGCACTGAACGCACATCTCAAACTCGAGTACGCTTTAAAAGGATACGTCACACACACACACACACTAACCGCCCACTCCGCATGGTTCATTAATTCCAATTTGCACTGCCGTGGCCTCCCCTCCCACACTCACGTCCTCTGATGGGGCGCAGCAGAGCCGCGGATATGGGAGTCAAAGAGGGGGCCGATGTGATGGAGGGCGACTCGCCGCTCAGTTGTTTAGCCATTTACACAACCGGGCGACGCAGTGCCAGCAAACTCCGCCCGGACCCGGCGAGCTGCTCACCAAGAAGGTTTCACAAAGGATTCAAGCGTAGTTTGCGTCATTTGTAGCGCCATAGTTTGCGTGTTCATGTAGTTTCACCTGCCGTCAACATAAAGATAGTGGATCTTGTGTGACTGTAGAGTTTTAATCTACAGTTTATACAATTTGTTATTCAAGTTGTTCCCTCTCTATTCAAATATATTCATTTCAATCCTTTGACTCTCGTTCCTGGGGATCCTTTTTCCTTTTTTACAGTTGGATTACAGTCGTTCATCCTCGGTGCAGCAGCTCAGCTCAAGAGTCCGGCCAGCGGTTGCTAATTATAACAGAGACGCTCCACAGATGTAATTGCCGTTATTCTTCTTTTATTTGCCATCGAATGAGCACTTGATCCATATTTCATGGAATGTCAGCGCTCCGGGGAGAGATACTTTTGAATACAGCTCACGTGTGTGTGTGTGTGTGTGTAGCAGCCTCACGCCGTCAGTCATTCATCCCTTCTAATTAGACCACGGCGGTAAAGCGACGTGTGTGTGTGTGTGTGTGTGTTGCTCCTCCGTGGTTAACGGCTCCGCCGAGGCTGCGTTTTCTGCTCCACGTTATCTGGAGCCGCCGCAGAGACCCTGATCCCGTTAATAAAAGCATCAGCCTGGTGATTGGCTATCGACTCGGGTCAGACGGGCCTGATTGATCGATCAGACGGGTTAATTCTGTGTGCTGAGGGGGGAGACGGGGAGGGGGAGACGGGGAGGAGGAGGAGGGGGAGCAGGGGGGAGGGAGGGATGCTGGAACTCAGTCACCTGTTAAAACAACAGAATACAATATTCCCCCCCCCCCCACTTCGCCCCACACAACACGCACACAAACACACAGTATGTGTGAACATCCACTGAGTTCTAATGCATATGTGTGCAAATACACACCCACACATCCCCCCTCCCTATCAACCACACGCACACACACGCACACACACACGCGCACACACGCACACACACACACACGTATGAATGCATTTCACATGTGTGTCATAACGTTATGCTTAATAAGAATACACTCAATTTAACTTCAAGTTCAAGGCATTTTTATGCCGGATCATCCCCTGTTGAACGTGAACAACACACAGACACACAATCTCTTTCACACACACACACACACAATCTCTTTCACACACACACACACACACACACACACGTTGTCGGTAAAGCATCGTCACACAGCTTCTGAATTTTTATGATGGGCAAACAAAGATGATGAAAGTGAAGCCCGCTGTTGGTATTGTTGAGCTTGTAGCAAATATGCTCACATAAGAATCGCAAACACACCGAGGAACACACAGGATGTGCGCTGAGACACACACACACACACACACACACACACACAGGGAGTATAAAAGGGGCATCCTTCCCACTCACCAGAGAAGTGCTCTGCTTACTCTCACACAGTCTGACACCGAACCTCTTTCCTCAAGGTAAGGAAACCGCTACTTCTCTATTTAACTCTCTATTTAACGTCGCTTTACTGGATGGGTTTAATTCTGGGGAAATGTCGGTTATTATTTAGAATGAAACTGGGATTCAGACATGAATCTATAGTTTAGTCCAAAAATTGAAAGATCAAACATTTTAACATTTTGTGTCGATTCTACCTTCATTTTATCGTACGGTGGAAAAGTAGAATATAATAATAATAGTAATAAAATACGTCACATTTTGTTGAGGTTTGGATTTGAAATGACATGTTATGTTATAACAACTTTTTCCTGTGCAAACATTGGTGGAAAAGAGACAATCTGGTTTTCACTTAACCTGCTGAAACGGAGACGGTGGCGCCCCCCCCCTCCCCCCGACTCCCCCCCTCCCCTCTGCCCCCTTCGGGTGTCAGATGGAATTCTGCTGTTTCTGATTCATGTTATGATTCATTATTTCTGAGCAGCTGCAAAGGAGCAGTGGTCCAGGCAGATGGGCTCAGAGATCGTTTCTCAGTGAGGATCTCACGTCCATTTCACCCCCCCCCCCCCTCACCCTCCCTCCCCCCTTCCTCTCTCGCTGTGCGTGCTGTAGATGGCTGCAGGGCTGTGTGTGTGTGTCGTGCTGTTGGTCTTGTGTACGAGCTGTTTGGGGCTCCCCTTCTCCTCCCAGCCGCTGGACGACGGCCACCGCTCCGCATCCGTCGCCTCTGAAGGTATTTATTTGTCACTGCGGGGGGGGGGGGTGCACCTGTGTGTCACTCTACCTTTCCCTATCTGACATGTTGTGTGTGTGTGTGTGTTGAGCAGCTCTCCTTGAGGGTGTCACCCGCTCCTTGGGGGAGCCCCACGTCCAACACAGCCGCACTGCCCCCCAGCTGAAAGCTATGGGCGAGGAGGATGCGGACCCCCGGGCCAACCTCAGCGAGCTGCTGGCAAGACTCATCTCGTCCAGGAAAGGTGTGTATATGTGTGTGTGTGTGTTACTTTGCATCATCCTCGCGGCACCTGCAGGATCTTGAAGGATATTAAGGGAGGGGGGGGCAGTTGTTTTATGCGTGCAAAAAAAATCTGGTAATTACGTATTCGTGCAAAATAGGTTCATTATCAGAGACAAGTGCCCCCCCCCCCCGATGTGGCTAATTACTGGAATCAGCACACAGCCAGCTTTGTAAAATGAATTAGTGGGTTTCAAAAGCTTTTGTGGTTTGGAAGAGCGCGTATTAGTGTGCGATGCCTTCCGGCCATTCGCCTCAGTACCATCGCTCACCCCCCCCCTTCGACCCTCCCCCCCCCTCCCCCCCCGATCGGCCTCCAGTGGCTCCTTTTTCTTCTTCTTCTCCTCCTTCAATGCGAAGAAAAAAAGTAGTTCCTCATGTTCTGATCTCTCTGGCTGTGTGCACGTCTCTGACACAGCGCACACACAGACACACACACACACACACACAGACACACACTCAACATGAATTCCAGAGGTTTCACGCGTCCACGTCTCTGAAACTGAAGACGTGTGGAACGTTTCGACGCGGCGTCACAAACGCTCCGAAGAAAAGTTAGGAGCCACATTCGCATATTGCACGTAAAGTTTATGACCCGCTGTTGCATAAGCGTCCGCGGCAACACGACCAAATGACTCATCCGGGACGGCGTCGACTGTGAAAGGTCAAAGGTCGCACTGGAAATCGACACGCGATCCCTGAGGGGAAGGTGTGCGCGTTGTGTTCGGCCGTGCGCGTCCGTCCGTGGGTGTCGGTGTTCGTGTGCTCGCTGCTCGCGTGCACGTTTCCTTGTGGGAGGTGTCGTTGGCGAGACTCCTGCAGCCAATCTTCCCAGCACGCCGGGGAAATTGTGTGTGCGTGCGTGTGTGTGTGCGTGCGCGTGTGCGTAGGAGGTTGTGGGTGGAGTGAAAAACGCATCTTCTCCAGCGTTCAAATGATCAGCGAATTATCATCCCTGCTCCTGCTTCAGTGGCACAGAGGCCCAGTTGGTGCACGTGGAGGCCGCACAGTCGGAAATGTGCGGTTACACAAATAGTGTGTTATCACCCAAAAGACCAGCTGGTGGTGAAACGTCTCCAATTATTGTGGTCTGGTGAGAACGCGAGATGAATAACGAGACAAGGAGACGGATGAAATGTCCAAGAAAGCAAAAACACAAATCCTCTTCAGCACAAAAAGCACAAAGTAGTGAAAAGTGTCATTTGGTAAGAAACTCAAATAACTGCTAAACTCCAAAAGCGATGACATATTATTCAGTTTAGAAGCATAAACACATTTTAGCACATGTGAGAACATCAATTTCTTCCTTTCTCGCCCACAACTGCGACCAGGGTTTAATAACAGAATTTTTTATTTAAATAAAATAAGAGAAATTAATCCCAGACGATAAAATAAACCCATTCCCTCTGTTATTTAACCACATTTCATTTTTAAAACGAGCTCTCTCCAACTGTCTCGGGAACAATCCACCGCAAAGACGGAAAGGTTCTTTTCTTCCTCGTCTTCTTCAAACTCTGAGGAATACTAACCTCCACCCTGCTCTGTTCCTCCTCCACCCACTCTTTCCATCACCCCCCCCCCCCCCCTCCTCCTCCTCCTCCTCCTCCTCCTCCTCCAAGGTTCTGTGCGTAAAAACTCCACAGCCAACAGCAGAAGCAGCGGACTGAGCACCAACCACCGGAAAGCCGACAGGGACTACTTGGGCTGGATGGACTTCGGCCGCCGCAGCGCGGAGGAATACGAGTACTCCTCGTAGAAGCGAGTCCCGGCTCGGACCTCGGCGTAAACAAGGATGAGAAAAAGACAAAAAAGAAACCCGTGCAAGCTGGCTCCCCCACTGTCTCGTAATAAAGAGTCGATTTATGATGTATTTGTTGTACATTTGTTTGTAAAACTGTAACAATGCAATATACATATGCCAAATTTCGCAGAAAAGCTCTCAGTGTCCAAGGTTTGTTCTGTTCCTGGTTTCCTCTACTTTCTTTATTTTGAGATCTGTTGGGACTCACTGGACTGAATAAAGATTGGAAACATCACACTCTGCTCACGAATTATTCCAACACAACAGCCCGCTGCTTAAATCAGATCCGTTAACATTCACCGGGTGTCAAAAAGAGGATTATCAGCGGCACTGAAAGTCGGCTACGTCCTTCACTTGTATTAAAATTGCTGGAGAAAATTATTCCGTTCGGCAAGGAACTGTGTTTTGTCCGGAAGCATGAAGGAATATGTGACGCACGTGTCTCTAATCACACGACTCTTAAGTGGCTTTGTTGCCTAAAGTCCTGAAGACGAAAGTTTACTTTGAAAATGAATGAATATCCAGAATTCCCCAATGAAAAGACTAGATTCGGCTTCAAGACCCGTTTCAGATTTGTTTTTACGCCGTGAAAGCTGTGATGAATCAGAGCAGATTACCTGTTGTGTCGATGGAGTCTGTCTACCACTTTATGGGATTTCTCCCTGTTGTATTTTTGCTTTACATCTTGAACAAATAGAATAGTTTGCAAAGAAAGACGTCAAATGGAACGTTTCTCTCCAAGAAAGATGCAGATCCCCGAAGAAACGGGTTGCATCTAATTAAGTAAATGTTTTAAATGTCCACAGCTACAATATTACTTCAAACTTCTTGTGCCAGAGGCCCGGGTCTCGATGGCTGCACCGCGGTGGATTGTGGGTAACGATGAAGGTAAAGGTGTCTGACGCTGAGATGAAGGGTCAACGTGCAGATGAAAGTCAGCGGCTGCTTCATTCAAGAGGAAGAGGAACCCGAACATCTAAAGGACGGCAACAGCCTCAACGTGTGAGCATTGAAACGGTTTCGACGGGTGCGGAGGAGCTGACGTCCGTTTAAATTATTGAAGCGGGCTCGAAATTAATCCCAATAATAGCTTTTGGCTGCGATGGCGGCCTTTTACAGTGATCTGGTGTGAAGAAAAGGTTTTAAACTCAGATCAGATCCGATGACGCTGCATCGGCCCATTTGGACGTTTTGCTGTTTTGTTTGTTTTTCTGACATGATTCAAATCAACGAGAGCACGGAAAGAGGGTGCAACCTGCACACGGTGTTAGTGAGGCAGAGAGGAGGAATCCGCGGCGGTGCTGAATTGTGATGGAGAGGCTCGTCATGCTGCTGCGGGGCCGGCGTGTTAAGTGAAAGATGTGTCTCTGAGTGAGCGAGCGCTGCAGCGAGGGATCGATGGGCCGAGCAGACCTGGTGAATTATTCAGAGAAGTGGCTTTGGACGCCTTAGGGAGGCACAGAGGGTTTGCTGTCTGTTTATGTGTGTGTGTGTGTGTGTGTGTGTGTGTGTGTGTGTGTGTGTGTGTGGCATCGAAGACACCGGTCTGGATCGAGGATGCACTTGAATCAGGCATTTGAAGGGTTGAGATTCTGAGAGGCGCCGCGGGAGTTGAAACTTTGTTTTTAAAGATCTGAGGCCGAACTTGAGAGTTAAAACGCTTTGAGAAGGTTAAAAGGCTTCATTGGGGAGCCAGTAAATGCCTCCACTGAGTGTGTGTGTGTGTGAATCAACAGATGTGCAGATGGGGATATCCGCCAGCGGGCAATGATGCAACGAAGAGGGAAAAACGAAGTCCAGGTGCAGCGCGGGACGAGGAGCGATCCGGCCACCCGATCACGCACAAGTGGCAGTGTTTTTTTTTTTTTTTGTGTGCGCTGGAAGGAGGACATGAAAGGAGCACCGGCTTCTGTCATGTGACGAAGACGCCGGCGGCGGCGGTGAGGAGCAGATGGTCCGAGGTCTCCACGGACCCTCTTGTGAAAGTGGCTCGGCCCGTCCCGTTTGACCTCGGGTTCAAAGGCCTCCTGCTGCCGCGTGCACCGAAAGCAACCCGGGAATCCAAAGCTGATTGCGATGAATCACCTCACCAAAATGTTACGGCGAGAGGACAAAACGTCCTCAGCGAGAGACGTCGGGGGACATTTGAAGTTTTATCTCATTTCTTCGCATTAAGGCTCCCCGGCACCTGTCAGCCACCCGGCGGCCGGCGGGGGGGTTTAATAAGCCGCCCTCATCATGTCCCTGGGAGAACGAGCTGCAGATGGAGGATGGAGAATGGGTTACGACTCTGCCAAACCGCCCGTACTCTGGTTACTAGTGAGCTCCACCTGCTGGCGGAGGGCGAGGGCGGTGGCCCCCCCGGCCTGGGACTCGTCTGTTCACGTCTCGTCGAGGGGAAACAAAGACGACTCAGTCACTGTTTGATCACAGAATGTTTATTTGCAAAAGAAATACCCCCCTTACATGTTCGCCCACGACGTGGTGCTGGAACGATTGCCTCAGTGGGCCTCTACTGACGATTGTGTGGCGGTGAGCGGTACGGACGGCGAGCACACGACAGGTTAAATTCACAGGATTGATTTAAATAAATAAATACGGTTAGCCAGCCTTTGTCCAACACAAGAACAAAACAAATCAAAAACAGATGGTCGAGGCACTGAATTGCTTCATTTATCCGAAAGCTTCCGACCACAATGGCTGATGGGCCATTCCCCCCCCCCCCCCCCGCCATCGCTCTGCGTGGCCTCGGTGCATCGATCCGCTCAGTGGGCGCCTCAACATGCTGTCTAATGGCCAATTAGGAAACTAACACTTAAAAACCCATGTCATGATTTGTTGAAAGCGACATGTCGGACTCACGCTTAACTAGTTCGAGAGGGATCCGGGGGGCAAGTATGTTTATGCGTTTGGTGACGTTTCGATTCATTTATAAAATGGTGGATTTTGATCCAGCGACGGAGAAGCAGAAGGTTTCGTGCTACAGAGACAGTCGCCAAATAGTGTGTTGGCAGAGTGCAGCGGTCAGGATGCGAGTGGGGTTTAGTGGGAGAACTACATCCAACCAGCAGAGTCAGTCTCCAAAGCAGCCATGTCAAAATTACACACCCACCCACAAATATATATATATATTATACACACATATCTATTATTTAAGGGTCAGTTTGCCCAATTACATGAATTCAATTGTGTTGAACCAGACAGAAGTGAGCAATCATCAGCACGAATGAAGACTTGCTTAACGCTACGTGTGAGTATATGTTTTAAATGCTTCATTTTTAGGCTGAATTACGTTTTTTTAATTAACCTGAAGCTTTAAAATATGCAATAAGTCAGCCAGCCGTGCAGTGAAATGTCTGCAGGTGCCTTTCAACACACAGCTTGCGATAATCCTTTGATACCCTGAACCCTACGGTTTAGCCCGCTAGCTGCAGTTAGCCTTTTAGCCATAGAAATAAAATAGAAGTAGGTTCCCCATTGAAATCGATGTAGCCGGACATTTTTGTAAGTGCGCGGTTGCCGTAGCAACCGCCATAGCAGGCTCATTTCCATTGTTCTCACCGGCGCTTAGCGCGTCTTTCAGAGGGCGTGAAGGAAGCACAGCAGCGACGGGTCAGCGGTGTGAAAAGTGCGGCTCGGTGTCTCGGGCCCTTTCATGGCCGACTACTCCGGGGGCCCCGGGCCTTTCATGGCCATGCTGGCCCCGACCGCGGCCGGATAACTCCGGTTCCTCCTCATTCCGTCGGGCCCGAAAGGGGAGCCGGATCTGCGCAGCCCTCCCAGGGGCCCCAGGATGGGTCCCGGGCTCATCGCTCTGCCCCCCGGGCCCCCGGCCACGCCCAGCCGCTTCACCTTGTCCAGCAGGTTCAGGTTGTGCACGGTGACGCTGACGTCCGTCTGGCTTTCGCAATCCTTCCCCCTCTGCCGGCCCCTCATCCTCCCCGTCACCTCCTTCAGGATGGAGCGGGCCGGTTCGGAGGTCAGGAAGTTGTCGTAGGAGGGGCTCTTGAAGTCGAAGCCCGCCGACGTCGGCGCGGCCAAAGCTTCCTCCCCGGCGGGCGAGCTGAGCGGGGTCGGGCGGCGCAGAGGGTCGCGGTGGGGCGCTCGGTTGGGGGCGACGGAGGTGCTGAACAGGACTCCTCCGCTGCCCTGGCCGTACTCCAGGCCCTGGCTCTGGTGGTACACGGCCGCTGAGATCCCCCTCTCCTGGAGGAGGCGCACCAAGCCCAGGGAGGTGCTGGTGGTGCGCGTCGCGTCCCTGCACGAACACGGCAAGCCAAGGACAGTCAACATCACCATGTGGATTATGTGGATACCAACAACACGTGTACATGAAGTTAACTTCTACTTTTACAAAAGTAACCGAGCAACAGTCGACACTTTTTCTCACAGTGGAAACAAAGCAGCTGAGAAATAACTGATATACGTGCCTGAGGTTAGTTGAGGACTCGGAGGGCCTGAGGCCGAGCCGGCGGGGCGCGCAGGGTGTAGCGGCCGGAGTTCCCAACAGGCTGCTGGTCATCACGCAGGAGGACGACGTTGGGACTGAGTTCAGACTGGGAAAAGAGAGGCGAATTAGAAACGACACTCACCTCCATGACATCTGACTTCTGGGTTTGGCTTCTCTGGACCACGAGCGCCACCTGACTTTGGTAAATCGGCCCGTTGGCTGAATGCCGTTTGCGTTTTAAACATCCAGCGGGATTTTGTGAAATCTTTGTTGAGGAAATTAAAGAACATAAAGGAAGTGAAATGGCCACAAAGGGCTGATCAAACATTCTCAAGCAGCAGCGCGTCGCTCACCTCGGCGTGACCCGCGTCAGCTCATCGGTCGGGTGGAGGATCCGACACGTTGTGAAGGTGTAGGTGGAGCTGGTGTGGGCCATGGATTTACCTGGGAAGTATCCAGCTGCAAATAAAAGGCAAACGCGTCGCATAGATACATTTATCGTGCATCAATATACTATAATAATAATAATAATAATAATAGCACAGCGTGTCCTCACCCAGGACGTCGGTGTTGCTGAGATGTGGCGATGGGGACGGGGAGGGCGGAGACGGTGGAGCGAGGCTGGGCGGAGGGGGGCAGAGGTCTGACTCCCCCGTGCCGGAGGGGGCGGAGGGCGCGGCTGGCGAGGCGGCGGCGGCGGCGGTGGGGAGATTCTGGAAGTACTGGTCCCCTGGTTCCTCCTCCTCGAGGCCGCCCCACGGACACACCTGGGGACGAGGAGGACGGGTCATTGCAGCGCTGCATCAACCGTCACAAGAAGTATCACGCTAAGTTATAACATAGCTTTTGTATCTAAGTCATCTTAATATGGTTGTTTTAGTCAAATGTAATTAAAATGTTAGAGGATCGCAGAAAAGTTACATTTATAAACATCTGATCCGATTTCTGCCAATAGATTTCCATTGACGCTGCGCCTTCATATGGAGATGGAGCACATACGTGGGACTTGATTCCCTCCGTAGTAAAAAACTGTGGTTAAAATAACATTTATACTCTCGCACGAATTCTGCTGCACACACACACACACACACACACACACAGACACAGACACACACACACACACACACACACACACACACACACACACACAGACCTGGTCCAGCTCCAGCTCGAGGGGTCTGTAGCCCTTCGGCACGACTCCCGGCCTGGCGTCCAGGATCACACCGAGGTGCGGCTGGGCCAGCTGCTGCCAGTGGTGCAGCGTGGCGGAGCCTGGTGGAGACACACACACACACACACACACACACACACACACACACACACACAGCACTCATGACTCATGACACCGCTTCTCATATCGGCCGTCATTTAAGGGTTTTGAGATGTAAAGACAGCTTTGTTCACAACGCGTCCCGTGGCTTTACTTTTATTTGTCACATATAATAAATGTGTAGTCATTGGTTTTGTGGTGCTGCACAAATGCACAGATAGATTTATGTGTGCAGATATCTGATACATGTCACATAGTAAGAGAGTGTCCCTCAAGACGAGTGGCCAGTAAAAGTTTGCATTCAATGACATGAAATTCTTTCCTAGTGAGCATGTTTAACAAGCAAATCAGCCAAAGTGCTCAAGATGACGAACAAAGAGACGCGAGGAGGTGATGAAGAGCAAAAGGATGAAAATGAAATGGAGGAGCAAGTAGAATGAGAAAGGTTTTTTATTTGTGAAGGAATTGAAACAGAAAAAGTGACAGAAGAAGCAAACAAAAATCAGAAAAGACAGGAAGTTAAATGATAAATGGTAAAGAAACACTTAATACAATAATAATACAAGACATGAGAAGGTGCAAGTACAAATAAACAAATGTGAATCCAGGGTTTCTTTAGGCCTCGACTCTTTGTGACCCTTGTGACCTTTGTTAAGCGATAGACAAACTCTGTTTTGCGTTCTCATGAGCTGTCCTTATCGAAGACGATCCAACGCTCTGCACTTCACCGCCTGTCTGCGGCTCGTTGGAAGGAAGTTATTTCTGCTTTTTAACATTCACATCCAAGTCGCCAGATGTTTACAGCTGCACATTATTTCATCAATGAGAAGGTTCTCCCGCACAGAGCACTACTTTGTCTCCAAGTTTCATTGCACATTATATACATCCACCCAGTCATATATTTAATATATGTCAACATTTTGTTTGAATAGTATTTTTTTTAAGTGCTTCACATTTTAAAATATATAAAAGCTAAAATTACACGGTAAAAAGGAATTACATCTATTCATAACCATCCCATTGTGCCAAGCTGTGGCCTGAGTACATGAGTTGTCCTAGTTATGGTTGTGTATGTACTCATATATATTTATTTATGTATGAGTCGTTTTATAAAAGCCTGTTTGCCTCTCTGCTCCGGTTGCATCTGGACTAAGACGCAGGAGAGAAGTCCTGGAAGAGATCGAGTAAATTGAGTAAGACGCCGCACATGTTTCTAGAGGCTTCCGGGTGGACTTGTAATGAAGTCTGAAATACCACCAGAGGGCAGCACGTGCCCACTAGAAGCCACATACGAGGCGAATGATTGCAGGCTGCTGCTGACATCACTGACCTACAGGTCAAGTGTCACGCCAATGGTCGGAATCAGACGAAGCCTGACGCTGGGGGGGGGGGGGAGGGAGGGGTGTCGTGTTTTCCGTCTACAGCCATCCCCGCGGCTGCGTGTCTTTGTAATAGCTGTGTGGCGACGCGAAACTGCCGGATTTGTGGTGGTGCATCAGCGACCAGAAGGAGCCGAAGAGCACCAGCGGCAGCGGCCTCTCTCCGGCTCCTCTTGGCTCCCCGCTGCCGGCCCGCTCTCTGGCCCACCTCCTCCCTCTCTCCCTCTCTACGCCGGCGGCGGTCCTCCTCGCCCACCCCCAACCCCTCCCCCCCTCCAGCGACCGCCGCCCCTGCCGGCCCTCCGACCGCCTCTCCCCCTCCGCCCCGCGGCCCCGCCCGCTGCCTTTCTTCGCCCCGAGCGCCCGCTGCAGCTCGCCGTCCCTCTTCCTCCCCGCCTTGCGGCTCGCCCCGCCCGCCCTCTCGCCCTCACCTTCAAGCGGCTTGACGATCTGCAGCTTGTCGGGGAGGTAGGGCCCCCGCGAGGCCCAGAGGTGCAGGTTCCCCAGGGACATGATGCTCTCCGAGGGGGTCAGCGCGCTCTCCGGGCTCGGGGAACCGCGCAGGCCGCCGTGTCGCCCCCGCCTCCGCTCCCGCTCGTCCTCGAAGAAGCGCCTCTCGCTCAGGTTGTTCTGTCGACGCAGGGACAGGCGGCGCAGGGCGAGCCGCAGGTCCTCGGCGCCGTTGGCCTTCTTCTCCCGGCTGCGGAGGAAACGGGGACCGATCGGTTTCGAAGGCCAATCACACAAACGGCGCTGATGGAAAGCTGCATCGTCAGCAGGGTGATCTCACTTGTCCTGATCGGCTGCCGTCTCCATCAGGAGGCTCTGCGTCCGGTTGTCGAGGGCGACGCCGTCCTCGCCCGCGCAGGCGCTGCCGCGGGGCGTGCAGGGCCCGCTGGACTGGGGCGAGGTCCGCGCCGACAGGGACTGGTTGGAGCCCGGGATGTTGGCGCCGGTCGGGGTCAGCGAGCGCTGGCGGACCGCCTGGTTGACGTTCTTCACCGTCTCAAACACGCGCCTCCGATGGACCCTGCGCGCACACACACACACACACACACACACACGCGAGAATGAGCTGCCGCGGCGTGCGGTGTGCGGTGCATCTCTGCGGCCGCGTACGTACTTCTGCTCCTCACACTCGGGGTCGTCCAGGCTCAACTCCTTCCTCATCGTTCCCTCGATCTCCGCTGCCAGAGAATCCTGCGGCGACAAAACCCTCGTCGTGAAGGACCGGACGGTGACCACGCACGCACACACACACACACACACACGCACACTCCCTCACCATCGGGTACAGCCCCAGAGGATGGTAGCGTCGCGGAGTCCCTGCGGGGACGCTTCTGTTCCGCAGGTTCTTCAGCTCCTCCTGGGCCTCCTGCAGCATCTCTATACACTCTAAATACTTCTCGTCCAACTCCTGCAGCTGTTTGAGGACAACAAGATCAGCATTTTTTTGGAACGAAAGTGTCTGGTGTCGGCTTGTTGAGCAAGGGAACGCGGCGCCGCGGGAGTTACCTCCGCCGTGAGCTGCTTCTGGGCATCCTTGGCTGCCACCAGGTGCTGAGAAAGCTCCTCGTTCTCCACCGCAAACTAGAAACACGCAAGGTTGAAATGAGCGGAGAATCCAGCTGAGTGGAACAACAGCGACCTCTGAGTTCAAAGCGAGCTCACGGATTTGGCTTTCTTTTGCAGGTCTACTATCTGAGAGAGGAGGTGCGTGATCTCCTCCTGCTGGCGGGAAGCATCCTCGGTCTTACGCGCCAATTCCTCCGCTATGGTGGAGATTTGGAGGCTGGACGTCCCTGGCGGGACGGAAAAGGAGGCGAGAGTCAGAGACAACAGGCGGAATAAAGAATCCAGCTCAGTGAACCAGTTTTCCTCCGCAGATACCAACGAAAAGGTGTAAAGGGGTTAGTGTTTGCGTTTGAGAAGTTGATTTAAATGCAAAATGAAACACACGAATTTAAACATTGATGTGAAGAAGTCAAACCCTTTGAATGATAAACCACGTATTGTTGCATAAGTGATTATCATGTGATTCATACTGTGGAGACAAACTCATGCGACACTCACGGAGCTCTTTCACACATTCGTTGACGAGCTGCTGCTCCTTTTCTTCATAGATTTCGGTCTCTGATTTCAGATGGTGTGCCTGTGAACAAACACATCATAAACACTCTCTAACGCGTGTGTGTGTGTGTGTGTGTGCGTGTGCGCGTCTGGACCGACCTCCGAGCGGAGCGAGACGTTCTCCTCCTCCAGCTCCTTGAGTTTCTTCTGCAGCGTCCCGCCAAAAGCACCTTCCGCCGCGCTCCTCTTCCCCCTGTGGACGCATAAACGCACACGACGTGTTACGGCGAGTCGCTTAAGCGACACATCTCTGCACACCGAAGGAGGACGGACGCTAACGTCGGGGAGCCGCTGGACTCGTCCTCGCTCTCGTCCGCCGCGTTGGTGTAGATCTGCAGCAGCTCGTCCTTCAGGTTCAGCTCGTGGTGCAGCTGGGCCACCTGCGGGAGGAGCGTGGACGGGCCGTGAGGACGGGGGCACGAAGACAAAAGACACCGAGCGGCTTTTGTTTGAATGTCGGCGAACCTCCTCTGTGATTTGTGCCACTCGCTCCTCCAGGTAGTCGTTCTGCTCGGTGAGGGAGCGGTTCTTCTTGAGGAGCGACTGGCCGATCCTGGCGGCCAACTCCAAGTCTCTCTCCTTCTGTTGGCGGGAGGAGAGAGACGGTGAGCTTCCTGGAGCGAGCGTCCATCTCCATCCGGACCTCTCAGGTTGTCCACTGTAACTTTAATTCCAGTGCTTTACACCTGATGGTTGTTATTGTTTGATCATCTTATCTCTATAAATGTGTTTCTTTTTCACTTTGCCTCGATATTTTTCCTTGAATGGCGTAAATCTGCTTCATGAATTAACACATTATTACACCGGTGGGGGTTTGAGGCCCCGGGAGGAACCTTTAGAGGCAGCTTTCACTCACTCGCTTCCCGTGTCTTACTGTCTGTTTGATCGCAGCTTCTCTCTCAGTCTCACTTTGTGACTTTGTGACAAACAAAAGCGGCGCGTCTCACCTCCTCCAGCAGACGCGTGACGGCATCGATGTCGCTGTAGGTCTTGGTCATCTGGCCCACTCTGTCTGCGCATAGCACTGAGGAGACGGGGGGGGGGGGACACACCAGCAGCGCGTTAAACCTGCGCTTCGTACACATGCAAAAGCAAAATACATGCACGACGGCACGTTATGTAACACACAGGGTTTCGAAGAGGTCGGGGACGGGGTCAGGTTCTGGATGTGATGCCTCCGTCCACATTGATCCGGTGTTGAGGGGGACAAAGAGCAGCACATCGGCCCTGATGTGAAAGCCGCCATCGACTTCGGCTCCGGTCAATAACGAACCGTGACAGAAGTCATCGACTTTGTCCCGTCGATTCTCTTCCATCCTCGTCGCTGTTATAAAAACTACTGAATGATGCAGCTGTGAGTTTGTTTTTATCGAATCCCCCCGTGAGTTTCTCTCATTAAACGGTGCTCACGAGCCACTCTGGACATTAGTGGACTGTGGGGAGTGGTGTGTGTGTGTGTGTGTGTGTGCGCTCGAAGGCCGATGAGTCAAAGCAAACTCAAAGTGGGAAAAGTATTCCTCTCAACGAGGAGACGAAAAGCTTTGTTGTGTGTGAGCCAAAAAATGTCACGAAACGCTGTTTTTTTGTTGCTTCTTGCTAAAGATCCTCAAACGAAGAAGAGACCAAGCTGCTGTTGTGATCGACCAAAGACATTAAACAAACTGCAGCGGGGGGAAATACGAGCGCTAGAAAGAAACGCACCGATCAAACTTCTCGCTCATCGCGTCGCCAAAGCTCTCTTTTGCTTCGTGGAGGTGCTTTACCTTTCTCTTCCTCCTCACAAAGCCGCTCGCTCGCTCGTCTGTCCGTCCCGCTCTCGTTGTCCATCGCTCCCCACCCTCCTCCCCCCCACCGCCCCGACCTCCGGGACACTGATCCTGCTCCTGCTGCTCAGCCGCCGCACACTGAGCCGACCCTCCGCCCACCCGCTGGTGGAGGAAGGGAGGTGGAGTGGAGGTTGCGTTGCAATGGAAAGAGGACGGACGCGGGAGCCAATCGGTGACGGGCGTCGCTCACGTCGCTCTCCTCTCGCTGTTTTGTTTTTTTGTTAAACCCTCTCTTTGTCCGCTGCCTCCTCTGACTTGTTACCACGGCGACACCCGTCCGCAGACAAACCCCTGACTCACACACGCGCACAGACACACAATACCACGCAGTGCTCAAATCTCTCTCACGCGTTCTGGCAGCGGTTCCTCTCCAGGATTCGTCCTCCTGGATTCTAGGAGACGGGAGCTTCCTGCCCCCCCCTTTCACCGGGAAACGGATATATTCTGGGTGCAATTCTCTGCGTGACGTCCTCTCGCCAGACTTACGGAAGTACTTGAGCGTCTCTTCGATCTGCTCGGTGGTCAGGTCCAGCCGGGCGTCGGGGGCGACCAGGGGAGTGTGCAGCCAGTCATCGCGCTCGTAGCCGTAGGCGGTGTCGGCGCGCAGCCGGTACACCGGCAGCTGCTCCTCGAGAAGGCTGATGATCTCAAACTCCGGCAGGTCGGTGCTGTTGCACACATCTGGACAGAGGGGAGGGGGGGGCGGGGCCGATGAGTGACGTCAAGCGGGTCGAGGTCACGTGGTTCCTAATGTGTCAATCGGGGTGCGATAATACCATTTTTCGATCTAACATGTTGTTACTTTTATTCAAAACTCCCTGTGACCATATATTGACTTACTTTTTTCTCATGATACATTTGATATTATAATTTGACTTTTTTTTTTTAAATAATAATTTTGAACTTTTTTATCATAACGTTTTGGACTTAACATATTGTGACTTTTTTTTCTCAAATTCAAATTCACAAGTGAATTTACCCCCAAAAATGTCTTTGAAATAATGAACAGAAACAACAGATTTTATATAAATGTTATAATGTTAAATAACTTAGTTATCCATTGTAACTATTTATTACTTACTGCCTACACTTGATTTAATCCAACGAACACAAACATATGATCACATATTCAACATTCAACGCAGACTCACCTGAAAACTTTTAAACTTTTAAGCTATTTGCAATTCTTTTATGTGTGAGTCCCTCCACGCAAACACACACACACGCACATACACACACACACACACACGTGCACACACACGCACCTGTGATGGTCTCGGCGTCCCTGCAGTCAGGCGCCGCCGGGCGTGCGTCGAGCCGGCTGCAGGCGCCCTCGCTCACATACTGCTCCTCGTCGGCGTGGGGGCCGGAGTCCGGGTCCGGGTCCTGGTCCGGGTCCTGGTCCGGGTCCTGGGCCGGGGCCGCGGAGGGGGCCGGGGAGGCCAGCTTGGCTCACCTCTCACTGCTGGAGAGAAACGGGGGCCATGGGCCTCCGGGGCTCCACTCAGGTCCTCCTCGCAGAAAGGACACGGCAGCTACAGCGAGCTGGAGAGGATGGAAGCATCACTCATCACCGCTCGCTCTCTGATGGGTTGAGAGCAGCTCTCGATAACGGCATCACATGGAAGTACTTCATTGATCCGTGAACGGGAACTTCTTCATTAGAACAGTGGTTCTGAGTTCTTGGGTTACGAGACGCTTCAGCAGCAAGAGGACAAAGCATCCCAAGTTGATGACCCACATTGGGAGAATTCTTGTATTACTCATTTTTTTGATATTGCAGATTTGAACATGAAACACGAGGCATCATCTTATTACATATTTTGATAAAGTTTAGTCTTGATTTGATTCAAAAGACTTTTACCACTCCATAAGGAAGAAACATGCTCAATACTCGTTTGAGAAAATTTGTGTAAAAAAGGCTTGAATGAAACTTTGAGAAAACAGTTTAGTAAATTAAGTACATTTTGAAGACAAGGCAGGGGAATAGAATGATAATAAAACTCAAACATACCCTTGTGAAACTCCCCAAGTCGCTTACTTAAATTAGGAAACGGTTATAAAATAAACACATCATTTTGGATGTTTTCTCTGTACACTGAGGCAAAACAAGCCCAAATCTCTGTCTTTATTCTCCAGGGCTCCGTGTGCCACTGCCGGCGGCACGCCTGTAAAAGACGCCACAGATGTGCTTCATTAAAGCCACCTGAGCTCAGATCAAACTGCGCTGGGGAGAATATAAATAGATACTTACAAGGCCAGAGATAAAAGGCAGCCGGTGATGGGCGACATGCGTCTGAAGTAAAAAGGCCCCTGATAAAGGGACGAGCATACATGACCGACATGGACACGCATGAAGGAGAACATACACCGCTTTTGGATGCTGGACTTTAAGACCCTTTTCTATTGATCGCTGATCTCAGGTTCAAACTGCACACGTGCCAATGAATATACTAATATATATATATATATATATATATATATATATATCCTCCTTATACTCACATCTCCGAAAAGGAATCAGCTCTCAGCATAAAAGTTATTAACTAATAAGTCCGCACCGCAAAGGTTTAAAGAGGAATCTCTCATCTGCAGTCTGTTGTAATGAAACAAGTCAAAGCACTGATCTCCGGCAAACACAGCGGGGGGCTCACGTGTGCCCCCCCCCCCCCCTCCTCCCCCCGTGTCACGTGGACGCCGGCCGTCTGCGGGCGCGGCCTCGTCCACATGAGAAGGTCGCGTCTCGGATGCGGGTCAGCGGGGTTTGTCTTAATTCGCGTCTCCGCAGCAACACAACAACCGTGGCAACGGGACGCGATCAGCTGACCTTGGGATGCACGACCGGTCCGACGCGCCGTATTGGGGACGATGCCGGCGATTGTCCCCTTTGGATGAGCAGCTGGAAGACGGTCCTCGTCCCACCGGTCTGCGCGCGGGCCGCGCCGCGACGCAGCGGTTTCTCCGCTCCGGGCGGTTCTGGGGGGTCGCGGTCACCTTACGTTGGGTCCGCTCGAAGTCGCTCGTGACCCGGTCCAGGCTTCCTTCCCTGCGGCCATCTCCCTCAACCCACCCGCGTCTCCCCCCCCCCCCCACGTCTCTCGTCCCTCGCTCTCCCCGGGGCTCGTGAAGACAGGAGGAGAACAACGCGACTTCTGGTCACCTCCTTCAAAATAAAATCCCTGTCGGTGATTAATTTGAACCCGATGAAACGAGGTCAAACGTATCTTCAGGGGTAGTAAATCAAAGATGAATATATTATAAACTCCTTTATAATAGCATGTACGCATATCGCCCTTTTAACGCTATTTGACGGGCGTTTTGATGGGCAAAACAGTGCCATGATAAGCAAACAAAACGCGGGCAAATAATCTCTAACGACCATTCAGAATCAAATGTGATAGTAGAAATAATAATAAAAATAACAATACAATAACTGTATCTATACGTCGCCTTGGGGCTGTAGGTCAAAGGGCTTTGCAACATGATAAAGAAAGAAGATAAAGAAAGAAATGTGCAAAAATCTGTAATAATCAGCTATAGCTTGATTAATAAACTGAGATTTAAATATGCTTATACGGTCATTTGTTAAGTACCCTGCAAGATTGTTTTTTGTCCATTTGGGAAATTTAGAAGCGACTTTTGTGCTTTTAATGTTAAATCCACGATTTGTTTCCGCGTTTGCTTCCTGGCGTACTCGATCCGACTTGACGGTTTTCCTCCCTGCTGCCGTCCAGGCACCAAAACCGGGACCCAACCCGGTCTGCGTGGAGCATCAGTGACGTCACGAGCACCCACAACAGGAAGAGGACAGGCGGCGAGGCTTCCGTATTATTAACGCACGTGCAGGTGCCAGTAAACCCACGTCCAAGTCACCCAATAACAAATTGCATGCATTCTATTAGTTTACATTATTTAGCTGCGGCCTAATTACATCATATCAACATACAGACATGAATCCAAGGTGGATTATTATGCGAAAGTATCCATATTGATGCAAAATAATCCTTCCACCTATATATAAAAAATGTCTTTGTTTTGTTTTTGTATTTATTGAATACCACTCGACTAGCAGACTGAAGAAAGAGGATCTGTTGTTCTCCAGAGAATAAATAGAATAACTTGAGTCATGAAATCTCTCCTTTTCCCTCTGAAGCTGCTCAAGGTCAATTTCAAGCCATTCGTCGCATGCAGCACAGCGGACACGAGGCCTGTGAAACTCTGGTCCTCAAACTCCCCAAACGCCATCTGAGGCACTTTGTTTGATTTTGAATCCCATCTTAAAACACGTTTTTATTCTCAAGCTTTAAGAGTTGCCAACTGTATTGTTACATTTACATGTATTGTGTATTGTGTGCATGGAAAGGACTAACTAAGATACAATAAAAGACTGGTTTACGCTGGAGCTCTATGCTACTTTACGCCATTCAATATATTGAGTGATATCAAGTATCAGGCCTCGGACCTTTTAGGCACACAGTGTTTTTAATGGCCTGTGTACATCAATAATCAAGTGGAAGTACTGTGCCAAGGCTGTTCACATCACTGCACATCAATACGTACTCAGATAATCATTCACGATTTATTCAAATGTTTTTTCTTTTTACATGTTATAAGTCAACAGCAGATGGCGGCAGATGCCCTCTGAAGACGTCTCCATACAGTGTCTCTTGCACATTTGCATCACGTGTGTGAGTTATGTACACCGCAAATAAACAACGGGGCACTGAACACACAACGCGGTGAACTGGCTTAATTGGCCAGCGGGGCCACGGCGCGTCACTGGTGTGTTGGAGCGTCTTCTGTGAGCTTTTAGTGATCGGGATCCGCGTTCCGGTAGGAAGCATCATCCCCAGAAAAGTGCTGGAGCTTTTGCGGCGGACTGTGCGCGTGAGAACTCTCGTTTGGGCAGAAAGGGTCAACGGCTGCACGAGGTGGGAAGTGGGCGTCTGTTCTCCTTCACGTGGAGACCGCTGGAGATGGGCCATCGCGCACGTGCGCGTTGACGCACCTCGTCCACCTTCTGAACAACCGGGAGTTCCCGATCCTTTGCAACAAGAGCCGATCTGCAAATTGACCTACGTTCACTCCCCAAAAATGAATTTCGACCAGGTTCTCTCTGCCATCGGAGGCTTTGGCAAGTTTCAGAAGATGTTGTACGTGTGGATTTGTTTACCCCAGATCCTCCTGGCCTTCCACATGATGGCGAGCATCTTCACCGGGTCCACGCCGCCCCACCGCTGCCGGGAGAGCCCCGTCCGCGCGCCCGGGAACCAGTCCTCGTCCCCCGGCGCACTCGGCCTGAACTTCAGCCTCTCCGAGTCCTCCTGCTTCTCCTCTGACCGACGACTGCGGGGGAACCGGACTGAGCAAGCGGCATGTGCCCACGGATGGGTCTACAGCGAGGAGACCTTCCACAGCACCACGGTCACCGAGGTGCGGTATGCTCATGTGCACGTTACGCGCGCTCCTGCGCGGTGGAGTCGGTGGTCGCGTTGCATAAATCAATACAACTCATCTGTTTACTGTGTTGCACGAAGAACGAGACAAACTAAGAGGAGAAAAGCATTCGAGAAAGAAAATGCCCTCAAATTTTTAAGACTTAATCACATATGAAGGAACACAACGTCCCTTTAGATGAGATTAGATTCAACTTCATTGTCATTGCACAGGGTACAAGTACTGAGGCAACGAAATGCAGTTTAACATCCAACCAGAAGTGCAAAATAGTGCAGAGTGCATATGTAAAGTGTAATAAGTGAATAAATAGATATGTACAGTAAGAAATAGTTCTGCAATATGAACAGTAATAAATGGATATACAATAACAGTGCAAATGATCAGTTTAGAATGGAGATGTGATGGCAGACAAAGCTGCGTGTCCTTAGCGTGATCTTAGCGCAAGTATTTGCATCATATTATTTAAGGATAACTGCGTGTAAGAATCCGTGTATCAGCTGAAAACATTTTCTGAAAAATGAAAACATACAAAACATGGTGTGAGACTTTGGCTTTAATGTGGTTTAAACCATTTTTTGTAATCCGCAGTGTATTATACATGTAATTTGACTACGCTGGTTCCCCCATGTTTTTACTTTAATAAATAAATAAACTAAATTAAGCTAGTCTGATCTTACAGGACAAAATACATCAATTGCATCACAGGGAACCTGCATTTTTTTTCCATTGCCCAGCTGGAATCACAAACATCCCTTTGTGTCAGCATGGACCCACTTTTGAGAAGTTATTAAATGAAAAATAAAAAGCTTCTTTGGTTTCTCCGCTCTGCCAGTGGGACCTGGTGTGTGACAAAGCTGCACTGAACAGTCTCGGTTCGTCCGTCTACATGCTCGGCCTGTTGGTGGGGTCGGTGCTGTTCGGGGCCATGGCCGACAGGTAGGCCTCCGCTGCTCCCTCCTGCAGCGCCTGACACTCTGTCTTTGGCACGCGCGGTTTGGACCGACGCCGTGATGATACGTGAGAAGAAAAAGACTGTGCATGTACATGTTCATTGCACGCTAAAGCGCTCGCATGCTGCAGAGGTTCCCGGGTGGTGATGGCGAGGTGTGGCCTGCAGACCTGACCTCACCCTGTACCGGCGGTTTGTACCAATGCACTCATCCGAATGTGCGCTCATGTCCGCTCCTCTCCCTCTCTGTGCAAGGTACGGCCGACGTTCCATCCTGCTGCTTTCCATCGCTCTTCAGACTGTGTTTGGAGTCACTGTGGCCTTCGCGCCCAACTTCCCCGTCTATGTGGTCCTTCGCTTCTTAGTTGGCACCACGATATCAGGAGTCATCATCAATGCCTTCGTACTAGGTACGCACGGAGACTCAGTTAGAACAAGTTTGCATTCATGTCAACAAACCGTTTGAGAGACCTGCAGTGACGGCACTTTACGTTTTGTAACGGGTCATGCTGACTTTTGGTATTTTTACCCAACCCCCAGAACACAAACCCTTCCCACTCCTTCCACCACCTCGTTTAACCCTTTCCCAATGATTCCTCCTCCCCTCCCCTCCCCTCTCCTCTCCTCTCCTCCCAAACCCGGCGCCGTGTTTGCTTCAAAGGCACCGAGTGGACGTGCACCAAGAGGCGCATGCTCGCCGGTATCTTCACCGACTACGCGTTTGGTCTGGGCTACATGCTGCTTGCAGGCATAGCTTACTTGATACGAGACTGGAGGAAGTTGCAATTAGCCATCTCAGCCCCCGGCTTCCTGCTGATCTTCTATATATGGTGAGCAAAGACTATTCGCACGATGCTCTGACGCGAAATGCCCTCCCTGCGATCCACATTTCCTCCTCAGCCCTTAAGTCGGCTCCTCTCTGCTCTCCCTTCTCTACCTGCTTCCCGTCAGGGTGCTTCCTCAGTCTGCCCGATGGCTGTTGGCCAACGACAGGAGGGAGGAAGCCATCGAACTCCTCCGCAAGGCGGCTCTCGTTAACGGCCGCGTCTTACCTCCTGCCGCACAAGTGTGTCCGCATTTTACTCCACGCTTTTGTTGTGCAGCTCGTCTCTCCACGCTTCCGCTTCTTTGCCTTCAGCCTCCGGTCAATCGTCTGTCATTGCAGCTTCACATCTTCTCATTGGAATCGTGAACAAAGAATAATTGTTGAGCATGCCCAGCTTTTATCTTTCAGAGGTTTTGGTTGACGTGTGTGCAGGTTGAGAAGTGTCAGATTTTAGCCGGAGGGAAACAAAGTTACTCGGCAGTGGATCTCGTACGAACACCTCAGATGAGGAAGAGAGCCGTCATCCTCTTCTACATCTGGTAAATGTTGTGTGCCCTCGCGCATGCATGTGTGCTGTACATATAAATCATTTGCCCGTCTTACCTTCCGTCCTCTGCCCACCCAGGTTTGTGAATGTGCTGGTGTACTACGGCCTCTCCTTCGGCGTGTCCCGCCTGGGGACCAACCTCTACCTGACCCAGTTCGTGTTCGGCCTGGTCGAGATCCCGGCTCGTTCCCTCGTCCTGCTCGTCTTGCCGTACAGTCGCAGACTCTCCCAGAGCGGATTCCTGGCGGTCGGGGGGCTCGCCTGCCTGCTCATGCTCGGCGTCCCCGCGGGTAGGACGGACGCCTCTCACCTTTCCCCCGAACGCCACGGGCTCGCGCTGATCCGCGTCCCTCCCTCTGCAGATCGCCCCGGCGTCCTGACTGGTCTCGCTATGGTCGGGAAGTTTGGAATCACGGCTTCCTTTGCTGTCATCTACGTGTACACCGCGGAGATATTCCCCACTGTGCTCCGGTGAATCGCGTCCATCCGTACAGTTTTTTATTACTTACGCGTGACCCCCAAAAGTCTCCGTGGGCGACGCGTGCTACTTCCCTTGTGCTCCCACAGGCAAACGGGAATAGGTGTGTCCTGCATGTTCGCCAGGGTGGGCGGCGTGTTGGCTCCGGCCATAAACATGCTCCACGGCCACAGCCCCGCGACCCCCCTGGTCATCTTCGGTGCCTCGCCGCTGCTGGGGGCCGTCCTCGCCCTGGCGCTGCCCGAGACCGCCGGCAGACCTCTTCCTGACACGGTGGAGGACGCAGAGAACTGGGACACAAGGTACTAGGAGCTCGGCCTCCATAACCCTAAACATACGATACGACATGCCAGTGCCCCCCCAGAGCCCATCGTGTTTTGCCCCCCCCCACAGTTTGCCCGTCAGCAAGGAGAACGCTGAGATGTCTGAGGATATGAGCCAATCGGCGAGCAGCGCGGAGGAGCAGCAGCAGCTACGACGTCGGGCCAGCCAGGCGGCGGTGTGAAAATAAGACGCACGCGCGTCACTATACACAAATTACACAGCCCGACCGTAGTGCTGCAGCCAGGTGGAGCGCCGTTTACCCCAAATAGAAATGCCCTCCTAGAAAGCGACTTTAAGGTACAAATGCTTGCCTGTAGTGCCCCTCATGGGTATAGTTTGTTTCCGTGGGAGTTGACTGGTCACCACAGGGGGCTGATAAGGTTGCCGGTTGTAGATTGGTAGAAAGAAACAAAACGTTTCACAACCAGGTTTGTGGATCATTAATTATTATGGTATTTTTGGTGCCATCTAGTTCCTAACCCTGACCCTAGAGAGAAGAAAGACAACTGTACTGACCGTATCTACAACATTCAGCAACTCACACCCAAACAATCTAGATTAATGAATAGCTCCCAATGTATTGGGATTTTGGACTGAACTTTGACGTCTGTCCTTTTAACGCATGTCAAGTGCTCTGTGCGAGGAAGCCAAACGCTTTTCCCACGCCAAACTAACGGTGCCGCTGCACAAAGCATCCATTCATACGTGCTGCAGATCAACAGCTTACCGTTTCACCAGATGCAGGTAAACTCGCGCTTAAGTCAGGAATAGTCCGCTTTCATAATCTTACGCATTTCTCAGATGTTTACGTTTTTATTCCAATGTCAAAATGGGGTTTGGTGTATTTAACAAAGAATAATTAGGCGTTTCTTTATATTTTAACAATCATGAATAGTAATCATTTTGGATCAGCGTGTGTTATGTATTTGATATGTTCATGCCGTGTTAAGACGAGCAACTGCCTTGTTTTCAAGGCAAAAAAAGCAGTGAGATATTGCATAGATAGCCTAATGACGCATTTTCTTAGAATAGTGTGTTTGTAGTTTTTTTAATGGATTTTATAGGAATTGAGACCATCATGTATAGAAATACTTGAATTTGAGAAATACTCAATTTGTTTGTAGAGGTTAGTTTGGTTTTTAACATATTGAATTTTACTGTAGAATTACTTTGACTTGATCTGGGTTTATACTTCTATGTAAAAGGGTTGTCGTGAATATACATTTGTAATCTCTGAACAACTGGCATGGATCAGAAGCGCAGGTCATGTACAGTAATATGCAATGTTACTCAGGCAAAAGTCCTTTACTGATAAAGCAAAGTTGTACAAGATCAGTTTGCTTTCAATGCATTAAATCCGACATGTGTTCAAATCAACAAGAACTTTTTTTATTGCATCGATTCCATTCCAGTGCATTTGAATGCACAACATTGTAAAGTAAAAGTGGCAAAAAGCTCGTTCCTCGTGCATTCAATCGTCACACCAAACGGCACAGTTTGACGTTCCCACGCCTCAACGCACCGGACGCGAGGCGTCCGTCGTCCTCAGGCACTCAAGCGGCGGCTTTAGCGTTTAGTCGCCGGCAGATCTACGCCATCGTGACGTACGTGGCGTCGGTGGTGACGCCGCAGTTGTTGTCCTTCATCGACATCAGGATGTAGCCGTCATTTCCCCAGTAGGTCGACCACGAGTTCTTCACCAACCAGTACGGCTCCCCCTTCAGGGTGCCGTATCCCACCGCCAGCACGGCGTGATCCAAATCGGCGGTGGTGTTACCTGGAAAAGCACAAGTTACGGGGCGAGAAAGAAGCGGTGCCGCGGCAAAGAGACGCGAGCGGCGCTTAACTTACCGCACGCCGGTTCGTAGTAGACGCCGTGGCTGTAGAAGACGAACGAGCGGTGGGACGCGTCGATGCTGACGGCCGCCGGCCCGTTCTTAAAGAGCGCCAGCTTCAGGGCCTCGGCGTCCCCCGAGGTCACGTTGGTGTAGCTCTGGATCCGCGCGGTGAGCTGCGACGCGTTCGCGTGACAGAAGCCGTTCTGGTCGGCGAGGGAGGAAGAGGGTCAATACCGGACCACAGCAGTCGGCGTAGAAAATATCATATACGGCATTCTGAATGCTAATATTTGAACGGGTTGTTGCAGGGCTCACCATCCCCATGTAGGCGCCGTAGGTTTCTGTGGTGGCGATGCCTCCGTGCTTCAAGATCCACTCGTATCCTCGCCACTCCTCCCCGCCGTCGCAGCCGTTGTTGCCAAAACCCCAGGAGCAGTCCACGAGCATCTGCTGGGACAGAACCTGCAGCGAGCCCGTCTGGGAGACGAAGCGCGCGGTCACGCGGATCAGTGACCTCGCGAAAATGACTTTGCAGATGAAAGGCAGCTGGTTGATGAGGCTCATGAGGGAGGTTTTCAGAACAGCTGTTGTGTGCGGGTTGCTAGGCAGACGCTACGGAGCCCACGGAGGGCTACATCTTACAAAAACAAGATAGGCCCCCCGGGGAGCGGCTCTGTTTATGAACCTGCCAATGAGGAGGGAGGGGGGGGTTGCGGCATCCTGCAGGTTCACTTCCCGCTGCTGCGCCACATGCTGGCAAAAGGCACAAAGACGAACCGCTGCGACTTCGCCGCAGCACTTCCTCCGACCTCGACTCGGTAACACTGACTCACATCTTCCTCTGTGGTCCCGTCATTTGAGCTTGATTCAAACCACTTTGTTTTATTAAAAGAAATAAAGTTGCTTTACGGAAGTGGTTTAGGCAAGTGCTTGTATGTGGTAAAAAAGGTTTAAATCCCTCCTTGAGTCACACTCCACCAACACAGAGCCTCTGTAAGACTCTTTCATCAAATACACAATCAGATTTTTTTAATCCCTCGGGGGATAAAAAAAAAGCAGCCTATCAATTTAACCACTGGTCACATGCTACAGACAACGTCAAGAGTGAGAAAGAGAGTCAAAGAAGTCGGTCACTTTGCCATCAAATCCCATAATAAACCATGCAATGTTTGGATCGAGTTGCCTGGCAACACAGTAAAGGAATGCCTTTGACCGTCGCCTTGCACAGGAACACTCAGTTTACTTTCTTCACACACACACAGTCGAGTCCGTCTAACGGGAGTGAAACTGGCACAATTAATTCTTCCTGTGTCCCCTTCCCCCCTCCCAAAACCCCCCAACCGCCTCTAAAAGCGTAAGACTTCTTTCAACCACAGGAGGGATTAATGTTGACCACAGAGCTGCATCTGAAATAATCAGCTGATTTGTGCATAAATTACTGCTACTACGAGGAAAAGTTGTATTTAAATAACAAAGACATCCTTTGTATTTCACACAGGACTACTATAGTTTTTCCCGCATGCATCAATATTATATTATTGGTTTCTATTTAATTTGCATTTTCTTAAATATTTAGAAAGATGCTAAAAAAGCTGAACATCTGTGGCATCAACGAATCTTTGTGGCCACAGTCACATCTATATATCTATAGATATATAGATATAGAGAGAGATAGATATGTGTACAGTGACTTTGGAACATTCTGCCTTTTCTTGTTACCTTTAGGAAGAGAGCGCCCTCTACTGCTCCAGTGGTGGCAAAGCTCCAGCAGGAGCCGCAGATGGCCTGGTCCTTCACTGGGGTCACGGCACCTGCAAGAGCGGAGTCCGGTTAAACACACGGGTGTCCTGCTTTATATGCTTCATATCACCGCATATACGTGCCATAAAGCCTCCAGTCGATCGACTCCGGCACCTTCACCCCTCGGTAATTCGTGGAGGGGAACGGGAGCCCTCTGTTTGGGCTCTTTCCTCGTTTCCTCCCTCTCATGGTGGCCAGCTCCGACATGGTTCGATCCGACAGAGAGTTGAGAGCCAGAGAGAAGGGAAGCCCGGCTCTGTTCTTGGAGTGGACGTACCTTCAGCAACGGGAAGAAACCCATCAGATATGCATCCACGCTGAAGTGCGACGCCACGCGTCAGTATTTAACGTTCTCCTCACCGAAGGTTATGAACAAAAGCGTGTCCCCTTTCCTCGTGCTCGCGTTCGTCGCTGTACTGCCGCTGAAACTTGTCCTTGAAGTGGTTGAACACGCGCTGCGAGTGGCCCGAGGCCGAGGTGTGGATGAGGTCTTTCATCGGATTGGCCAACATGTGGTGCTCCACTCCGGGACCAGGAAACCCGCCGCAGCTCATCCCTGTAACAGGAAGGAATTTAGGTTGTATTCCCACCCCCCGACTAACTTTTCTATAAACGTCTTTCACCTCCAGCGGTGCACAAACCTTCAGGCAGCGAGAAGACTTTGGGTTCCACGTGAGTGCTGAACTCTTTGTAGTCCACCAGGTATTTGTCATAGTGGGACCCCAGCAGCGTGTTGTAGCCCATCATCTCATAGTGGAGCGGCGTGGGGGGCTCCTCCTTGCCGTCTGCGCCCCCCTCCGACCGGGTCACCCACAGCGTGTACGTGTTCTTCTTGTTGCCCACGGAGGTCACGTTCTGCCAAACCTCACACAGGGAACCTCCGAAGTACTCCATCCTCAGGAACTACGAGGCAGAGCAACATGTCCACTCGTGAGCCCACAGACAGAACATACGTCGTTATTTCATCATCACGGTTGGGTTGAATGTGAAACTACGATATCATTATTTGGGAGAGAGTCTGTTTTTCGCGGGAAGGACAGATCAGAGTCATCTGCACTTGTTTCAACGTCCTTCCATATTACATTTCAGTATCAATAGCAATGTTAGCGGATTTATTTCTATATCATGCACAATATCACTTTCCATTTTCAGTTTCAGTTACGCACTAGCGTTTGTATTACTGCTTCTGCACTCCAATTATCACTATTATTACATCAGTAACCTGGAGTTCATTTCACGGGCCGCTCTCAATAACACTTGTGGTGTAGAAATGTTCACACCGCCGGACCTGGAAGCCCTGCAGGTCGGGCAGCGCCGCCTGCGCTGTGACCGCCTCATCCTTGGTTCCGTTGGCCTGGAAACACTTCATCACATTCAGCGCGGTTTCCGTGGTCTCGGGAGTGATTTTATAGGCGACGCCCAGCGGCGTCTCTGCCCCCAACTGGTAGGTCGACACCTGGCCTGTTGATGGTCAACGTGAGACGGTAGAACATCATTAGAACCTTTTAATCTCGTCGTGCACGTCCATTCTGCTTCCATTGGATAAAGACTGCGTGTACTAACGTTTATAACAGAAAAAAATGCCTAAATGTCAAATATACTTCCTGAGGACGGCAAGAATCCAAAAGAAAGCTTACAAAATTGGCTTAAAGTCAAGAGTATGTAATACGAGTCAACAGTAACTGGCGGATTCCGTTTCTTGTGCTGAGCTCATGTTGTTTCGCTCAGGTGACTTTGGGCTGACACAACCGCTTCTCAGTTTCACATCAATAATCCAGCCAGGCCGGAGAAATGCAGAGTCAGCTTCAGGAGGAACGGACTCAGCTTAAGAGGTCTCTCACCATGGTAGTAGTCTATCCGGCTGGACTTTGCCGCTAGGTCCAACCAGGCCTCAAATGGCTCCTTGATCTCAGCGTAGGGCAGAGAGATCACTCCTGCAACACAAATGGGAAACAGTGCTGCGATGAGGCTCAATTCTGTGGATAAAAATAGCCCCTGATGTGTAATCTAATATTGCACTGCTTACCTTTGACATGGTAGCTGTTCCCAAAATGTGGAGGGGAAGGGACGGCTTTTCCCTCTGTAACTGAAAACCCACAAAATTGTTCAAATGTGCCTTTCAAAATTACATTTTTAAAGAATTGTTGTGGACTGTATCAATGTACTCAATTAATTGACTTAGTATCTCATTATCTCCTTGGACCTTTGCTCTAACATGGTGTCACCACCCCAAGAGTCAATCCAAACAGCTGCAGAAAAGGGTTATAATATAGTAAATACTATACTAAATATTATTTAATTCTTAACACACTGTAGAGCGGTCTATGAAATGAACACCGTATTTCTCCCGGTCACCTTCCAAAAGTATAACGATATAAGAAATTAGTTTATGACATGTGTTTTGTCAATAAAAAGTTTTGGTGTACTGTGTTGCATATATGCCGAATCAAAGTGCGGTTCATATGGTTTCATTTGGTATTTCAAGGTTTATTTTAGGATGCATGCAACTACCCTCATGGCCAAGTCAACTTTAAATGTACAATTTTTTGCGTTGAGTTTGGCAGGACAATCTCTGCATTCACCAACAGTACTTCCACCTGAATTCACGTATACGTCAATATATACTTACTTATCACTTCTGTGAATGAAGTGCATTTATATTAAGCAACCTGAGCGATAGTTAGCATGTAGGTACTACGAAACAACATACAATGCTAACGTTAGCTGTTTACGTAGCAAGCAACTGAGCGAACCGGAAGCACGCCGCTCGAAATGAATCGTCGTCCCTTACCTGTGGCGGCCCACAGAACAGCCGCTGCGATGTACCACCGCATTGTTTCTACTGTGGGCTCAAAGATACCCGGTACGGCGCAGTCACACTAACTTAAACCCAAACACAAACGACCTCGGTCCACACTGCGGACATAACAACAAACACATCGTTTTTTTTGTATCTGACGAATCAGACGGCGGCTCGCTGGATAATTGGCCAATCAGATGCGATGGGTGGGTTTTAATAAGGTATCATGTGATTTGTGTCATATGACTGAACAAGCCCAATGGATGTTTGTGTAACACTCAAGAGACAATAAATGCCCTACATTCAGAAGACGTGGGACTAAAAGACATGATATAATAATATAATAGTTTAATAAGAGAGTCGTCTCACATGTTTTCCTCGGGTTTTGCTGGATATGGACAAAACACAGTGGCCGTTTCTTATAAAAAAAAAACATGAACGACCACTACCCAATAACATACATGTCATTGATACATGTCATACACAATATTTTTAAATACAAAAGTGTCTATTTTTTATTTTTTGCAAGATTCAAAGGTTTTATTTAAATTGCATACTTGTCATGGGTTAAATGTTGATTTTAGAAGTATTGTCCAGTTATCTCTAAAATGATATCTCACCACAAAACCCATTATATTTAATTAGAATTGTAAGACACCTATGACACCTGATCTAAACGTTCTGCTATATTAGCAAAATATCATAACATTCTTTACATCACTCTTAAACAATAACACCATGAGGAAATAGTGGTCTTAAAAGCATACTATCTAGACTGCAAAGATATTGAATTCGCAGAGATAATGAGGCTATAATAATCTTATAGTTGCATGCAGCTCTTCCCCAGCAGATGGCAGATTGACCGCATGACAGTTTCATCCAGATAAGCCTGTATTTACTGTCCTGCGAAGTTCAGCGGGGAAGGAATGTAGTGAAGAAGAATTGTATTCTCTTCAAATGTTCTTTGTTTTTTATAACGCTTGTTGCGTATCTAAAATTAATAAAATGAGTTCCATTATGATGAGAATATGTGTCAAAAACAATCTGAAGCCACAAGTAATGAGTGGCGCTCACAAAGAAACAGCTTGACACTAGATGTCAGTATCTCACAGAACACGATCCTTATACATCCATTTGATTAAAATAACTGCGTGTTGCACAATTGGAAGCTGGTCTGCTTTTAGGATCGTGTGCAGACCGGCAGTAAAAATAAAAGTACTGCAAGTTGAAGCGTAAAAAAGAAGCTGCTGTAAAAATTTCCTGAAATGAATAGATGACGATGCGATCTAGTGGGTAAAATATATTATCGGAGACACATATTATAGTGACTGATTGCAGCAAGTCACTCGGCAATCAGTCGAATGTGAACCTTCTTGACTGTTAACAGGTCTCTTCTGCAAAGAGACACTTTTTGAGTTTAGCTCTTAGTAGGTTTGGGCTAAGTTGACTTTTTTCAGATCAACTTTCAACACTAAGACGTATTCGATTTTGGGCTTCTAATTCCTGAATCACAACGATTGTGATTCAGAGAAAACAGCAACAGGACGAACTGTCACTGCTAACAAGGCCTGAATCAACATAAATTGATGATCCATTAATTCATTAGGAAACTGTTTTTTTTAACTTTTCTGTCAAAGCGCCTCAGATATTTCAGACAATGACGTACATTGTCACCTTAGTTGTTCATTGTCGTGACATTACGTCACTGCTAGTTGTTTAATACCACATCACCTCATTTGAATTCTGCCTCTATCAAAAGAGGCTTTGACCAATATTCAGATCTAAAACCCTGTGGTCAACAAACCTTATTGAATCTGATAAATGAAGCACATGTTTATTGCTTATTTTTTGTTAAACAATAACAATAGTTAACACAAACCACTGTTCATATACAAGAATACAGGAGTATAAATATAGAATATCTGTACTACTAAAAACACAACCGACGCACGTGTTCAAATGTCCTCCATCACCTCAGGTGGTGATGATTCACTCATTCATAAGTCCAAATGGAAGACCACCGGTGTTCAGTCCCGTCCGGAGAGTCTCTTCTTGTGTCCAGTGCTTTGGAGCACCGCTGGCCCTCCTCCTCCTTCCTCCTTCCTCCTCCTTCCTCCTCCTCCTCCTCCTCCTTCCCCCCGAAACTGTCTCTGCAATCTACAATTCAACTTCACATTTAGGAGCTAAAAGCGCAGCTCAATAATTCGAGGCAGAACAAAAAAAAAGGATCCAACGTTGGAGAGATTGTTTTGTCCCATTTTCATCCCCAGCGGAGGTCCACTGCTGGACATTTCTTAAGTGTTGCCAACGGTAGTACATTTACATCAATACATGTTTGATGACGTTGATTTGGACGCATAACTTTAAAGCTGAAGCCGCGTTACACCCCGTTATTGAGAGGTTTGACAGAACGTATAATATACCGAACAAAAGACAAGTGTCCCATACTGCTGCAAATGATCTCACACAATAAACCGAGCGGGTGAAATCGCTTCACAAGGCGCCCACTTTGCAACAGAAATGATATTCAGGAGAAACGCCTTCATTTGAATGATGCCACTGACAGCACTCCCTGCTCGTAGCCGCTTACAGGCAGGTCCACAAGTTACTTTAAAGTACTGACGTTCAAATACACTACGTATAGCACCTTCTAATATGACGCCATTGGATGTGGAGACAATATGGAGACGCAATATTCAGGGTTGTTTGAGCTCTCGTTGCTTTTACCACAGAGTTCATTACGCACTGTTGAGTAACACAATGGAGGTGGGCGAGGATACTTCGGGGCTCATGACGGGGGGATCTTGTTCATCCCCGGAGTCCCCTTCTTGTTTTTGGGCGACGGTCAAGGTGAGCTTGTTCAAACCGGCTTCCAGCGCTGACTCCGCCCCCTCGGCGCGGTCACCTGCAACGCAACGCAACGCAACAAATGACATCAATTCATCTGTGACTGAGCAACAACTGAGTGCCAACCGTCTTCAACACTAAAACTGTTTCCCAATAAAATTAGAAACACAAGAATGATATTTCTGCTGTTTGTGTGTTACTTGGAGCGAGTCTTTCTAAGCACAAGTTAATGAAGTCAAGGGGGAAACTCCTCGTGCTCCCGGTACGGATATTTATATTCCTACTGGTGGTCTTCGATGCTGAGCAAACTCTACTCCAGCACTCGGAAAAGAAAAAGTACAGACTTATCACAAGACAAAGTGTAACTTTTGTTTTGAGGCTACGCAAACACGCACACGTCCACGCTGATGTGGCGAACACGCACCTCTCTCCTGGTCGCAGTCGGGAGAAGAAGCTCCGCTGCACTGGCTGCGAGGGCCCAGGAGCGGCGACGCATGCTGAGGACTCCACACCGAGTCCACGTCGTGGGGGCTGCGGGGGCTCCCTGACTCCCGTCCACCGGCAAAGGAGGAAGAGAGGACGGAGGGGGAGGAGGAGAGGCAGGAGCAGGGGGGGCAGACGGGGGGAGAGGAGGAGGAGGAGGAGGAGGAGGGGGGAGGGCAGGGCGCGTCCAGTGGAGTGGAGGCAGAGGTGGAGGGTCGCGAGGAGGACGAGGGGGGCGCGGCTGGAGGGGGGAGGCGGGGCGAGCGTCGGCCTCCTCCTCCGAGCTGCTGCAGCGGCGGCCCTCGTCAAATGACACGGACACCACTGAAACACACACGCGGGCGCACACGCGGGTGTTCACAGCGAACACGCCACGCAACAACAAAACGGACACTTGAATGTGGAGGAATGGCGTCGACGCGGCACTCACTGGACAGACCGTCTGACTCCCCGGGGAAGCTGGCCACGTCCCCGTCGGGCCCGTCCCCCTCGGCGCCGACGCCCTGCTCCCTGGTCCCCATGGCGATGGAGCGCCGATGGGCGTGGATCTCCTCGGAGATGCTCTCCAGGTTGCGCAATGCTGTGCGGTAGTCGGCCTTGGCGACCACCAGTTTGGCCTGACGCTCGTCCACGTGGCGCTTGAGTTGCTGCGAGGATTAGAAAACATCTTTAGTTCAATGTTCAGCGTCTCAGCTCAGCAGGTTAGCGAACATTCAGTTAGATAGTTTGATGGTATTTGGTATATTGAAGACTTTGAACAATGCTGGTGCTTGATGGAATAGGAGTTAATTAAAAATCCGCTCCAGCTGTTTTAGCCCGAATGTTCCGGTACATACCTCAAGCTGTAGATAATACTTGGCTTTCAGTTCAAAATACGGCCTGAAGGGGGGGAGAGAAAAGAGAAAAAAGCTGAGGGAGAGGGAGGGACACACGGCGCCGACTGTCACTGGAGAAATGACTCGAAGAATAAAACTCCTCTGTGAGCAGACGCAGCCCTCGGCTCTCACAAATGGAGCGCACCCCGGACGGAATGAAACATCTGGACTGCATCAGATGACGTCAGACCGGCCCAGGCGCTCCCCACTCTCGGCGAGGCCCGAGCAGGGGAGGAGAGAGAACGGGAGACAAAGGCACGGACCTGGATTTGTTGATGGATCGTTTGAGCTTCTTCTCCAGCTGCCTCATGTGACAGATGCAGGAGTTGTAATTGGCGGCTGTTTTCCTGTGTTCGGCCTCGCTGCTCGTTCTCGCCCGCTCGGCCTCCATCACCTGAAACGATCGAGCGCTTTCATTCGTTTTCGGACACCAAGCAAAAGACGGAACATATCGCCGCATTTTCCCGCTTCAGTCTGACCCTCAAACTTCGGGCTTCTCGCGAGCTCGAGCATCATTCAGTACTTCTGTAGCGGCCTCGCGTCTCGTTTCGTACCCTCTGCGTGGCGTGGTTGAGCATTTCCTGCCAGGCGGAGTCGAACTGGCGGCTGTCCTCCTCCAGCAGCCGCTCCTCGGCCAGCGCGATGGTCTCCTTGGCCGCCCGCAGGATCTCCACCGCCCGCTGGAACTCCTGGGTGGCCTTTTGGGCCTCAACCTGGGCCTTGGGACCATGGAGAAGAATCCTTTTCAGGCGATACAACGTCAAATGCGAGAGAGCAAAGTCAGCTGCAGGTTTCCTGCCTACAGAACCGGGATTGGTGATGCATTGTGATTCCACGCGGTTTAGAAGCGGAAGGAGCGCTTAAATACCAGCGTCGTGGCCTTCATTCGACTGTAACTTCAACCAGCAGGTTGACCCGGGCCTTTGTCCTCACGCGGCACAAGGCCGGCAGTTGTCCTTGTGTGTCTCTGTGCGTCTTATGACCTATATATTTCCTGTGGACGAGCCACTGTTGATTCCCTGCGACACCCACAGAGGGGCGAAGACGTCGGCGCACGGGACGCACAGGAAGACAGCCGAGCCTTCAGCCGGTCGACAGAGAGGAGCTTTGTCACACAGGAAATCTGACCCGGGCTCTGTGGAGTTTTTTTTTTGCGACCCACAAGCTCAGCGTCAATAGGACGATTTAACCCGTCGTGCTGGACATTTTTGGACCCACCCTCAGACAAGAATACTGTAAATCTGATTTTCTAGAAAAGGATAACGGATAATGGAGACTATTGGGTTATCTGGGTAATTTGTCAAATTAATTGAGATCTCAGATCTGATGAAATGATGAAATGATGAAAGGATTCTCACATGAAAATCCAAAATCAGGGTTTTGTCGGAGAAGATCAGCACAACGTTCTGCTGGAAGCCTAAAAATGAACCAAATCCATTTTAAACGATATATAAAGTAGATGAGGCTGTAACATACTACATATATGTATGTATGTTCTGGGAGTGCTTGACCTCTACACGTCAATCATAAATCACACGCGGTTGAAATACCACATCTTGCAGAACTTAAGTTTAAGAAGGTGAAACGGTTTGAAGCAGTAGAAAGCGTTACAGCACACAGACGCGCACAAGAACAACTCTATCTGACGTAACATTTCACACCCTTTAAAAAGATTTAAGGGGTCAAGGAACATTTTGCACTGAGCAACAGTTTAATGGGACACGATTCCCTTCAAGCCGAAGGGAAATCCCTTATTGTTCAACTCACATGTTATCTCCTTTTTCTGTTTTAACTGGTTCGTATGTCTGCATTGACTGCACACTGCAATGGTAACAACTCAAGTTGGCTTTTCTATCCGTGAGCATTTTGAATGGATTATTGTTAAAACTAATCAACCGCTTCTACAGTTTCAAACTGCTTGTTTTAATATGTATTTTCTCAAAAGCGAGAACCAATGGAATGAGAACTTGATGAATGAATGAAATGGTCCAAACGAATAGTCATCGGTTATGTCTTGACTTGCTTTCATTTGGAAAAGGTTTAGTAATTATATACCTGCACTCAGTGTGCACTACGACCACACTGCAGGTGTGAAGGCGCCATGGAACCGTGAAGCTGCCCAAACAACTCAAATGCTCAGCGAGTTGAGAGGAACTGCCGTCCTCCTGTGCGTTCGTCACCACGAGCGACGCGCATTAAAACGGCCTCATCTGCTCCCAAAAGGTCAGCGTGGTGCTCTGGCCTTTTTCTCACGGCCCGTTACATTGACCCCCCGGGACACGACCCCCCTGTCCACCGTCAGCCGTGTCCGCGATAACGGCCCCGGCAGCGACGTGGGCGAGCATCACCTCCGAACGCGGGCGCCTGGTGCGCCGGCGCTGTCGGGACATTTTTTGAGCGATCGGGTCACCTGTCGGGGGAGCGGGAAGGTAACGGTGGCTCTTTTTTGACCTTATCTGATAGTTTGACCGGCCGACTCTCTTTGTCTACTGTTGTGACCCATTTTCCCAGGCTGTGAGACGGGGGGGGGGGGGGGGGGGGGGGGGGGGGGAGCGCTGCAGGGAAAACAGAATGACGATGATGGATATTTGATGAGGACAAAACATGAGCAAGGAACTGAGACTCAAGGACCGAGCAGCGCCTCCTTCCTCACGCCGTTTACTCGCGGTGTTGTGTGGAGCTAAGCGGACCAAACACAGCGACTCCGTTATCTTTGTGGCCCAGAAGCCGGCGTTGGGATGCAGAGAGGGGGAGCAAGGGAGGGAGAGAGGGAGGGAGGGGGGAGGGGGGTCAGCAGGCCAATGAAGAGCATTGTTGTCAGTTAAGACTCTCTGTGAGGGCAAACAATACACGGGTGTTTGTTGCGAAATATCATGACACGCTTTCACCTCAGAGAGAGAGAGGGAGAGGGAGAGAGGGAGGGAGGGAGGGAGATGCTGGGTGAAAAGGACAAAAGATGGGATGGAAGAGGCAAATTCCTATACACCGCACCCCAGTTTGTTGGAATGCAGTATAAACATGGGGGTTGGGGGCTGAGACGGGCTGATGTGAGGGGGTGGGTGCAGCAGTCTGAGTGTGTGTGTGTGTGTGTGTGTGTGTGTGTGTGTGTGTGTGTGTTGTGTGAGGTCAGTGAGGCTAAGTGTTTCAGTCCCTTTAAAGTAGGTCATGTATCAAACATTAAACATTCATCCATAAATCATGACCAGACAATTCGCCGGGTTTAACTCGGGGGATTCATCGGCTTTGCTCTTTTTAATCCGCAGATCACACACACACACACACACACACACACACACACAGTCGCACAAAGCTGAGGAAGGTTTTGGGATCTTTTCACGTGAAAGCGGCCTCCATCAAAACTCTAAACCTCCCAGTAATCCCGAGGCACGTGTTAACAGCGGAGGGCTGCTGGCAGGTAGTTTGTCCCATCACACCCGAGAGGAACGGGGACCACGAACGAGGACACGCACACACTCACACACGCGCACACACACACGCTGCGAAACCCACTTCAGTTCGAGAGCCGAGCAATGACACAAATGTCGACCTTCCGATGAGCGACTCGTCGGCTTCTCCCTCTGTTGGCAGAGAAGAGGGGAGCGCCGGACTCTACATTTCTTTTCCCGTCCAATCAGATCAAAGCCAAGGACGTGCCCCTCACGACATGCCCCCCTCCCCCTGCTTTGCCGCCCTGGAACAAGCAAACAAGGCCACAGTTCCTCTTCCTCACACTGAGATGGTGTGTGTGTGTGTCTGCGTGTGAGTGTGTGACAGTTAGTGTTGCACGGTGTACCGGTACTAGAAAGGTATCGCGGTACCGATACGTTGAAAACAATACGGTTTTGAATATTTTTAGTACCGGTACTAAAGCATGCAATTGGAGCGCACTCACTGTCCCGCTCCGTGTCGGGACGCGCCCTCATGTAGCAGACTGCTCACCCATATACAGCCTAACGCGATTAGCCTTAGCCTAGCTTAGCTCGGGTGACCGGACGTCCTCTTTTACCCGGACGCATTTTTTAGGTCAGGAAAAGAGGAAATGTCCGGGTATAAGAGGACGTCTGCTTTGTCTTGTGTTGCACTTGCTTGATGTTTGACTGTGTTTGGAAAATTGTTGACTTGTTAGTTTGTCATAAACAAAGTAAGTTTAGCCGCTAGCAGACATCTCGTTAGCAATGTTAGCAAGCTTGTTATAAAACGCTAGCATATTGATGCTAGTATTAAGTGCTCACGAGTCGGCTTCTTTGTAATGTTATAGGGACACTTTTCACTAAACCTTGGAGTGAGACGTTGGGGGTGAAGCTACGGCTGACGGGGGGTGTAAGTTACGCTACGTGCAGCGAATCGGGTTATAGATTGTTTAGATGAACCAGCGCAGATTTTTTTTTTTTTGCGTAATAAATTGGATGTGTGGCGTGAGTGCGTGTGAAAACATGGAAACACGCGTGTCACACGGGGAAACCGTGAGAGTTGGCAGCCCTGTAGCTTTGTTGCTAGCTTGACAACAACTTTCCTAACACAGTCAAACATCAAGCAACACAAGACAAATGCAAGACTCCAAATATGTTCCCGAATAGTCCAGCAGAAATATATACATGCAAAATAACCTACAATTTCACTCATGTGGGCCGATATGATCATGAGGTCAGAATGCACACACAATTGTACCAAATAATACACACTTGATGCAATAGGCTACATGCTTGTGGAGCCTGAGGGTGGATCTTCACCTAATCCTTTTTATTTTTAGTTAAGGAAATATGAATGTGAGAATATCAAACTATGCAAGTAAATAAAGTATTGTTCATCCCACAGACAGTCAAACAGATACCAGGTAAAAAAAGAAAAATGAACCTTGCAGATGTTTTATTTATTACCATCATAGATAAATATATTCCATTATCCTATTTGTGGCATCGTATCGTAAGTATCGGGTACCGTAATATTTTGGCAGGAAGTCATAATTTTGGTATCAGTGACAACCCTAGTGACAGTGTGACACTGCTTAGGATACGGAGGTGCGACTGAGTTTAAAAATAGACATCACGTGACGGTGCTCCTTTAAGTAGATACAAGCTCTTTAAACTTCTCATCCTCAATAAGCCTTCCCTCACACTCACTGTCTGCTGACCTCAGTCACTGCCGTGTGTGTGCGTGTGCGTGTGTGTGTGTGTGTGTGTGTCTACCTGTCGGGCTATTTTGCGTGCTTCCCAGTACGGTTTGGAGTCATCCACAGCTCGTCCAATCCGCTTCACCTGCTCGTCAAGCTTCACTGTCGCCTCCACCAGCACCGCACGAAACCTCTGACGGCAGTCCTACACACACACACACACACACACACACACACACACACACACACACACACACGCACCATCCTGTGGTCAATCATAATCATAACTGTATGCTCATTTATTTGGCTAATATGGATAATATTGACTGATACATTATGCTTATATATCATGAAGAAGGCAGCTGAGACGTTATAGAACACAAATTTGAGGTCATTTGAGGTCAAAATGTCCCCAGGAATACTTTCTAAACACTTATTGTTGTTATGGAACAATTGAATGCAAAGACCATTTTTTAAGGCCTCAAGTTCATTCGAGATGAAGAAACAATAAAATCATTCAAATTGAACAAAATGGTACATTAATTCCTCCTTGCAAAACATTCTTCTTTTTTAAAGACTTTTCAATAGACATTCTTTTTTTAAACGGCCCCGTCAGAAATCTTTACACATAGTTAACCTATGATCAATCTACATAATAACACATAAATAAACACACAACTTGAACGATGAAAACCAAATCTGCAATTATATAATATCAGGTTTCACACTGTATGTGGATGGCTCTGCCGCGTGTAACTCCCCATTTCACCACTACGTACTTCATAAACTTCATAACCCCCCCCCGAGCGGCTCGTCTAATTCGAGTCATCAGTAAACCATCAGCACCAACACAAGTGCCCTCATTGAGGCAGCTGCCTCTCCTTTTTATTTTTTTGCCCCTCTGTGTTGTTGAGCGTACATTCTTTGGTGGTGAGCTCACGCTGTGGAGAAGTGTTATTGCGAAATAGGCCACATATGTGAGCGTGTGTGCGTGTGCATTTCTTTGCCGTGCAGCCCCCCGACGCGGCACAGCGACGGTAAAGACCTACTCACACGCGACCTCTGCCATCTCTCAATCCGGAGGGCGGGGTCACCGAGTGTGCGGGGAAAACGCTTCCTGTGACAACGCAGCGTTTCCTGAGCCCCTGTTGCTGAGGCACAGCCAGCGACGCGCAGGCCCCGGGAAGTCTACCCTGCACGCTATTGGTCACGGTCATTCACCGTGGCGGATTTCACCCGCTCGTCTTGAATCTCTTCAAATGTCAGCCTGGATTTAATCTTGTCGCTTTCAGCTTTTCCCGAATCCTCTTGTGTTCGGCCCGAGATGAACTGCAGGCTGTGCAGGGGAAACGGCGTGCAGCCTCCTCACATTCCTCAGCTAACCGACCTTAATGCTGCCCCGCCGGGATTCGCCTGCTTTCTTTCTGTGTATTTCTTTTTTTAAATATATATATATATATATATATCTGTGACACAACTGTTGCATCCAAAATGTTCAGAGTTTCCGCCCTGCCACCAAAAGTAAAACAGCCTTTAAATCCTTTGCGCCAGATGTTTTCCAGAATTTAGCTGGAAGGTATTGAATAAAGCAGAATACTAATCCCGTCTTCTCCCCTTTTGTCCGATTCGTTCATGAAACGTCCATGTGGCATTCGGACAGTTGACTGAGGAACATTACTTGGGGAAATGAAAAGCATGGCTTGTCTCTGGAATGCTCTGACCCTCGCTAAACAGTAACTACTCTAGTAAGTGTTTAAATTAAAGCCAAGGCGCTCTTCCTAGGTGCTTCTTTGCAGCTTTAAAAAAATGTGCTGTGTGTTTTCAAAGGGGGCGAGGAGGGCGCTCGTGGGATTTAGGTCATGACCTCTCTGCCCTCACGCTGTTATTAAGGAGCGACGGACGCCCGCTGCAGTTTCTCCACACATGGTTTCAAGAGTGAGATTTTGAATGTGAGCCCTAATGGCTCCCGGTGACGGGTTCGGACAGACAGAGGCCCTGATGGTTAATGAAGGCGGTGTAGGTGGGTGGCGCTCACCTCCAGCTCGCTCTCCCAGCGGTTGATGTCGTCTGTCGACTGGTTCAACTTCTCCAGTTCTCCCTGTTTACAGAAAACACGACGTGCAGGGGAACGGGGTTACAACAGAGTCTGGAGGCCAAACCGATGGACCGGTTCCCTGATAGCTGAGCATGCGACCTTCAGTGAGAGTGTGTGTGTGTGTGTGTGTGTGTGTGTGTGCGTGGGGGGAGGAGGGGGGATTCTATTAAATTTCAGGCATAGTTGACACATTCAATAAATAACTTGTTGGGTGGAACAGTAGTTGTTGCATTACACAGTAATGTTTATGTATGTGTGTGTATATGTGTGTGTAGTGTATATGTGTGTGTATATGTGTGCGCAGTCCACTGAGTATGAGGTGAACACATTTCCAAACAATATTCCACACAACCTGACTTCCACTGGGCTTCTTATTTCTGTCTCAATGCCACTTTCACTAGTGGCCACATCTGGATTCAATTCTATATTTAAAAAATCCCACCTGGATTCTTGGATCCACTGCTTCTTCTTCTCCTTCTTCTCCTTCTTCTTCTTCTTCTTCTTCTTCTCCTTCTTCTCCCTCGTCGCCACACTGCGAGTCCTCCTCACAATTATCACCATTTTGTAGAGGATCCATTTTCCGGATATCTGGAGGTTTTTATTTATTTATTTTTTTCCTACGTGGGTCCTCGCTGCAAACAGAAGCCCGACCCCGGGCCGCTGGACAGCGGAGGCGTCCGTCCTCACTGACCTTTAAAGCAGGTCCCGTCGCATGCTTTTATTTTCTAAAGGTTTCGGCGCTTGTCGGGGAGCGGAGGAGTCCGCTGTCTGCGGGCCGAGGAGCGCGTCCGGCCGCTGGGAGATCCGACGCGCGCAGTGTGGGGAACAACCTCTGGGAAAGGCACGAACGCCGTGGAAAATAAATCTATAAAGTCAAAGTCAGTAATCCACGTGGCTGCTTCTGGTTTAGACCTTCAAAATAAAACCCTTTAAGCGAAGCATCGCTTGTGTTTCAAAAAGTGGTCGGACGGGTGACAGCGTGATAATATGTATATTGTCAATTTATAGATGAATATACTATAAAGATTATTTTTGACACAATAGACGAGAAGGAGTTTTTAAGGAATCTCAAACTATAAAGACACCGGTACCCAAATCTCCTCATTAGGTCTTTAGGGCGCTTATTAGGATCCAATTCTCCTGCGGGTTTTACCAAACTGTATCTTGGACTCTGATACCCGGTGAACTTTATTTTCTGTTCATTTTGACATTTTATTTCTTGCTATTCTCTGCATCTTAATATTGGTTTGTATTGCATCGTAGCTAATTCCATTTGCCCACGTGCATTTTCTTACGTTTGCTTTATTCATTTGACTTTAATCCACAACAGCAACGTTTTTTTTCTGTACCATGTATGTTTGTAATGAAAGTGTTCATTAACAAATTAAATTACCGCACAAAGCTATTTATTTTGTCTGGACACACGCTTCTTATTTCCGGCGTTAATGAGGCCGCTTGATTCGGCTCCACAGTGGGATCAGGAGTTGGTTTCACTCGCCCTCTGGTGGAGAGGCCTCCTGGGGGGGGAGGGGCGGGGGGTCAGACTGGAGGCCTGACAACGGCTCATTGGTCAAACCACTGGTTTCCAACGGGGGGGTCATAACAAGTGATTTTTATTTATTGTTCAAGATAGTTTACGTAAGGTGGTAGTTTTATAAATATTTTTGAATGAAAGCTTTTCTTTGGAGAGATTATAAATGAACTGCAAATTATGATATTTTACAATATGCGCTGGAGACGTCATTGACGACTATTGAAATGATAGTTTGACCAAATAAAAACATAAATTATCTTGGTAGAAATGTTCCACGTCCTCAAGTCAAGTCTTTGCAGACAGCTGATCCTGTGCAATTCCGTCATTGTATTATAAATATTACCAACCAACTGGAGTTAAAGTCAGCCAATGGATATGATTATTTAAAACATGAAATGTGTTTTTCTGTGATTTGGGTAAACTATTCTTTCAGTTCTTCTTTATTACGTATAACATGGTTTATGGGTGTTTAGGCCTCGTGTATTTTATATTGCGTGAGACAGCTGCGCGCGGGCATGTAGGCTGCAGCGCCTCGCACGTGTACCCCCCCCCCCCCCCCCCACACCCTCCCCTCCACCCCTCCTCCAGCGTCCTCCTGCGTATGCATGCATGCCACCGACGGGCTGGTTTCATAACGTGGGGAGGAAGGGAGGAATGGGGCTTTGAGAGAGCGGATGAGCGCCAGACCCGATCGGTTCTATGCACCAACAGTGCCTCCCCCATTCCCGGGCCGTGCGGGCGGCGCGCTACAGGAGACGCGCCAGTGGAGGCTGCTGATGCTGCTGTGCGATCAGCTGTTTTTTTTGTCTTGAGCATCATCGCCGCGGCGGCCAGAGACACCGAGACGAGGCTCCGGAGCCAAGCGAGACACCGCAGCACCGGGCAACAGAGGATGGAGTTCAAGCATCTGGTGGAGGCGGCGGAGAAGTGGTGCTCCGGTAACCCGTTCGACCTCATCTTCGCCGAGGAGGACGACGAGAGGCGGCTTGACTTTTACGCGGAGCCCGGCGTCTCCTTCTACGTGCTCTGTCCCGGCGGCACCGACAGTTTCGTAAGTGAGCTTTCTGCAGGGCCTCTGGCCTTCTCGGTGTGTGTGTGTGCGTGTGTGTGTGCGTGTGTGTGTGTGCGTGTAGGTGCATCGAGGGTGGGTTGGAGGTGGGGTTGTCCTTCTTGGTCCCGGGTGATAGACACGAGGGTGGGTGGGGGGCTTTGGGTGAAGAGTGAAGGGATGATGTCATTTCAGTTTGGGTGCACACCCCCACCCGCCCACACACCCTCCACCCTGTCGATGGTGTTTTTTTCTCCCTCCATCATAATCAACTGCGACCACACAGCAAAGTCAAGCTGGCCAGGTTATTAAAACACGAGGCCTGAGAATTTCACAATAAAAGCTCTGCAGAACATAACGTTGCATTGGGGAAACAAAGAAGCCCTCCTGTATCCAAATAAAGAACTTCTAAAAAGCAAATTCTCTTTTTCTCTTAAAATATAATTTTCAATAGTTTTGAATGTTTAGCAAATGCCTCCTTTCTGTACAAAAAGATCCAACTTGTTGTTGTTTTCTACATCAAAATCAGTAAGTAGACCATTCTGTCCATAGTTAAAATATTGACTGGCTTATATGTTTAGAGAGGCGGCTGCTCCGCAGACAGTAATTCATTAACAAGAACCCAACTTTGTTTTGAAGGAATTATTGACAGATTTATATATAATCCAAAAAATCCCAGTTAAACCTTGTGAAATGTTAGCCTAAATATATTCACCACACATGACGCTCTAACAATGTTTGTAAGACGTCTCCACACTGAAAAAGGGGCGAAATAGCAAATCCCTTTTTTGGCTTTTACTTTCAATTTTACCAATCTAATGTAGAGACGGTAAACTATGTTGGAATCTACATCGAAGGAACACCATGTGACTTTTTATGTTCATTTATTATTCAACATGAACTTGTTAAATTGTTAAAATCGCATAAATACCTAAAGACATGGAGGATATGAGCTAAGTGAAGGGTTGGGCGACGTGTGAAAAATCAGATATTTATAATACTTTCACCAAATATATTGACACCGTGATGATATTTTACTGCTGACCAGAGGTTCCAACATTACATCTGATCTCCTACGACAACGTGGTCGTATTATCGGTTCATGGCCTTGACACCGTGTCCGCGTCCAGGGCGGTGCAGCGGTGGTGTTGTGAGCCCTGAAGCTGCCAAGGCCGGGCCCGCCCTGCTCCCCCCTCCTGGTGACAGCGGGTGGGGGAGGAGGTGGAGGAGGAGGGAGGGGGCAGATGGAGACGGCCCCGGCAGCCGAGGCGTCTGCTCGGCCAAAAACACATTATGTCACTCCGCTCTCTCCGACGCTCTCCGCGGCTGCCGGGTGGAAAATACACAGCAGAAGGAAAAAAAAAATCCAGCTGCTGCGTAAGCGAACCATTTTGGTCTCCATCTTTTCAATGTGATTTTCAATGATCTTCAGAGTTCTCTAAATAACTCCCTGTCCCTCTGCGGTAACCTTGGGATTCACTTCCTCTCTCGATCAATACAGCAGGGCATCTCCTGTCCTCTCTCTCTCTTTGTCTCTCTGTCTTTCTGTCCCTCCATCTTTCTGTCTCGCGTCATGGCCGAGTCCTCTCACTGGAGGGCGCTGTGACATCGGTCTCACCCAAACCGGAGCACAGCTGCTTCCACATCTGTAATTCTTAGTTCTCAGTAAGTTGTCCGTCGTGCGGGCGATGAAGCTCCTCAGCGGCTGAAAGGAGATTTAAGGTGGAGGGATCTGCACCCTCACGGTGGAAGTCCCTCCGTCACTGTCAAACGGGAACATCCACCCGCGGAGCAGCGAGAGCCGGAGGGCCCGCCGATGACCCCTGTGGCGCCGACTCTCCCCGGACGTGATTGACTTCGGTCTCACGTGATTTCTAACGCTCTCGTATGAAAGAGACGGAGCCCCTTAAGAGTTAAACCCTCGATTCCAACAAAGTTGCTGATTAACAAAGATTTTGATTTGATATAATATAACAATAAATGATAATTGCATTTTTGAAACGGGCCTTATTTTTTAAATTGAGACACTTATGAATGCTTTTTTTGTGAAGTTATGTATTGTTAACAGTTGCATTACTCACATAAAATGGTTTTAATCATTAATATAACCAAATCCTACTAAGACAAATGAATAATGACAACGTTAACTCCACAATAAGATCACATGCTTTTGTTTTATACCTGCTTTATTTCCTTCATATCGCTGAGCACACATAATAAACGATACGCACCAGAGTGGCCTTTCGACCACACAACACTAAAAGTAAGTGAGGCGTTATCGCTCCAATAGCGGATCTTTATCTACAGCTTTGAAATTGGGGGAACTATGTTGATTTTGATCACAACTTACCTAGAAGAAATAAATAATCTACTTTTTAGCAACATGCAGAGATTGTTGGCAGGCGTAGAGGGTTGGGTGGACTATGGGGAAATGTCCCTAAGAGGGGAATATATTGTAGTAAACGTGCAGAACGGCATCCGTAAATCGATTTATGGAATGGAAGAAGAAATTAAGTAACGGTAAAGTACAATTAAATAAATGAAGAACATGGAAACTAACATGATTATTTTTGTGTCTACGTGATCAAAATTAAGCGTTTCTCTATTTTTTTGGAAAGGTATCAAACGTATGAAATTGATTAATTTGGTTTATGTAATTTGAGGTGCAGTGCATTGCTTTTATCCTCATTATCTGACACATGTTATAAATGCATCTATCTAATCTAGTCTTACTGGAACTCTACTGCCTGAGAAGGAAGTAAAAATCATTGTCACAGTTACTGTACAGTTGGTACACTTTTATTGGCCACCGGCAGCATAGTATTGAGTCCCCAGCAGGTCGTTTAAAGGTGGTTTAAAGGTTCCACCCTGAGACTGGACAGGCGTCGTGACCTTTTGTGTGACAAACAGTCCTGAAACAAAAGGTTCCCGAATAACGGTGTCATTCATACCGATGCATATCGATCCAGGCGGCCGCAGCGCTGAGACAACACAAAGACCGTTGCATATTTACTGGTTAGTTCAGCCTCCGTTTGAGAGAAAACAGCTGGTTGGACGAAGCGTGACAGCATCACATGGCAACATGTTTGGTTTTATTTATTTTGACATTCTTTCCTTTCATGCACGCGCTGAACCCCGCGTGGGTTTTTTCTGCAGTGCGCGCACAGAAATGGGTTAACTGGCGCGACGTTTTCGCTGTGACTCGTTGTCGTGGAAGCCTGCTTTCATCATCTCCTGTGATGCAGCACGTGTGGAGCGAGAGCGAGGACTGCCTTCCCTTCCTACAGTTGGCGCAGGACTACATCTCCTCCTGCGGGAAGAAGACCCTGCTGGAGGTGCTGGAGAAGGTCTTCACGTCCTTCCGGCCTGTAAGGGAACAAAGTGTTTTTCCGCTTGTGTGTGTGTGTGTGTTTCTTTTTTATAACGCAGGGCATCATATCCCAGCACGGTGACCCCTGCTCCGGGTTTCTTGAGTCCGTTTCAACGCTGATACATTCTGTTCCCAAAACAAAACGTGCCGAGCTCCACCCAGAGTCATGACGTTTGAAAGTTACCAGGCTTATCGGCAAAAGTTACAAAACAAGAGCAGAACACCATGCAAGCCCTTTTTTTGTAAGAACCTTAAGAATATTCCTGCTGTTTGACATGTAGGAGCACTTTTACATACGTCTTAGATGTTATGTGTTGATTGACTTGTAAGTAAAGTTGTAGCGGAGTGAAAGCGGTATAAATATCCACCTACTGGATGCTCAGTATGTCGGCATGAACAGAGCAGCCGCACTATTAACACAAGGCTGCAGATCCTGTTCTACCTGCTCCTGATGATCCTCCTCCGCACGAGACGCACGTCAGACGCACACACACACACACACACAGTGAACACACACACACACACACACACGCAACTTGTTACAACCTGCACAACTCAACCTTCTCCTTTCACCCGCCAGCTGCTGGGTCTGCCGGACATAGAAGACGACAGCTTCGAGCATTACCACGCCGACATGGAGGGGGAACCAGGGCCCGACCACCAGCAGATGGGGGTCAGCCAGCAGTGATCCACCCCCCCCCCCTCTCCCCCACCTCCCTCCGCCCCCCTGCTCGGCGCGGAGGAATCAGCCCCCAAACGCTTGACATCACGCACGTGCTGAGGGACAACTCGCCGCACCACCATGTTTTCTTGAATGTCTCAGTGGCTTTGCTTTCCAAAGAGTGCACTGTGTTGACCCCCCCCTTCTCCCCCCCAACCACACACACACACACACACACACACACACACACTGGGGCTACGTGAGCCGTACGATGCAACAATCATAATCATTAACCATCTGGATAGTTAAAGTTCTACAGCACACGAATATTGCATCCTCCTCCAGCTGGTTTTGTTAAGCAGAAGACACATTCAGATGTCCCCGCAACGCACCCCCCCCCCCCCCCCCCCTGCACCCCCCTGCACCCCCCACACCCCCAACCCTTGGCTTTGCAGATGAATGTGACAGACAACCTACTTCCTCAGCCTGTCTTGAAACAGAGGATACGCAAGAGCTTGTTTAAAGAGAAAAGGGGTGAAAATTGCCGGAGGAAGAAGAGGGAAAGATGGAGGAAGAAGAGGAGAGGGAAGGACGGAGGAAGAAGAGGGAAGGACGGAGGAAGAAGCGGGCTGAAGCTCTCCACTTCACGCCGGGTGAAACGCGGGGGGAAACGGAGGGCGGGTGTTGCTGCGACTTCCAGATGATTCAGCTCTCAAACTTCCCAACACACAATGAAAATAACCTTGCGTGGGTTACAATCACACCTCACGTGCAGCTCGGCTGCAACACGGATCATTTTCTGATGCGTGTGTTTCTTAATGTCGCGGTCATGTGAACATCCAGACAAAGGCCCTTCCCGTTTTTTGGGTGTCTCATGGCCACGTGACACCTTAGTTCTTCTGTCCCGCCGTCTTCCTGCTTGTTGGTGGTTTGCAGTTTGTCCTCCTTTCTCTGCTCAATCTGTTGAGAGACCTTCCCAAATATAGAAAAATGCATATTTTGCGTGTGATGTTTTCGATTTAGCGGCGCCTTTCATGTCTGACGAGTGTCCCCCGTGTTGTCTCTAATGTCCCATCCAGCGCACTGCAACGCTTCAGGCCTCCAGCCGGCCGATCCACAAGACTGTTTCAGAGGCTTCTCCTCAGCCGGGTTACTTTGGCTTGTAAATGTTTTTTTCTTTTTATTGCCTATTTGAATGTTTCTCATGCAGTGTATCTTCTGTTTGTCCTCCAGTGTGTGTGTGTGTGTGTGCGTGTGTGTGTGTGTGAAATTGTTCAATAAACCGTGTGAACAGAGCTCCTCGTGCGCATTCCCTCTTTCTTCTGGTGGCTTGAAGTCAGCGCAAACACAAACATGGAGGCCCTTCATATCGCACAGTGGACCGGTGACCCGCTGCCAGCAGCCCGCTGGAGTCACTGGGTTTGACGTCACGTGGCACCTGACGCGCCCACTCGGAGCCGCGTGGAGCTGGAGATGAGGACGCAGCGGCAGACAGGAAGCTACGTCTTGGCCTTCAAAGTAAAATCCCTGAAAATGGCTGAGGTTTTCAGTACAGTTCAGATATTATTATTGTTTCCACCGCTTTTGCAGCTAGTTATTTTCCATATTGAACTATGGAATGGATGAACAGTTTTTAAAATGTAATCAGCCAAATGTACTTAATGTGAAGCGTAACATTGTTCAGATAAGACCATTAAAAGCATAATATTGGCTTAACTTATCTGCAGCGACTACATCATTACCTTGTAAAGCAGGAAAGGAGAGCAGCAGGTACTAACGCAGCTGCTTTTGTTAAATTTTATATTACAGTAACTTTCAGCCCCCCCCCTTCTTAGGGTTAATGGTTAATGGTGCTTTTACACCAGCGTTTACTTTGAAGGGAATTCAACCATGTCCCGCTGAACTTGGGCACATTGACGGAGTTGCCTCCCAGAAAGGAGGAGGGCAATCTGTGCTTTTATTTTTCTTTCCCCGACGGCCGCAGTTGAGCTCAAAATCTAATTTGAAGCTGACAAGCTGCTGGTCAACACCTGCGCAAATGTCCTCGCCCGGGGTGGAGGAACCCACTACTTTTACCTGAAGACATTTTTCCTTTTCCTTTTTCCATTGTTGTATAAAAAAGGGGAAGGGCAGACAAACACCCATTTGGGAAATGATGTTACGCTTGAGAAAGTGCGCACTTTACGCACGGTGAAACTTTAAGATGTTGGATCGCCTCGCCCTTGTTTCCTTTGTTGCTGACAGTCCTTGAGAACTCTGTGGCCATGCGTCGTGGGTGAGTTCTTCCGAAGCGCAAACACACGCTCCCCCCCCCCACCATCGAAACAGCATGGGGGCCAAACAGAGCACCCCTGCGTTCGATGGCAGAACTCGGGCTTATTCCAGCTCCGACCTCCCATCTGGCCACGGAGAGGGACGGGTTGCGGGCTTCAGGTACACCAATGGACCGGACGGCCCCCGGATCCGTTACACCGGCGGGGGGCCAACCAGCTCTGGACTCAGTATCCCGGCGGGGGGCAGGTCGGGGTCGCGCGCACTCAATCAGAGCCTCGGCGGCACGGAGGGCGACGAGGAGGGCGCGCCGCCGCCCGAGGGCCACAGGTTGCTCATCGGCTCGCTGCCGGCCCACCTGTCCCCGCATCTGCTGGGAGGTAAGATTGTGTCCCACAGTTTGCAATAAAGTCACATTCCTACCAGGGATACGTCATTGCTCTTCTGCCTTTTAACATTTTCTCATTTCTTTTTAATACTCTTTGCGTGTCTTTTATTATTATTTTTTAATTATTATTATGCTGGACGTCATCGTTATCTTAACTGAAGTTTTTTTTTTTAACCCCATGTTCCATAACTGTACCATTTGATGGTGGTATCGTTGTTGGATCAGAGTCAGCGTGTCCGCTCATGTTGACTACAGAAGAAGCTGCAGGCTGCCCATAGCTGTCAAAGCTGCTTAGTGTTTTTCCATTTGACACATGACACCTGGCATATGGTAATAGCAGTGTGATGCCTCACTGAGCCCTTTGTTTAGCACTTCTGCGCGTTAACTGGAGCAACAGGTGGCTCCGCTGTACTTCAGTCTCCTTTTGCCTTTCGTCTGTTTTGCAAAACACGGCCTGTTATTCTCTCCACCCGAGAGCGAGAGTGCATTATGTAGGTCAGCAGATAAGAGCTTCCTGCTGGTTACACATTGCCTGACGCACATGCGCACGCACACACACACACACACACCCTAGATGTTTGTTAACTGGTGGGTTGTCTGCAGAGCAGACCACAGCAAAACCAAAACCGGCCCTGTTATGAGTATAGGACGGGGTCGGGGCACCCTGACGTCACCGCCAACTGAACTTTGTTTCCTGAATCGTTTTTTTTGCCGTTGGAGGTCTCCGAGAGTTGCTCCGATTTCCTCATCTTTCATAACACGGTTGATTTCCTGTAAATTTCCAGGCGGGGACGTCTAATCATTAAGAACCTCATCTGTAACCTTTGTTCATCGGAGCCATGTGACTGTTACCCCACAGGCCTGACGTTGTGCCCACGGGCTTATCTTCCCCTAAAAACACATGACCCAACACAAACACGAGGCTCGCAACACACAGATAGCTGCCTGCATACGTGGTGTGTGTGTGTGTGTGTGTGTTGTTATTCTCTCGACTGAGGAGTTATAATTTTAGACAGACTTTTAGCTTATCTCATGCTGACCAACATCTGTGCAGCTGACAAGATGCACACAGCGGGGAATAAATAAATGACTTTGTGCATTTCATACATGCAGTCCATGAAGCATGGACCTGCAGGTCTACGTAAGACCAAACGCATGCCCCACGTCCTCTGTTGTGGAAAAAAAAGTTAAAAAAAAGAAAGAAGTTGCCACATCTTTGTCTTTACGTTTCTTGTCTTTTTGTCCCCGTCCGCAGGCTTCCACTGTCCTGTGTGCTCAAAGTTCATGGCGTCGGATGAAATCGAGAAGCACCTGCTCATGTGTTTCAGCAAAACACGCCTCACCTACAACAGTAAGAAGTGAAAGAGGGCAAGTTGAAGGATTTGCTATGAGGCGTCCACAGCTGCCATGTTATTCTCTTATGCTTCAGTGTCACTTGGTCATTATTGTTCAATACACACGTGCAAAATACCGCGTACAACTGCAGTGGAAACAAGTACAAGTACATGAAGGTTATGCAAGAATGCAACATGTTCTTGTTGACATTGGACCGTTGCCTCTGTGTTCCCTTCCTTCGTCACGATGGTACGCCATGTTGCTTCTGCAGCTGGGTCATGAGGGTGATCGTCAATGACCGCGGCACAGTCTCGCTTTTATCCCAGAATGCACTAGCCACAGACGTTACAGTTGTACTAGACGTCATACAACGCAGCCGCACATCTACACAGTGTTTGTGTTAACTGTGTTGGCTTCCCGCTGGTATCTCACACACACACACACACACGCTGTGCAAGTAGACTGTGTGTTTGACAGCGTTGCACATATGGAGACGAGTGCAGATTGCTTGGGTTTGACGCGCTCGGAGACCTGCGCACACTCCCAGCAGCATGCGCATGTGCTGACAGGTGTACAGTACGTGCAGCTCACAGACGGTTCTGTGTGTCGTAGCTCATCAAAGGCACACGGATGTGTAACGGCACTACAATCCTCCCTCCGTCCTCCCCCTCAGCCCTCGGTCAAATATGTCCACCTGTATTTTAATGAGCTTATCTAACCTCTGCTGCAGGATTCCTGCATATTACAGACTGATGGAGAGGTTCGGTTACTCCTTTGCCTCAGACATTGACACAAGGGCTTCTGGTCTCTTAAGGCGCACAGAAACACACAAGAGAAAACTTCATCACATCTTTTTACTCACATACAAGCTGTTCTCCAAAGAGGACAGCAATCACGATCACTGACTGACGGGGGACACCTGTGACACACATGACAACGGGCCTTCTGGTACCGGAGGTTAGACAGATGGTTGTGCAGGATTGCGTGACTGAACTGAACATGTGCGTGGTTTTGTGTGCGAGGTAGCCCTTCCCTCAGTTTCGTTTACCCGTATTGTTTTTCTCAGAGGACATCCTGTCCAGAGACTCTGGGGAATGTGCCATCTGTTTGGATGAGCTGGAGCAGGGGGACACCATTGCCAGGCTGCCTTGCCTCTGTATCTACCATAAAGGGTAACGGACACACACAAACACGCATAAATAGACGCACTGTGGGTGGAAATGCAATAATGTAGATGTAGAACTTTGAATTTCAGTTTAGAATACAAGTAATACAGATGTTCCATTGTAATAGCATAAGAACCATATACTGTCTGCAAAAAGTACAACTAGTCTCTGTTATGCATCAACTAGTCTCTGTTATTATTATTATTGGCTTGTAGAACATGGTTCTGTGGTCTTGAAAACATTTTTAGTATCTTGGATTTGGGTTTTTTGTAACTAGAAGTGAAACGAGAAGGAGGAACAAAGTACGTCAGAGTGTTGAATAAGAAAATTTAGGCAACCAAAAAAAATCTCCTCAAGTTTTAAGAAATAAACTTACACTTTAGCCGTGACCACCTGTAGGGTACGAACATCATGCAAGACTTTTTAGACCCAAAGTTTGCCGTCTGGCAATTTATTTGGCAGAATGTGCAAAGAACAAACCTTTACCTCCAACTCTTTTGTAAAGTAACTTCATGCTAGCCAGGCTAGCGGTTTTCCCCTGTTTCCATTCTTTAGGTTAAGCCAAGCCGACCAATGGTAGACTCGTACTAAACAGACTGATAAGAGTGTGGTAAGAAATCAAGTAGGCACAGCGAGATGTAATATAATACAGATATAATATAACTAATATCGACATCCAGATCAAATAGCTTGAGAAAACACATCTACATCCAGGTAATTTGATATAAATGTATGAAATAAAGAGATAATTTGATCAAATAATAAATAGCGATTGTTATTGTGATTATTTGAACCAAATGTGTTTTTTCACTCTGCCGTCTTCCTCTCCCAGGTGTATAGACGAGTGGTTTGAGGTGAACCGCTCGTGTCCGGAGCATCCCTCCGACTAGGAGCTGCAGGAGCACCGCTTCAGGCGACTGCCCGTCCCCGTGGTGGACTCTGCGCCCCGACCTCATCGCAACTGTTCCAGCCGAGCATCACAGCTCCTCAGGGACGTTAAGACATTGTTGTTCACCAGAGTCCTCTGCATTGCCTCGTGGAATAGAGATAAACTCTGGGTACGTTGCTCCGGACGCCGTGGAACCTTCGAAGAAAATATGTGAATCCTTATGCCACCTTCTGGCCTGAAGTGTGTTGATGAAACCTGGGCTCCGGGTGGTTGTGCTGAGCGGGTTGTTGTTTCGTAGCAGAGGACTTGTGTAACCAACGTGGCTGCGCGGACGGCGTCTCCTCACAGCAGAGATTCAGACGAGAGACTGTTGAGACTTGATCGGAAGGCTGAGGGCCGCTCTTGTGCAAGGCAAAAACAATCAGCCATTCGGAGTTAGAAATGCCTCTTTTCAGCTTTAAGGGATGATTACAGTGTTGATCGTAGGATGTAGATCCTGATTCTATTGTGAAATTGGTAGAAAAAAAATCACCCCGTTTTTTTTTTTTTTTTTAAGCAATCGTGTGTCCTCGACCAAATTGTGTACGGTGAAGTAGTTTGTTGATCCTTCGCCCATTCAGAACCACGTGATTGTGTACTTCCTGCTGTCAAAGCAGAGACAGTCTGAAATTTAATTGACATTTAATAAGGATTCCTACTCATGAGGAGTGCCATAATATGCTGCTATGTCATAGACTGGAATGTTTTCTTTAATCCTTCAGCCTTTGTTCTTTCTATTTGTACTGTAAGGTTTGCACAACAATAAATGTTTTGTCTTTGTGTGTCGATGCTACATATAAACCCGTAAAATGTAAAGGCATAATCTTTATACATATTTATGTGAAATGAAATGATTCAGCCCCAATGAGATGCATTTCACTCTGTCTTCATTGGTTGGAAAACGGGGGATAAAATCGAAGATAAATACTAAATAGATCTTAACCAGAGATATTTCAAAAAAAGGTATTCCTAAAATGTTGAAGAAATTGACACACAGACTACGCAGTCGGCAGTTTGCAGTTGTTCTATCAGTCATAGACTGCAGGGAAGATATGTGATGACTTGCTAGCAGAAGGCATGCATGGGCAAGGATGACATTGAGTTGCCGTCTGAGGATATGCACAATTTGATCTGTTGTGTTGCAGAGACAGACGGTACCTCAGACGGTATTCTTCTTAACACAATAAAGCCAGTTTACAGGAAAGGATAACATTCAAAGGACAACTATTATTTATAAAACTGTCCTAGTCTTGACTTGTTCCGTTTGTTATTCGGACTGAAACCCCACATGTTAGCAAGATGTAAAAGAAAATGTTCTTTGTAGCTCGTATGTTTTATTGTAACTGGTCCATGTATTGATTGAAGAAGGCTTTGAAATGTTCACCTTAAATGAGTCAAAAACAAGGAATACATCTTCGTACAGGAGTCATATGAATATGGTCTTGATTTTGTATTGTATATTTACTACATTTGGATTGTTCCATCAGAAGTTTTTGCTTGCTTTTTTCAATCCAAGCTCCTATGTAAATTAACTGCAAAATGTCCCAAACAATCTTGATTTTGGATAAACACCAGAGAATCATAACGAGAATCTAAATATTTCACTTTTCCAATGTTGTTCATCTGACTGACTGTTCATTGATTATGTTTCTGGAGTGTCGTGAATGTTTAATCATTGATATGTTTCTGCAACAGAAAAAAACAAGCGCACACGTACACGTGACGTAATCACGTAGTGACACTCTGTCGCTTTGTTGATGACGTGCGGCGTGAAGAACGTAACGTACCATTACCGCAAACAGCAGCACCAGCAGTTAACGGGGTTTTGTGTCAATATTGTTATACAGCCACCTTTTTAATCCGCATTTGTTTTTCTACTCAAAGGTATGTTTTTATGTCTCTTGTACCAATCTAACATTTTAAGTTCCGTTGTTTCACCTTTCAGACTTTTCCTTGGCTAACGCCAGCTCGAGCTCACTAGCTAGCTTAGCTGTAAGCTAGCGTTAGCTGTTGCCTACAGCCGAACATCTGCTGGACTTTCCCCGCCACGCTATGAGCAGATGTAGTTAGCGGTTTTTTAAACAAGTAGTTACTCTGAATATCGATCAATTTATATTAAGCTTGAATCCTTTGTGGGGGTTTTTTTCAGCCTTGGCTCTGACTGCTTGGAATCAAGATGTCGTACATGCTACCGCATCTCCACAATGGCTGGCAGGTGGACCAAGCCATCCTGTCCGAGGAGGACCGAGTCCTTGTGATCCGCTTCGGGCATGACTGGGACCCAACGTGCATGAAAATGGACGAGGTTCTCTACAGCATCGCTGAAAAGGTTTGATTAATGTCTGATACGGCCAACGTTACTTAACACCCAGATGAAATAGTGATTCTGTCTGGAGCCTTATTTACAATCGGATTCCTCCACTTTATCACCCATTAAATCTTGTTAAAGATGAATTCATAAATTTGGCAGGTAACAAAATCAGGCTACGGCACTTTTCTGGAATGGTGCAGATTTATACTGTCTGCCAGATGCATGTGAAGATTCATCAGTACTTTCTGATGCTCTTGGCATTTTATTTCTGATGAAAGCAGTAAGAGTCTGCAATCATTTCTGACAGATGTTTTACTCTTTTTGGAGATAATAATACAATAATACATTATTAAGGTGATGCATTGCAGTTTATGGACTAGGTTTATATCATACTTTCAATTTTTGGATCAAATTTAATCCAAATGTGTTTCTAAAGCACATTGAAAAGCAACAACGTTTGGCGAAAGTGCTGTTTAATGAAAACATATTCCTATTGAAAAGGAAGATATAAAAGAGTCATGCTTGCTTAATCCACAAACTAACCTTTCCCTGTTGTGTTGATCTGCCTGCAGTGCTAAATACTTTGCTGCTCATGGCGATACATTTTACGTTTTACTATTGTATCACTATTCTACTTCTGTCTTGACAGGTGAAAAATTTTGCAGTCATTTACCTGGTGGACATCACAGAGGTGCCTGACTTCAACAAGATGTACGAGTTGTACGACCCCTGCACCGTCATGTTCTTCTTCAGGTAAAGGCACGCCGTCACATTTCAGAATATCCGAGCCAACAGAATTTAAAGTAAGCTGATTGGTATACGAGGAACCTCTCTAATGAAGTGTGTCATCGTTGAGGAATTACTGTACGACTCCATATTGTTGTTGTTTTTCAGGAACAAACACATCATGATTGATTTGGGTACTGGTAACAACAACAAGATCAACTGGACAATGGAGGACAAGCAGGAGATGATAGACATTGTGGAAACAGTGTACCGCGGGGCCAGAAAAGGAAGAGGTCTGGTAGTGTCTCCAAAGGATTACTCTACAAAATACAGATATTGATTTTATTATTTTATTTTTTACCTTTTTAAGTCTAAGAAGAGTTATTTTTCATCCCTCTTCATATTCTGTGACATGACACACAGACTACAAGTTATCGGAGATCTTTTTCATACGTTTTTTTGCCTCTGAAACCGGACAATACAGAGTTATGGCCTTGATCGTTTGTGTTTCCTGTCCAGACTGATGTGTGATTTACTTTCTTCAACAAGTTGTGTCTTTTCAAAATGCCCCCTTTCTGGGAAACAGGTGCTGATGAAGAAAAACAACAAGTAAAAAGTTCCCAAAATGTAATGAATGTACATTTACATATTAAAGTGTATTGATGTAGGTGCTTTGGCTTTCTGTCTTTTCAGGGCGACTCAGAGTAAAGTCGTGTATAGTGGAAATAATTAGTTGAGATCGGCACATATTTGTTTTGATGGTGACTGAAGTCTGAGTGCATTTCCTAAGACCTCCACTAGGCGGAGCCAGAGATGTTTATTCCTCTATTACTAAAGGTTCTGTGTCTATTTACCACGGAAATAGATTAGCTAAAGGAATCTATTTTTCAGGCACTATGTACAGGCACAGGTTCAACATTTTATTTAGGATATAATATGAACATGAAACTGATGTATTAGTTAATCCAAAAGAATTCAAAAGTGTACGGTCATGTAAATATGAGATAATAAAAAGTCAAAATTACTCCCATAGTCATTATGTATAGAAAAAGAAAATCGCAGTGAAGTTACAAATCACGAATAACCCATCGTCTAATGTGTCAGATAAAGGTTTTTAATAGTATGTGGTAATGAAATGTTCTAGTACCACATAATTACTTTTTAGACATACTGTATAACCAAAAAGGTTACTTACATACAGATTTACTTGTATATTGATATACTGGCCACATTTCCTCCCCTGGCTCTTTGGTTTCCTCACAGTTTTCGGCAGTTAACAAAAACAAATGGAAATGACCATAGAAAAGAAAAGAAAGGAGGTTGCGATTGGAGTCAGTGAGAGAAATATCAGTCGATCCCATCGGTTAGCTGTCAGCTCCTTACAGTCAGACTGAGTCCCAATTTGTTGAGCGCTAGACGAGGTGAACGGGGAGGAATGATGTGTCCTCAGTATGCGTGTGTCCTGAGATATCCTGACCCTCAATCCCATAATCAATGTTTGTGTTCTCTTGGTCCCTCGAGACAACTCGCTGTACTGCATGCATCTGGTCTTTAAACACCGACCAACCAACCCCCCTCCCCCCACCCCCCTCAAAAGCATATAAATTTAAAGCACAGCGTGACCCCATTATCCCACTGTGTGTACACTGGCAGGCATGTATTCACAGTTCCACGTATACTAATTCCCTCATCTTCCCTTGTGCGTAGACTACATTGAGGACCTATAGACGCCCCCCCCCCCCCCTTCCCCGGGGGCCCAAAATTTTTTCAATGTTAAAAAACCCCATTTGGGGGGGCTGTAGGTTTTTTCCTGACGCCCCGCACGATGGTATAATAAAGAGCGGAAAGCCGCCCCCTACAGGTTCTCCAAAATTCATATCATCATGCGTTGTTGTTCCCTATTACTGTAAATCGTCTCTGCCTCAGGGGGACACGAAGGGTTTACTGGGGAACGCCGGTCTGCACACATGGCGACACGGAGGGACGAACTGTACGGTGCAGTCTGTGTGTTGTTTTGATGATCATATAAGTAATGCACCCCCCCTCTGAACGCTGTGGTAATCCCGATCTGTTTTCAACTGATAGTGTTTAAATCGATCTGCACGAAGAGGCTGCAGCAGACGAGGATCATCTGGTGCCAGGGGGACGACGTGCTGGCATACCTCCATCTTCTCTGTCTTCTCCCCCCCCCCCCCTGCGCCCCCCTCTCTCTTTTCAGTCTGTCACTTTCCACGTGGGTGCCCAAGCGTGGGGGAAGGGTGAAGGGCAATTGGCAATTTCTGGGACACCCCAACCCCCACGGCTGCAGACGCACACATTATGCACAAACAGCCCTCCCCTTTGCCCGGTAACCGCGGTCACCGCGCCTCGTCCAACGGCCGCTGGCTCGTCGCCCTCGTGGTCAACCTGAGTCCTCAGCGCGGCTCAGTCAACGTCGCCTTTTGTCATTGTCATTTAAACAATATCAACTTAATTAATGTACCGAGTCGTCCGGTTAGCAAATCTCCCACCGTGTAAATCTGTGTCACCTTTTCCCTGCACGTCTCGTCCCATGAACTCTCTCCTCGTGGGTTTTATCACGGCCCTCTTCACAGAAGCGGCACACAGGAGAGATCTATTAAGACTCATCTCTCTTTTCACTCCTTGACTCCTTCAAAGGGGGGGCAACACGATGGGGAGACGTGAGGAGAAAGTTCCCACTAACATGAGACACGGTGAGCAAAAGGCGTATCTGCAAACTCCATCACGATCCTGTGGGTCCATCCGATCGGTTTTCTTTTAGGAACTGCTCAGTTGCGTACGCTCTTCAGTGGGTTTGAGTCCCCCCATGGGGGTATAGCCATCGGGTTGGTGCGGATTAAGAGCAGATGTTTCATACTGAAACACACCTAACCGCCCCTTGCCCGCCTCCTTTAGATGCTGACACAGTTAGCAGCCGGGTGTCGTGTTGGTTTAATTCCCTTCTCTCGTGCTCCTTGGGGACCTGCGACTAAATGGATCGGCATCTCTCTCCTGCATCACTCCCCAAGGGGTGCCGTACCCTTCATCTGCAAACAAAATAGAGGAGGGGGGGGTTAGTCCATCTAACTAAACGGAAAGAGCTACCAGGAGGTGCGTTTACACATCTGGACAAACACACGTGGATCACATGACGCTCTGCGTATTCACCTCCATTCACGGCAGGCGCCGCCATTCAGAAGCTTCAGGCCCAATTAGCGCCCAGCCGGTCCTCGCCGCCAGACCGGGCCTCCTGCTGCACAGGAGGTGTGATGCTGAGAAACGCTCCAGCTGAACCAACAGGAGCAGCAGACGCGCGCACACACACACACACACACACACACACGTTTGATCCATAAACCTCGTTTTGTACCGTGACAGTTTTCTCCTTTCTCTCACCGCTAAATTACTCTGCTTATTTTACACTTGATTGTCAGTTTACTCGTCATTCACCGCCGTGAAAACGAAGAGGTGGGTGCGTTTTTTGAGATAAATCCACACCACGATTTTGCATTTTACACCAACACCAACTTCATTCATGGAGAAAAAGCTGCTGGTGCACCCATTGAATATTTCAGATCAATATTTGCCTTACTAGAAAGTGCACATGACCATATTTAATGGATCCAAAGCTTTTTGTTTGATTCAATTTTGTATAAGTGATCAATACTCTTGTGACATGTGACATGTGATCACCCGATGGGACATATTCATACCAATATGATTACCATGATGACGTGTGATGATGGTGAGGAGGATGAACAGGATGCCGGTGATTCATTGATGATGCTGACAGCCATTGTTAACAACGCTGATGCTGCAGGCTGCTGATTGGTGGAGATGGAGTTTCTGAGCAATGCTTCCAGCCAATAAGCCGGGACAGTTTTCTGTGTCAGCTACCTTTGGGGATAACAAATATCTTATTAAGCTTTTCTGCATTTCAGAAATAAAGTCCATGCAGTGAAGAATATGGTTTATTTATGTCGTTCATTTTATGAGTGGTTAATTTAACAAAGGTTTATATTCATACTCTTTGTATGTTGTACCCTGTTATGACATCCAGTTCAGGGAGTAAAACTGTAACTTCACATAATTCACATTAGACAGAAAATGTATGCAACAAAACACACATCTGTCCTGCACCACTGCAATTACACAATCCCCATCGCCCTCCGTCTGTGGCCATCTTCATCCCTCCTCCTTCCTGTTCCCAGTAAACTCATCTCTGCTCCTCGGGCCTCTCCATCATCTTTCACCCGTTCTGTTTGAAGCCATCGTCCCCCTACCTATCTGCCCACACTGGTACAGCCCCCATTATGTGCCTCTGTCAATGTATTTTGCCCTTATAAGGAGAGAGCACAGGCAGACTGTACTAACCACGTCAGCTCAGCGGGGGTGGTACCGGGGCAGGGAGACCACGGGAGGGTGAGATAGGAAGGGATGGAGGAGAGTGGATGGAGGGGGGGGGGGACTATCAATGACTGTAAATAAGATGACAGAAATAGGCATAAAGGAGGAGGAGGTGGGGCGACGGAAGAGTGACTGCAGATTGGAGGAAGCACGAGGTGAACGTGTCTGTGAGTGTGGATGCATGTTTGATGCATGTAAGTGTGGATGCATGTTTGTCAGGTTACGGTTACCTACAATTTTTTGACTTATTTTAAAAACATTTTAAACGCATAATATTTTGACTTATTTTGATAATATTTTCAACTTTCTGTTTTAGATATTTAAAATATATTTTTTAAATAAATAAAACCTATTTTAACATTTCTTTTCCAATTTTAAATTTCAAGATTTCTTTTTGACAAATTTTGACTATTTTTAAAAAAAAACTAATATTTCTGTACTTTCTTTCCATAAAATATTTCAACATAATATAATTTGATTTGATTTTTAGACAAAATAATTGGACTTACGACCCAATATTTCTTTTTTTTCAACGATATTTTTCATGGACCTTAAAAAAATAAAAACATTTTTTTTTCTATTTTTCATGACATTTTTCAGGTAGTATTTCTTTCAACTTTTTTTCAAACCATTTTTCAAAAAAAAAAATTTACCTAGAAAATTTGGTCAAAAATGTCAAAATAAGTCGAAAAATGTTTTGGAAAAAAACTACATAAATTAGGCCACAAATATATTTTTTTAAAAGACGTCATTTAACGTTCACGACTAAAGCCAGTCGGCCGAAACTGATACTATAAAAGCTCTTTTTCTCGACTCCGATGGCCCGTGTAGTGTTCGCATGCTGCCAGCTCACCAGCTGCCCACACGCTCATCGATGTGGCGCACCAACATTTACAGTAGCTGGTGAGAGTCATGGAGGGAGAGTGTGGGCTGAATCTGCCCTTTGACACATTCAAAAGAATGATTGAGTATGATTATCTCTCAAAGAGTACTGCACAGATTTAGCATTGCTCTTTGACATTGTCAAACTCACAACGGACACTTTTTTACTCCAAAAACTAGCAAATAGAAACAACCTCTTCTTCTTCTAACAAATGAAAATCCAACACGAAAGGCAATAAAACTTCACTTCATTGTAAACATACTTGTTAAAGACATCCTGTCCCATCGAGATAATCCAGTCTTTCATGACAAATTGGATTTCTGTGTTGAATTTATTCATTTGGTCCGGAACTAACAGCTGACATTTAAAATATTTAAAACATGACTGGATCAAACCTGAAATAAGTTTCTTCAGCCTTTGATTTTTAAGGTGAGACTCACCTTAATGGTGCCGGTGCACTTTACTCTACATAATTCATAAAGCTTGCTTTTGTGAGGACTGAACCCTTCGGAGTACAGGCCGACAAACCACCGGCTATCGCTGCCGTTCATGCAACGGCAAGCAGGATGGGACGACTGACCTAAAAAATAAAAGTTCTTGTTTAAATAATCTACGGTGCTGGTTGGCAATACCGTTATTAACGTATAAAACCCTTCAAGTCTGTCTTCCGCATATTGCAGAGTGGACATCTTGTGCTCAATCAGCTGAATCATGCTTTCAATCTCACAGCTAACACGCGTTTTTTAGGAGCATTCAGAGTTCGGTCATCAGATAACGAGCATGAAACAGAGACCTCTTTTGCTATTAACCAAGTTACTGAGCGGCTTAGCGATCATTAATTCATCTTGATGGACTGAGGGACTGCATACAGTCGGTTCCTCTGGAGGCAAACTTTCCCTAGAAGCTTATGCAAATCCACTCACTCACCATCCTCCCCCAGTATCCTTGGATACCAGCTATTTATTCATTTTGGTCTCCTTCACCGCAGAGCCGCTGTCTTTCAGAGCAGGTGATGATCATGTGTCTCTGCGGCATCTGCCTTTTCAATCTGGCGCGCGCACACACGCACGCACACACACACACACACACACTCACACAAAGACACTGGTGTGAATCTCCCCTTTAAGGCATAAAGAGTTGAATTTCACGGCGTGGTGAGATCCTGGAGTTGAGTTGGTCAGAGGGAACCAAGGTTGATGTTTGTTCACAGACAACAGGGGAAAAAAAGCCTTTGTTGTTTCAAAGAGAACATCTGGCCCCGTGCATTTCTCAGTCATTAGTGGGAAGGGTGGGGGGGGGGCATGCCTGCCACAACTGTGAGACTCCAGTTTGACTGTTTGGATGCACTGATTAAATAGATCGAATTGTTTCCAAAAGAAATATTCTGAGTGGCATCGATGATGGTATTGGTGAAGCGAGACAGTGACTGGAGTCACTGGGGTCACACGGTCAGAAGGTGCCTCAGGCCACCACGGTTGACCCGCTGTGCTCCAAAAACCAACAGATGCCACCATTTACGTACCGCACAGGCCTCAAATGTCACGATCCATCCTCAGGACCTGTTAGCTCAACAGATGGCCGCAGGGTTAAAGTACTGGGGGGTCAGATACACAAACTAATTACAGTATCACAACAGACTAAGTTGTAACTAAGTAATAACCTCCCACTCAATGAGCTTCAGTGACGGACGCTCTGCTCCGTTCCTCCGCTTACAGCTCTGCGGAGAGAAAGTCTGACGACGAAGTAGCGACAAAATGTAACGCTTCTCTCGCTTTATGGCCTTTGATCTCCCCCTCGTGTCGGCGGCGGCGCTTCGTTGCCAGCTGACGGCAGGGTGTGAACCACTGCAGCACCACATCCACCTCCGATCTCTATGAATGTGTGTCTGCAGGATGCATTATCAAAATGCTGCAAGCTTTTATCATTTGTACAATGTTTGTAGAGTGTCATCACAGGGAAGTTTGCAGTTGTGAAAGTAGCAGTCAGAAGGTTGACCACTGAAACGGGAAGACCCTTATTTAGTTACTCATTAAAATCTCCTGGTTTTCACTTTGGTTCAGCACTACGATTGATTGTCAACTCTGAAACCAGACTTTGTTCCGGAGGAACTGAACTGAGGAACTGAAAACTGAAAGTTTTTTAAAGAACATAAGAGTAAAAAACATTAATGAATTCAGGAGTGAGAAGGATCCTAGTTCACTAAGTAACCACAATTTATTATTAGCTCCTATAGCAGGATCATTTTTCCAACTAACAGCCTGAAGTTCTCCTCATCGTCTGAGGCCTTCTTCCCGTTCTCTTCTTTAATCTGTGCGTAAACTCTCGACTGCCTCTAACCGCAAATAAAGTTCCCTCCCCTCTCTGCAGCACGGTGGCGAGTGATGCTCGGCAGTCACCCACACACTTTTACAAAAATACCCCGCTGCGCATCCTTACTCACCATGATTCACTTTCACACCGTACCGACGGGAAAAGTCACCCGGCTACCGAAACAATGTCAAACACAATACAACTCTGCACCCAACGCACACTCAGTGTGGCCCCCTCCTCTTATTGCCAGCAGTAGACGTTAGTCAAAGGGGGAGGGGGTGTGAGGACATGCTGCGGTGTGGTGTGTGTGTGTGTGGTGGGGGTCTTTGTGAGCGAGCGTGGTAGGAGGAGAAGGGGAGAGGGAGGGAGGAGGGGGGGGGGACATGGCGTTCTATTTCTCACAGACCAGCAGCTGCTGTGTTCAGTGCAGAGCGAGCGAGAGGAAGAGGAAGGGCTGCGTGGCGTGAGGCGGTGCGTGTCCTCGGTGTTAGGGTGAATCCACCAGCCTTCTGCTCACAGAGATAAGAGAGTCTCTCCCGAGAAGACGCAGAAGAAGCCACGCGAGGACCCCCCCCCTTTTTTTTTTCCACCGCTTTTTCTCTGCTGTCCCCATCTGTCCCCTCTCCTCCTCGCTCCATCCCGCGACCAGCCACCGTCGCCTTTCGCCCCCCTCGTCTTTTGTCCCCTGCACCCGTCTGTGTCTCACCCCTCACCCCCCCCCCCCGGAGAGAGGGAAGGAAGAAGCAGCAGTCCGAGGCATCATCCTCCCCTTCGCTGCACGCCCAGCCGGTAAGCTGAGCCAGCACGCTCTCTCTTCGCTTCTTCTCCTTCTCTTCATCTCATCTCTCGCCTCCATCTGTTTTCTGACGGCGGGACGGGGCCCTGCAGTCCCACCCTGCACCTGATTAAAGGGGGCTGCAGGCAGGCGCTTGCAGGCGCTGGAGGATGGATGTGGGTTAGACTCGAGGCTGGTGGCGGACTGGTGCTTGGTTATAGAGAGTGTGTGTGTGTGTGTGGGGGGATTGGCTGCGATGTGGAGGACTGGCGTAGGACCAGGATCTCGAGGGACGCAGCCTTGAATCTGGCTCGTCCATATCGAAGTTGTGGGGCCGGTGAACTGGGGGCACTGCAGTGCTTGTGACCGGAGCGGCACCTCGACACATCTCCTCTGAGTCCCAGCAGGACACGAATCAGGAGAATATGGAGCCCGCTCGTGCCACACAATGCGTGTGTGCATTCGGCGATGGTGACCGAAGCATCACGGCACATGCATCATGCATCGCGTCGACGCGATGGAGGGTTCTGGGAACAATGTGTGCGCGTTGCACGTCAGGCAGGCATATCAGGAATTATTAGCATCGCTACAAAAGGCGTATCACGTCATACAGTGAGGCAGGTGTGTGTGTGCGTGTGTGTGTTTGCCTGCTAAAAACAATATCCCCAGATTGCACCGCTGATCAGAAGGGGTGGGTTCATGCGACTCGAGTGGAAAACAGGGAGGGAGGGAGTAAAAAAAGTGAATGGAGGAATGAATGAATGGGGGGGGGGGGGGCAAGGCTTTTCAGGAGTGTTTTTTTTCGTCCCTTCAGAGCGGCACGTTGGAGGTGGCGGCGAGGCGATGCACGTGAGGTTGTGGGACGGAGCTGCAGAGCTGAGAGGCTCTGCAGCTCCTCTTTGTGTGCGCAGGGGAATGTGGGCCCGAGCGATGCCCGGGCACGGAGGGGGTGGACGTACAGTAAGGTGGAGAGAGAAGGCAGGATGAAGTATGTGGGTGTTTGGGTGGGTGGGGGGGCAGACAGGGGAGGTGTGTAATTGAAAGATCTGGTCCCCGCCTATAGCTCTGTAATCTACTGACTGTGGATATAATCCACGTGAGCAGATTAAACGATGATTTACTGCCATGTTGATTTTGATGACTCAGTCATTTGGTTTAGGGGGGTCATACGTTTATCTGTCTCTATAATTGCACGTAGTTCTCAATCTCATACATCTTGTCTATATGTATCATTAAAGAGAGAAAATATCTTTAGTGTCTGTCACAGTCATGGACATGAATCAAAATATGCAGATTTCAACCCATTCACCCGTATGAATAAACAACACAGTGCACTGACACAGCTCATGTGTGTGTGTGTGTGTGTGTGTGTTAATCACTGTGTGTACAGGTTTTTTCTCCCCCCCCTCCGTGTCTAAAATGGAACGCTGGCTGCGATGCTATTTACTCGGCTGTTGCTAGGACACTCCCTTCGTACGCTTTAAGCGAGCCTTCTCATTGGCCCTGCCGCGATGATGCAAGATTCCCTCATCCCAAATCTTTCCCGAGCGCCCATAGAAACCCGAGCGCGTTTCCTCCTCGCCTCGCGCTCTTTATCTCTACGCCCCCTCATCTCCCCTTCCCCCCCCCCCCGTCTGTATCTCGCTCTTCTATTCACCGCCGTCGTTAACTCATCAATTTCTCCTCGGCTCCCACTGTTTCTTTTCTCCCGAGCTCCCTCCCATCCGTCTCTAATCAACCGGGTACATTCTGTCACTTCCTCCCCCCCCCCACATCAAAAGATGCTCAGGGCAAAACGCTGTTGCCAACGATCGTTGCTGCTGCCTTGCGGAGGATTAGTGGCCTGCGCGTCTCTTTCTCCATTTGAGGGGCAGTGTCTTGTTAGGTTGCCTTAGCGCGTGCCGGGATTATCAGGTTTGACGAGGCGGAAGACACACGAACGGGGGGGTGGGGGGGTGCGAGGTGGTGGATGCTCTCTTCATGTTTCCCTCAATGCACCTGATGTGCCTCCATCCTTTCTCCTCACAACGCGGGCAGACGGTTTCTGCAGCAGCCACACGATGATGATGCGTTCCAGACGCTCCCGCGTGTCGCTCTTTGCATTGTTGGAGGACCGGGAATAGAGGAGAGGGGGGATGTCGGGTCGGAAGGAGTGAGACCGAGGGGTGGGGGGGATTTGTAGCGTCTGTCTTGTTTGCTTCCAGGTTCTTTTTGCGCATTCGAAGCACACGAACCCACGAGGTGAAATGATGTGCGGTGACCTCCAGGGCCCGAGGTCGCACCAGGAACCTCGGCAGCTCTCCGCGAGTTGGGCTCGAGTGACACGCCAAGGACACGGAGGCGCGCGCAGCTACTCCAACGAGTCCAAGAGGGCAGATAGAGAGCCTTTCAAAGGAAGGGTGGCATCAAAATACAGTCAGAGACACACGGCTGCTTCGTTAACCGGAGCGGTGAAGTTAATAATATTAATAGAAACACCCTGTACATGATTGGCTGGTGTTTCATAATGACGTCATAAACGAGTGGACGGACAACCGCGTTGCTTCCAATCCTTTGATCAAAATACAACATCATCCGTATGTTTATCCGTGCGGCCAAAGTGATTTCCTCAACAAACCAAAAAACCCACAATCCTCCCTCATTTAATCCCAACACTCGTTTAATCTCGTCGACCCGTCTGTCCAGCTCGCACATCTGTCTTTCAAACATCTGTCACTTGAACTTTCCACCTTGCTGTTGATGATCTTTTTTCTGGGTTGCTTTTGCTGGACTCAGGAGTTCGGATGAGGAGAGCAGCAGCAGCCAGGGGCGAGATCGTTTTGTACTTTGAGATGTGATCCGTCTCCACCTGGTAATCTTGAGGTTTTTTAAACCAGTACTGTCAGAAATCAGGGATTAGCGGAGATGATCCTGTTACAGGGGGGGGGGGGGGGGGGCAGGGAGGTGTGACGGAGGTTTGCAGGGTGGCGAAGGAGGGTCCTGATGTAGCATGCAGAGGGTTATATATCTACTCAAAAATAATATGTAGTGCATGCAAGATCATTTGTGCCAGTAGGAGGACATTCAGTCGAGCAACATTTTTAGGAATGTACTCTTCCGCTTTGTGGCAGAGATTAAGATCAAAAGATCAATCGCCGTGTCTCTTGTCTGTCTGTTAAATATAAGGCTGACTTATGCTCACTTAAGCATAAAGCAGCTAACCTGGCAGCGTCCAGCCCGCTAACACTTTACTGCTCATCTGTTCGAGAGTAGAGAAAACCAGCTGTGGTTCTAGAGCGGCGTGTACGTGCCGATCTGTCTCTTGGCCGGGAACTGTAACTCACTGAAGTCTCTGCCGGTTGCCTGGCAACCTCCTGGTGACCCGAAGGCTTCGACAGACACTAATAAGAATATAACGTCTTGTGAGGTGCTGGGCGGCAGGTTTTGTACCGAGCCGGGCCTTGAAAAGATCGGACAAAATGTTTCTTGCTAATTAACCATCCAGCAAACTTCAAACTCACCACTTGGCTTCGAGGTTGCGATTTACGACACGTCCACGAACCTGTTAGAAAATAGATTTAGTAGAAATGTAATTCACGGTGTCAAGGGAGCCGAGATCTGATGCGTCTTTTGATCAGGCTACCTAACCCTCCATGCTATGCGGCACCCGTCCAAACGGTAGAAAAGACTTGTTGAACTTCTCTTTTCATCGTTCTTGTTAGTGGCGTCCTGCTGGAACTGCTTGAAATGCGTGATATCACATCCAGCCACGGTGGATCCTCTCCCGCCTCTGGGAGTTCGCGTCGAACCAGACGCGACTCGGCTTGTCAGACTCTCTCTTCCCGTGGCAATAAAAGAGGAGATTTCTGGATGTAATCAGATTACCTCACATCTGCTCTCCGAGGACTTCCTATGCTATCGTGGCCTGTTGTCCGTTGATCGGATCAATTGCCGTCCACTAGCGTCAATAAACAACACAAACGCCCGCCCTCTATTTAAGATTAATAACCACGACTCAATGCGGAGGTAAAGCCGATTTGGGACCGATGGACGGCTGAAGAAAGCAGAGCGGGAGGAGGGGAAGCGAGGCAGTATTGCAATTAGTGCGCAATATGAGATGAGGCAAAATATCTACTTAGCGACGGTATCTAAATAGAGGCTTCAGCTCCGTTAATAACTTCTGCTGAATAATGTAACCGGCCGTTTGGACACTGAGGCTTGAGATGAATACATCAGAGAGGAACCCTTTCATGTGAAGTCGTGGTGTTGGACTACATATCCGTCATCTCTTCAAAACGGCCGCAGGGTGGTGACGGTTGGGTGTTAATGGAAGGGTGGATTGTTGGGCAGGAAGGTAGAAAATTTGGCATGTAGTTTTCCGGTAATCCTGCTGATAGGACGGACAAAACAACCAAACCCCAAAACACAAGCTCCCTGACAGGTAAAGGCCTTCGTTTGCCAGGTTTCCTCAGGACTGGGACATCCAGTAGGCCGCGTGTACCTTCAGCGTGAGGGTCCTGACTGATGGGCGATCCGAGTCCGGGAGAAGAGCGTTAGCAGGATTTGACTCTCCAACAGCTTCAGCCAACATTTCTGGATAACGTTACGTTCGCCAAACGCATTAATCAGCCCTTCTGCTCAAGCCTTTCGGTTTGTAAAGGGAAAAGAGTCAAATCTTTTGGGAAATACTGCCAGAAAAAGCATAAATATAACCACAAAAACGTCCGTGATGCTCGTCCAAGTATGTTTTTCTGTAATCCGAGCAACAAGCAAAAATACTGTCTGATCTCAAAACGATCGTATTGTCCTGAATGTAGTAAATAAAACACTGCTGTATTATTTGGAGATCACCAACTGACCAACCTGCGTTTGTGTAAAATCGAGCATCAATTGGTCTTTGGCATCATTGTAAACTGTTTGTGTTGCAAGAACTGGAAGAAGCAACAAGACACGGAAGGTAGAACTCAGTGAACGCTTCAAAATCATCTTAGTGTGTGTGTGTGTGTGTGTTTGTCCACATGTGTGTATGCCAGATCGGTCCTGGGCACATGGGGGGGGGTGCTGGCAACCATCGCTGGTGTCCAGTGTTTGATCAGGCTACGCAAACCTTTTCCTTGTTCTGTGCACACAAACAAACGCACACGCTCACTAATTAGTTCAGCTTGAGACGGCGAGGATTCGTCTTCTCTATGTACATCATTATTTTTTACATCAAACAACAAAAAAAAGAATAGGTATGCAGATCAAAAAAAAAAAACACTGGGCAGAAATAATCCACAAAAAGAGCCAAGATCTCAAACTTTCACTCCAACAAAACGTCCCAAACGCACGTTTCTCTCAGCTCTTCCTCGTCCTGCTTCATCTGCTCTTTTTTCTCGGCGTCACCGTGAGCTCGTACGTTGCGTCGCTGCCAAGTCCCGTCATTCGGAGCTGCCGCTGTTCCGCCAAGCGACAGTGTGATGGAGCGTCGTCCACCTCAAGGACACGCCGTCTCCTGCCGGCGAGCGGCGAGCCGCACGTACTTCCTGGGCCACGCTGGTGTCAGAGGTTGTTCCTTCATCCACTGGTTCTCTGCACTCGTGTGCTGTTGTGTCCTCATTCCACGCGACAATAACAGTACGTAGCACAAACGTAGTGACGCGTTGCCATCTGAGTTGTTCCTCGTTTTCTTTGTTCAAGTAACATCAGCAAAGTCGAAACCTCCCCGGATGAAGGAGTGGGAATTTCGATTTGACTGCTACACAAACCAGTCATATAATTGTGTTAAAAACGAGAACAATGGCTGGCGGTGGACAGGTGGACGGACGGAAAAGACGGACTAAGAGACCGAGAGAGTCCAAACTGCCTTCGTGTGATGCTTTATGGAAGTCCATGCTGTCTGTTACACAAACACACACACACAAATGTTCAGCTGTCTCCACAAGAGTGATTGTGCGTTCCCTCAATGTGTGCACCTCACTGTGTGTCCACGTCTGATCGCATTCTTCTTCATTCTCACATTCTTCAACATATATGTAGCATGTCCAGTAATGGCTGCGTGCTCAAAGTCCTCACAGGCCTTTCATTGGCAGTATAACACTACATTGACTCCCATTGACTCCCATTGTCTCCCATTGACTCCCATTGACTCCCATTGACTCCTCACTCGCGACTCTTGACCAGCCCCTCGGGCCGAGAGGGGACGCCAGTGACAACATGCATCGCCGCTATACTCTTCACCCACAGGCACAGTGTTTTGTGCGTTCTGTGAGTATTTTGGACATTGTTGCTACGTGAGACAAACACACACACACACACACACACACACACACACACACACCCACACACACGCACGGAGCTCTGACCCACATAAAGCAGTGTGCAAGCAGTCCATCAGGGACAAAGAGTGTGTGGCTGTGCAGACGTAAATCGCTTCTGTCTTTGTTTACAGATAGCAGGGGGTCAGGGAAGGACAGGGAAAGGGGGGGCGCAACAACAGCCGCGGCAGTAACACAACACACACACACACACGTCACGAGCCCCCGAGTGAGTGCGCGTAGACCTCTAAGAGCCTGCAGCGATTCCCTTGGTAGCAGCTAATTGGCATCCCACATCACAAATAAGGATACAAGCGCTTGGTGTGCATCCATCCCTCCTCTGACAGCAGAAGCTCTGAGAGGAAACTTTGTTAAAAAAACAAACTCAAAGCTGAATCCTCTCGTGGTGATATTCAAATATTAATGTCTGCATTGACTAGAAGGCCTATATTCATCTCGGTGGTGGTGAAAGGAAAGAAAACAGCATCGAAACGTGAATTTACAACATGTTATCGCTCAAGCTGGACCCTCTGACAAACAGCAAATAGCCAATACACATAAAGCATATAAACCTTCATAATATAATCTACATGATGGAGACATTAGAGCGCAGTTTCTATCCACCTCTGGGCAAATAAGCCTTAAAATCCATGAGTTGCTGCCCCACTTCTTTATTTCAACTGAAAAAACAATCAATTTGAAGCTTGTGAAAGCAGTGAAAATGGATTTAAGTACCAGCTTCAACATCCTCTCTCTCTCTCTCTCTCTCTCTCTCTCTCTCTCTCTCTCTCTCTCTCTCTCTCTCTCTCTCTCTCTCTCTCTCTCTCTCTCTCTCTCTCTCTCTCTCTCTCTCTCTCTGACATGCTTCTGTCTCCCACTACATCCACCCCCTTTTTCTTTGTTAGCCTCGCAGCACAGAATCACAATGCTAATTTGCAATCGCCTTTCATGAGGCACCGTGCACGGCTCTGGACTCAGCCTGTGTGTGTGTGTGTGTGTGTGTGTGTGAGGGAGGTAGAAAGGGAGTGCGAGAGAAGGGGGAGGGGTGATGCTGAGGAACCTTCCATTTTCCTCTCTTTTTTGCACTTTGGCGCTTCATCCATTGCTCTGACGCTCAGCCAATCTCCCCTTTTACTCTCCTTCGCTCTTCAGGGAGGGACGACGGCTTTTATAATTGTATATGAGTGTGTGTGTGCGTGTGTGTGCGTGTGTGTGTGTGTGTGTGTGTGTGCAGGCCCGAGGCCAATCGGCTGTAGCTTTCCATCGGCGGTCAATCTTCACCGATGGTCTAGCTGTGTGTGACACTGCCACCTCCCATTAGCTCCTCTCCTCCCCTCTTTGTCTGTCCTCTCCTCCCCTTGTCCTCTCCTATCTTGTCCTGTCTTTTTATGTCGTCTAACTTCCCTTTCCGACTTACCCTTTATTTCCCTCGCCATCAACCTCCTCTTCTCCTTCTCGTGCCCCTTTGCTCTCCTTTATTTTTCTTTTCTACTCGTCTTTACTTTGCTCTCCTTCCCTTTCATTCCTCTCCGTTTTTTTACAAAATAAAACAAAATAAAAAGTTAGTTCTACAAATAAAACCACAGAGGACGTTACGTTGACTCACTATGACTCACGTGACAAAATGTCAATATCAAAGTTTAAATATGACTCCCATCAACGACATTGAGTTGCATCTCAATCGCGCACGCCGTACAGAAAGTACCAGGATCCGTTTAAACCGCAGTGCTGAGAATGCAAACGAGTGGCAGGAAGCTCTGATGTAAAATCAAAGCACTCAACTAATTAACGGAATAGAAAACGGTGATCCATCAAACTGTGCAGTCAGGGCCCTCCAGCAGGAGTACAATTATATGTCTGCCGTCGATCTGATCCCAAAACCCCAATAACATCCACGACAAACAGCTGCTGGCCTCCCGTTCATGATGCACTGCACCTCAGACAAGCTCCTCCCTGTATGAGGCCGTGAGACTTCATTGCATGAACGAAGCCCAGAGAGACGTAGTTTACCTGAACTCCACGCGTGTGGACATCTTCAGGTCTTCACCTCCCTCGGACTCAGCATCCTGTGCACCACTTGACCTTTGCCCTTTCGCTGAGATGAGAGACACATGAGCATAAGGCAATTTACTTTAAGGGAACACAAAGAGGAAATAAAGATCTCTACTTGAGGTGAAAGACGTGTAATCACAGGAGTGGATGCTTTGGTTTACAGCCCCTTGGAGGAGGAGAGTGTGGTCTATCCATCCATCGCTCCAGCCAATCCGCCTGATTGCCAACACTCGGCGGTACCCGACTGTGTTGCCATGCGAATAAGAGGCTGTGTTTCCCTGGCAACTATTCTTCAAAGGCCTGCACACACTCTCTCTCCTGATGAGATTCGATGATGCAACGACAGCAGCGCTTGTGTTAATAGTTACACCAGTATCAGACGGCACCGGAGCCGTGACATCAGCATCATCGAGATAAGCTCAATGAGCTTGATCTATTATCAAAATGTAAAAGCGGGAGAGAAAGAAACGGCTTCTTATATGCGGTTTAGAAAGGTTATAGCATCAGTAGGACACCGAAAAATTATCATTTTTAATAATTACAATAGCGGGAAAGACTACATGTGATATAAAACGATCCCTCAAATCTGCAGGTCTTCTGAATGTTTGTTTCCTTGTTTAATTGTTTTCATCACCAAAAAGACCAAACTACTGTTTGGTTTTTACCCTTCCTCTGTCTCTTTGCTTCTCTGTGCCGATCCTTCTAAAAAAACTTAAAACTCATTCATTGTTGCCTTTTGCAACACAACGTTCCTGTACACGTTGTGGAGTTTTATGCTGATTTCACGTTGTCTCCCCCTCCACCTGTCCGTCTCTCTGCCAGGTGGTGGCTGCTGCTGATGCTGTAACCACTGTGAGGAGCCGACAAGCCCTGGTTGATGCAGTGAAGTGTTCCAGCGGGACAAACACAAGCGAAGGTAGGAATGGAAAATGAGGCCTGGGAAAAAAAAATGACATAAAAAAAGGAACGGCAGCTGAAAAAGAAGCACACGGCGGAGAAACCACCAGGTGGAGGCGTCGGAGGGCGGAGGGATGGACGGGCGGTTAGAGAGGAGAGATGGGAGGTTTAGCTTGTCCGTTTGATCAGAGGACACGCAGACGAGGGGGGGGGGGGGGGGGGGGGTGCTGGTGGGACTGTCGGGGGGGTTAATACTGGTCGCACCACGCTGGCGAGGCCCCTCGGCCCGCAAGGGGAGGAACCTTTTCAATGGGAGCTGAGGAAAAGCCGGCGAGGCCTCTGGCGCCTTTCGGGCTTCCAGTCCGGACCGGGTTTTTCCTTTCAGCCGCGGCTCCATTTAAGAACCCGTTTGGGGTCCTGCATGCCCGGACTGCAGATGAGAGCAGTGTGCCGGTTGCATAAAGACGAGCACGTTGCTTCCGCATTCACGCCGGCTGACTGCCGAACGCCGTGTGCCAGAAGAGAAACCCGAACCAGTGGGCACCAAACACACTTCTTAATCCACAGGATCCACGTCCTGATGCCCGAGAAATAAAGAATGCGCAACGCAGGTTGTGGACGCCGGTTAAAGAGGGAACGTGTGTTTGCCGTTTGGGTTGGTTGGCGCCGCCGGGGGGGGGAGAACAGGGGGGGGAACCGGCGAGACTGGATGCCAGCGGGACGTAGATGTGGCGTGACAGGACGGGCGCGGAGGAGAAAAGATGCCGACGCACAAGGGCGATACAGCCAGAAGGGGGGAGAGAGGGGGGAGAGAGTGGGAGAGGGGGGAGGGGGGGGGTGCGAATAACAAATCTTATTCTCTTAATACCAACAACTTCACTCCATCTACAAACAGCCTGAAACAAAAGAGCAGCATCACACGCACACAAAGCAGACGGAGGAATAGAACCGCAGGCCTTTAAATAGACGGCTGAAAAAGAGAAGCGTGAAGTGGACGGAGATGCACAGAGGCAGAGGAAGGGCGGCCGAGAGCAGAAAGGTCGCATCGGCCTCCACCGAGAGCCGAGTGGCAACCAGCGCCGCTGACCTGGGACCTGGGAGCTGATAACAGCGACGACCCCACAGAGCGGCGAGCAGAAAGGGGGGGACAGGAAGTCACGCAAACAGGCAGACAGAGAGGGACGTCGGTCACAGAGGGTAAGGAGAGCGAGGCCGTGCGATGGCGCCTTGACTTCCAGGCGTTGTTTTAAAAGGTTTTAGTGCATTCTCGCGCTGAGGATCGGTGCGTCGGGTCGCCGGCGTCGGCAACAAACCCGGAGAGCAGCTCGATGCTCTTCTTTCTTTTTTTTTTTTGTGTTCTGCTGAGACGTGCGGGAGGATATCACCAGGACAACCGTATCCTGGCAACCGTCAGCCGAGAGGCTGCGCTCAGGATGGACCACACGCTGCTCCGGACTCAGTGTGTGGGTGTGTGTACGTTAGTGTGGCCGCTTTAACTCTAACACACACACACACACACACACACAGTTACATGTCAGCGAGCTTTCTTTTCTTCGTGCCAGGTTTCGATTCGAATCTCAGCCTGATTTTTCTTTTAAATCGGTTATTTAAATATTCACAGTCCAGCGTGCATCGTGGAGCAGGTGGTCTTCACACATGTGGATTCGGCAGAGGAAGTGAAACTTTGCTTTTATGAGCTTTTCTACTGTAAGATGTTCACAAGAGTGACATTTACGAGGGAAACCTGAGACTTCACGTTCTACATGGGTTTAACGTGGAAGGGCCATCCATTACTTTATAAGATCAGTTTTTAAAACATGAAACCTACTTAAAGAACACGGATTACACTCCACTGAACTGTGGGTTTTGTGGTTAGATCCTAGTAGTAAGCATGGATACTAGTCCTGTTCTGAATAAAGATACTCAGGAGAACAATATGCATCTCATGCTGGGTGCAGGAGGACCACTTCATCTCTGTTGGTTACAGAAATTCAATCAAATCTTTTTTTGGTGAATGTTGAGAAGACACGCTTAGTATTCAGTGGTAATACAAATGTATTCAGAAGGATTCCATTAATGATGCATCCACCTTATAAATTACACATCAAAAACATGGGCTGCTTTTCCTTTTTTAAACGCCAGCTTCGGCCTCTTGCTTCCAAAATACGTAATGAGTTTACGCTGCGTGGGCCACGCGGGTGGACGAGGAGGTGAGCGGGTGCAATCGCCATGTTCTTTGTTTCCTAGAACCCCCGTCATGTGTCGTCTCGTCTCGATCCTGACCGCGAACGGACAAGCGCGTGTCTCCCGCCCGTCTGACCCAACGCGGGATCTAATAAAGCGTGCATCATTGCTCTCATGAAGTCCTGGCATCTGGCGCTTGGGTACAAAGTATGAAGAGCTCGTCATAAAGTATCCATATAGGCTGCTGTACTTGAGGGGCATTAAGAGAAAGTAGTCTGCACAGAGGAGGCTTTTATTAGGTTACTGTAGTGTAACCGGATTAAAACCACTGCTCAGCTTTAGTGACTCCAGATGAGTGAGCTTAATGATTGACTACTGGACCCCCCGCTCCCCTCTAAATGAATACAGCCGCGTATAGGATGTGATCAATGTCATCTGTAGCTCGAATGTGTGACTTCTCTCTAAGGCAGAGGAAGAGGAGGGATGAGAAGGGGTGATTAGATGAGTGTAGATGGGTAACAAGCAGTGCTTTCTTTGGGCATTTTGTTGTGAACAGCAGTGCGGGTTGCCAGGTCCTGCGTACTCTATGCATTTTGTTGTGAACAGCGGAGCGGGTTGCCAGGTCCTGCATACTCTATGCATTTTGTTGTGAACAGTGGTGCGGGTTGCCAGGTCCTGCGTACTCTATGCATTTTGTTGTGAACAGTGGTGCGGGTTGCCAGGTCCTGCGTACTCTATGCATTTTGTTGTGAACAGCGGTGCGGGTTGCCAGGTCCTGCGTACTCTATGCATTTTGTTGTGAACAGCGGTGCGGGTTGCCAGGTCCTGCGTACTCTATGCATTTTGTTGTGAACAGCGGTGCGGGTTGCCAGGTCCTGCGTCCTCTATGCATTTTGTTGTGAACAGTGGTGCGGGTTGCCAGGTCCTGCGTACTCTATGCATTTTGTTGTGAACAGCGGTGCGGGTTGCCAGGTCCTGCATACTCTATGCATTTTGTTGTGAACAGTGGTGCGGGTTGCCAGGTCCTGCGTACTCTATGCATTTTGTTGTGAACAGTGGTGCGGGTTGCCAGGTCCTGCGTACTCTATGCATTTTGTTGTTTCCTCCCGTGCAGGTCGCCAGCCATGGGGAACCTCATTAAGGTCCTTGGCAAGGATTTAGAGAACTGTCCACATTTTTTCCTGGACTTTGAAAGTAAGTGAGCGCCGGGGCTGTGTGCACGTGTCTGTGTGCCTGAAATGTGCGTGCACGTGTGTGCAGCAGAGGTGTGCAGTGGGTGGTAGTCGAGGGGGGGGGGTCACGGAAGGTGTATTTGGATGTGTGATGGAGTGTTGTTGTGGGTGTAGTTTGTGATTATCAGATGCTCTCTAGTCCCACTCTCAGTCTCTGTTCTTTCTTCTTAAACAATACTGTCCTCAAATAAAAACGGTTATATATAAATATATTCTGACATTTATACAGTTTATCCAGATTTGGACTCTTTTCGAAGGATTAGATTTATGTGATCAACAAAATCTCTCACAAATTGAAAAAAATAAATGGTGACATTTTCTGTGACACTAATTTATTTAATAATGCATTTGAAACATGCTTATTGTGTGTTATTATCACCTATAGCAGTTCATAATAACAAATATTCATAAAGTAATAAAAGTAAATTGTCATAATATTTGCTTTGTCTAAATAAATGCAACAGCAATATAAAAAACATTTTAAGTAAACGACGGGTTCAATGAACCCTATTCTTTTTTAGTTTTTAGTTTTTTATTTATTCATTTTTACTCACGGGACGATTTGCTCACTCAAAGAAATGTCACCCCAAATATCTTAAAATATGTGTCATTAAATGAGGAAGAACTCATTTTTTTTTTATCATAGCTATGTTTTCACATAAACATGTGAACATCTCTCCTCCGTGTCCCATCCACACACGGACCCCGGCACCAAATCAGCTGTAGCTGTAATCAATACCAGGAGTGGGATTAAAGCAGCTCTGTGTCCACGTTGCCGTGCTTCACCCGGGACATACTTCCACCACGCCATTCCACCGCCCCCCCCTCATCCATCCCTCCACCCGACACCTCTCACACACACACACACACACAACTCACACACACATGCACACGCGCACAACCCCCCACCCCCGACACCCGTCCCCCTCATCACCCACAGACTTGTCCCCTCTCTCTGTTCCAGGGGGCTCATGGGAAACCTCCTGAAAGTGCTGGCTTGCGCCGAACTTGAGCATGGCCCGATAGTTTTCCTTTGACTTTGAACGTGAGACCATCCGCTTCTTATTTTTATGAGTTATCCCTTTGTCTTCGTTGCCTCCGCTTTCTTTTCCTCATTCCGTGGATGTCAGCCGGCCACCTCGCCCCCCCGTTCTCCCTCCTCGGCTTCCTCTTCTCCTCACTCGATTGTTGAGTCTTTTCGATTTCTGCTCCGAGGACTGGCATCTGAGAAAAGGCATTGGGCTTCCTTCTCCAGATTCTCATTCACACGGCAAACAACAAACCAAACAAATGCTTTGAACCCGGACTCTAAAAGGTGAACGCCAGTCCTGTGCGGGTTCTTGTTGCTCGGGGAGGACGATGGCTGAACGAAAAGCCCATCTTCATCCCTCCGCCTCCTCATCTCCTCGTCCCTATTGTGCGACCGATTGTATGTTTGAGATGCCTGCGTGTGAGTGTCTCCAAATAAGTTGAGTGAGCGAGCGATGAAGGGAAACTGAAAGACAGAGAGAAAGAGGTCGTTAAAGGAAACCACCTCGATCTTCCCCCTTTTCTCAATTTCCTTTAGTCAGCGAATTCTAAACTTTGCAGCGTGAAAAAAATCCGTCTGAGCATTTCATTTTGTGCGTCTTCTATAGTTGTGCAACACGTAGAATAGAAGATTTCATAGTTAAAAAAGTCAAGTCTGCAACCACATAAGCAGCTGTGTGAGGCTTTAACCATTAACGCTAACGTCAGCATGCTAACACGCACACAGCGGCTACGTGCACCAAGTATGTTGGTTATTGCCCTTGTTCCAAATGGGAAGCGTGCATGTGAACGTATGTGTGGCAGACACGCTGTAATAATGTTCACCATCTTAGTTTAGCGTGTTAGCAGCTTTGCTAACAAACACAGATAAAATGACATTCTGTCAAAAAAAGTAAAAAGGTAAGATTATGAGACGAAATGAACTGTTAAGATGGGGATGTTTTGCAGTGTACCGCAATGTCTTCTGCTCCTCCTCGACCGCCCCCCCAACCAGCTGGCTCTCTCCTCTTCCTTCTCCTCATCCTCCTCCTCCTCCTCCTCCTCCACTACGAAGTCGTCCTCCTCGTCCTCCTCAATGACTGATGCTCAGATGGGAGAGACTCCCCCCGCGGCCAGAGGCCTCACTCTTTCCACGGGGAAAATTCTCCCCTTCTTTTTTCAGCCGTGTGTTCCCCTTTCCTCAAAAACAAAGGGGAGTGGTTCGGCCGGAGTGTGGGCGCTTTTCAACAAGGCCCCCCCCCCCCCCCCCCCCCCGCCGTTCTCATCCCCCTCCTCAACAAACCCGGTGCCATCTGTGAGCTCTCCTCAACCCAGAGACACTGTCAACTCTGTCCCACAGCCCAAAGTTTGCTTCAAACCGTGTTCTGAGAATTCAGTGGACTATTTATGGCTGAATGCTGATTATTATCCAGCGCTAAAACCTTTTGAATTAAACGTTTGGGGAACTTCTCATTTAGAGTTTCCTTCTCCCGCCGTGCCGCACGTGAGAAGCAACCGCTCGTTCTCACGTGATAAATTAAAGCTTTTATTATTTGGTTTGCCTCATATTGCATTTTCAATTTTTCTTTAAAGCTGCAGACAGGAGTCGCTTAGCTTAGCTTAGCTTAGCTTAGCTTAGCCTAAAAGCTGGACAGTTTTTGTTTAATCCCAAGCAATAGCCCAGCTTTTCCAAATCCTCTAGGGCGCACGTTGGACGGCAAATATTCCATAATTACTGTTTCTCTGCAGGGAGGCGAGAAGAGGAAGAGTTGGCGCTGTCGCGTGCTGCAGAGAGCTGGCTGGGCAAACTCCCACTCTCGCTTCATACCTGAGTCACACATTTAGAAAAGGAAACACGTCGATGACTCAAGGGGCCACATCCTAAAATCGTGTCCCCTGTCGCACACCTCCCTCCCGTGAGCAGAAGTGTGACTCGGAGGCAAAAAGCAGCGAGAATCACGTTAATCTAACGAGTGTTACTCGTGTAAATGTGGACTGCGGTTTAGGACTCCAGCAGCTTTCACAGTTGCGTCCTCGTCCAAATAGTCCCCAGAGGGGAAACCCAACCTGTCATCTTCTGGTCCTTTCGTATCCACACTGTGCTCAAACCGACCCTGTGTGACAGAGCGTGGCTCGCGGGTCTCTATTAGAACTCCACGGCGGGTAATTCGGCTTATTCGTTTACTCGCCCGGCTTCTTTCAACGTAGACGGCTGCATTTTTTTCATCTTTACAACTCCTCAAGCCTCGCTAATCTTCTCCCCCCTTCTTCTCGCTTTCCCGCCCCCCGGCCCGTCTTTCCATCTCACATAAATGTTTTCCGACCGAAACCCCTCCCATCACACTTTCACTTCCTTCTTCACTCCGCTTCCTTCCTTCCATCCTCCCAGATGCTCAACCCACGGAGGCCGAGACCGCCGTGTGGAACCAGGTCAGCGCCGTGCTGGAGGAGGCTCACGGGATCCTGGCCGAGCTGCAGTCGTACAACGGCGCGGGACAGGAGATACGAGAAGTGAGTTCAGTCGGAGTGCGACTCACGTGGTCTGTGCACCGGTGCAGAATGCACGAGGCACAAAACCTGTGAAGGCATTTCTTCAAAAACAAACACTTCACGCAATATGCCGGCGGTTCCCTGGTTGGCAGAGCTGTGGCCGAGGCGCAAACATCATCATTAACAAATCTGGCGTCGGTGAACACGGATAATGAGACACGTCCTGCGAACCGGTTCCTTCTGCAGCGGTTTGATCGCCTCATTAACAAATGCTTCCTAACATGGGGGGCCTTTTATTTTAGATTAACTAATAAATGTCAAACCATGCACCCGACAAAAACCACAGGAAAGAAGACAGCAAATGAATAATAATAATTAATAAGTTCCTCCTCATTATTGTTATTAGTGCAGTAATCTGTCCCTCCAATGGACACGGCACTTCTGTTGTGTGTGAACGTAATTCTAAGCCGTTGCATGCGAGTCGCAACAAGCTGACATCTTCCTTCATTACCAAAAACATCCAGTGAGTAAATCCCTGAATCCGACACGCTGCTGCTGCTACCAACTGCCCATTAATCCCCAACTGTAAATAGTCCCCCAAAGATGCTGTTTCCAATGTAACCTCAGTGCCTCAGTAAGTGAGCCTCTTGTCAGGTGGAACTATGTTTATGTGAGCAGTAGAAGTGGTCAAGAGTTAGAAATCAAACCATCTCAAAGTCTTTTTTTCTTTGCATTCAGATTTGTAACACGTCCGGCCGATAGTATAGTAGTAGTAATAGTGCTCAATTTTGTTGAATAATTTATTACCACAACCAAATAATAAATTGATATGTGCCCTGTCAATAAAACCAAATTAGGCTTTGTTGGTAACGAAAGTCAATTACCAACTGAGCTGAAATAAGATGGATCAAAGCTAGACAGGTTTTTCTGAAGTGAAATGTGACTTTAAGCAACAGAGGGGAGCTTTTTCAGAGAGCTGAATCTGTGCATCTTCCCGTCCTCCCTCGCCTGCAGGCCATCCAGAACCCCGGCGACCTCGCTCTGCAGGAGAAGGCCTGGAACGCAGTCTGCCCCCTGGTGGCCAAGCTGAAGCGCTTCTACGAGTTTTCCCTCCGACTGGGTGAGCAGAGCTGCAGAACTGCACGGCGATTTCACCCGATAACACTCAGACTCCCGCAAAGGCCGCAAAGAGCCCCAAAGCGAAAAACCTTCCTTTGGTCTCCGCTTGTCACTTTTTGTGACAAAAGGTTTGTCTGAAAAGGAAATTCATTCAGCCTCATCCTGTGCCGTCAATGCTGTCGAGAGTTTACATGCAATTTTAGTCCGGGAGAATTCCTTAACACACACACACACACACACACACACACCAATGTCCTCTTAAGCATCTCTGCAGCATCCTGACCTAGCAGCCAGGCAGCTGTTGCTACGGAAACAGTGGTACATGGTGGTCCAGCACAAAGAGAGAGAGAGAGAGAGAGAGAGTCGGCTGGCTCCCGCCTCTGCTCTGCCTTCCAATAATATTACTTCGATCTCGGGGACATTGTGTACTCAGTTTACCGGCGAAGGAGGGACGACCAATAAGTAATGATAATGTATCCGCGCTAATGCGTCCATGAGTAATGGTCCAATGGATCTCTTGTCGCCCTCCCACCGGAGAGAAAGCGATCAAATATTAACGAGTTGGAGAGTTGTTTATTAGACCAAAGGGGGACAACAAGCGGGTTGGGGGGGCGGGGGGGGTCACACATAGAGTAAACAAACAGCCGCAGGGTCCCTCCATCCAAACCGTCAGCATGCAGACCCTCAGGAATCGGCGGTTATGGAGCATCTGCTCCGCGCTAACAGCAGCAGGGGGGCGAGTGGGTTTCTGGCCGGGCCCTTCGGATGAAACACTCCACCGCTGTATTTATAGAAGGCCCTTGTGCATTTTTAATGCGGAGGAAGGCAGGGGGCCTCGGGGGACTTTGCTTCTGAGGCATTGCTACTTCACAGAGCCCCCAGGTCCAGATCTGGTGGTGTCCGATTTGACGGAGGCAGCAGAGCAGAAAGGTTCAGTAGCACATGTGACTCGGGGGATGGACACGGATACGGCAGCAGCAGCGTGACCTCTGTGCCACGTCATCCAAAACATTTAGTAGAGACCTCTCGTCTCTACGTTAGGGTACCACAAATTAACCTGAACAAACTGTTGGCCGTCGAAGTGCATCGTGGGTAAAATAGGCGCCATGTTTTCACCAGGTAGAAAAATGCAGGGAATAAAATATTGTGCATCAATATTTACAATTTTGGGGAATTTAGTGTTAAATCAGTGGAGTGTAACCAGAGTAATTGGGAGGATTACTGAGGGGAACATGAACGGACTACATTTCATAATCCATGAAGTTAAAAGCTGTAATTTTAATGTCAGCATAAAATCACTTTTACAGTCAACCAGCCGTGTTGCGTTTAAGCCTCAAGGACTCGAATACTTAATTTCTGTTCCCAGTAAATGTTTAATTTCCGGCTGAAGGGCTGTTTGAGGACCCGAGCCCGATCCTCAGAAGGGATCTAAAAGTGCCGGGTCCGTCTCTAACAGCCCAACAGTGAAATCCAGCCGTCCGAAGCTCTTTAAATCTTCCCACCGCCGCCGCCGCAGTGTTTCTGTTCTGAAATCCGTGTGGCCGTGGAGGAGAATTCGGATCTGGGGCAGATTGGAGACGGTGGCGGCCGGATAGGAAGTCTGTGCTGCTCGGTGTTGGTTTCTGACGCCCGAGTGTGTCTGCAGAGAACGCCCTGCGCAGCCTGCTGGAGGCGCTCACCAGCCCGCCGTACGCTCCCATGCAGCACCTGGAGAGAGAGCAGGCCCTGGCCAAACAGTTCGCCGAGATCCTTCACTTCACCCTCAGCTTCGATGAGCTCAAGGTAACGAGGGGCTTTTTTTTATTCCCGGCCCTCAGAGACAGATCGATAGCATGAATCTCTCTCCATCACCTTCCCAGATGACCAATCCAGCCATTCAGAACGACTTCAGCTACTACAGGAGGACTATAAGCAGGAACAGGCTGAACAACCAGCAGGTGAGGACTTCCTGGCCTCCTTTTCTCTTCGCGCTCCCTTCCTCCCGACAACATGCGCTTTTCTTTTTCCCCCGTTTTCCAGTTACACGAATCAGAGACGCCCTCATTTTACGGCCCGCGGTTATCGGACCTGATGATCGCTGCCGTGTTAAAGATGCCCGTTGTGCTTTTGCCTCCACAGCTGGAAGCGGAGAACGAGGTCAACAACGAGATGGCCAATCGGATGTCTCTGTTCTACGCCGAAGCGACACCGATGCTGAAGACTCTGAGTAACGCCACCACCAAGTTTGTTTCAGAGGTACGATTACAATTCTAAATCGGATCTTTGGATCGGTTCTCAGTGGCCGCCGGTTAAGGAGAAACAGGCCTGGAAAAAACACGATCAAAACCTTTTCCCTCTCTTTTTGCTAAGTCTGGAGCTCACGATGTGCTCCGTCTCCCCCTGGTGGCAGAACATTGTGTTCACTCAGCTCAATCACACGCAGGAACGGATGATCGTCCGTCTCAATTCCAAACATTCAAACCAATGTCTTATGCAGAGAGGCTATTTTTTGTCCCCGTCCTCCAGAACAAGACCTTGCCCATCGAGGACACCACGGACTGTCTGAGCACCATGGCCTGCGTGTGCCGCGTCATGCTGGAGACTCCGTGAGTGCTCTCCTCGCTTCCTCCCCTTCTCCGCTCGCCTCCCACTCGGATTTTAATTAACCAGCCTTTTTCCAGGGCGAACACAAAAAAGGTCGTCTGTAAGCCGCTGATTCAGCACACTGGATCGAGTCAGAGAGTCTTTCATGCTGCATTTAAAATGCTGAATGTGAATAGAAAAGTTCACGTAACATCATTTCATCGTGTCTCTTTTTGTGCAACGTTGCAGGGAGTACCGCTGTCGCTTCACCAACACGGACACCATGCTGTTCTGCATGAGGGTGATGGTGGGAGTCATCATCCTCTACGACCACGTTCACCCCGTAGGGGCCTTCGCCAAGACCTCCAAAATAGATGTGAGTGCGCAGCGGTGACCTGCGTTTAAGACGTCTTCTTGTGAAACGTGGGTCTTTGTGGCGGACAGAAGCCTTTAAGACGTCTGTGCGATCGCAGTAAAAAGGCTTTTAAGGCATTTAGAGCCGCGGTCGGGTTGGTTCCTGCACCCGATGAGGTCGTTTGGCTAATTAACTAAAATGGGCACGCACACACACACATTTTCTAGTAAAACATTGGCAAAAGCTGCAAACTTCTGCCCTGAGAAGAATTGCTTTGTCAGACGTTAAATACAGAAAAGTCATAAAAAACTTCCTTCTTCTTGCGAACGTGAATTCTGCGTATCTGGGGGCTTTTTTTCAGGAGGGGAACTTAAGGAGATTCTCTAAACACTAAAAGTGACAGTTTTTCTTATTAAAGCATGAGAACATGTTCAGTAGAAACCGTCCGAAAGTAGGAAGCTGGAAATGAGTTGGATTTGTTCCCTCTGAGACAAAAAGTGACTGATTAACAATCAGCATTAAAAACTGGCTGCCCTGAAAATCAATATATATATATATATATATATATATATATAATGAGATATTTTTGCTTTACCCTTTAAAATACTAAATATTTTTAACCTTTTTGAGTCAAACAGCGCGAGGTGCAAAAATTCACCTGTGAAAACAACCAGACTTTGCTTTATTTCAAATATTTCAACATGTATCGTTGTCTAAGCGTGTGCTTTTTGAGACGGCGCTCAAGCAGCAGGACGTCCTCTAACCCGCCGCGTTGTCTTTGCTCCGGCCAGATGAAGGGCTGCATCAAGGTGCTGAAGGAGCAGCCGTCCAACAGTGTGGAGGGACTCCTGAACGCACTGAGGTGTGTGTGTGCGTGTGTGTGTGTGTGTGTGTGTGTGTGTGTGTGTGTGTGTGTGTGTGCGCGACAGAGAAAAACACCCACGAGAAAATCCTCCTTTTTAAAACACGTCTCTCCTCTTCAGGTACACGACACGGCATCTAAATGACGACAGCACCTCCAAACAGATCAGGGCCCTGCTGCAATGAGGAGGGCCCTGAGGAGGGGGAGGGGGGGGGGGGAGAAGGAGTGCACTTGAAGGAGGCGGAAAAAGGAGGCGAGGAGGAGGAGGAGTGGCCAATAAACCCGTTTGTTTACAACGAACAAAGGAAATCATCTCTGGGCTTAAACCTGATGAGAATAAGAGGGAAAACTATTATATATATTGTCAGCTGTCCATCATTCTGTCTCTCATTTTGTAAAGTAAGAAAAGAGAAGAAAAAAAGCCAGAAAATGAAATATAGATATATATTAAAAATAAGTGAAACACATGCAGCAGGTGAAAAAGAAGTAGAATTAAAGATTAAGCTATATTGCAAAAAACCTAAGGTCAGAACCGCGGCAAGCTGAAAATGTAAAAAAGAAAAAGGGTTCATGCTCCAGCTGTAGTCTGACAAGTATTTTTGCACACAAACAACTTCATCTCCGCCCCCCCGCCCGCAGGGGTCCAAATCCCTGAGGCCCCCCCACCCGCTCAGGAGGCTTTAGGCTGTGGAGGTTGTCTCCGTCAGCTGCACTGATCTCCACCTTCAGGTGATCCATGAAGCAATGTGATGGAGGCCCTCCGGAGATTTGCTTCCACCTGTTTTGTCCACTTTCTGCATCGGTGCAGCTGAAGGAAAGGAGGCGAGGAGACGAGAAGTCTTTTTGGGACCACCTCCGTTATTCTCCCTGATTTCCCACCACCCTCACCCCTATCCTCGCCCATCCATCCTTGGGACATGTGGCTTTTCCAAGTAAACAAAAAGCTCGATCCAACGTTGTGTCCCCTGAAGCTCAATGTGTTCCAGCACAAAACATCATGTGATTGTTCCGGCTTTACTTGAACAACGCCGCTCTCTCTCTCTCCATCTCCATGGTGCCGATGTGGTCCAGATATCGCAGCTCTATCTTGTAAGATATCAGTCACTTCCTCCCTTTTTGGCTTTGCACGAATACGTTGAGGCTCACGTTCAGAGAACATCTGCCTCAAGCTTCTCACATTAGTGCTCAAAAAGGGACGAATCGGACGTGAGCAACATCAAAAGCCTTCGAGGAAACCACAGCACACTTGCTTCTTCACCCAGTGCCAAAGCTGTTTTTGCTTTTCTTCCACCATGAAGCCAAGTTTGAGGATTGGGAGGGGCGGAGGGGCGGAGACGGGGTCTTGCGGTCCCGTGAAACATCAGCCGATCATTATTTCAAGGACATAATATGTGATACGATACTCACAAATAAGGCCGTCAGATTCACATTTCCAAAAGGCAGATCTCTGAGCGCTCCGGTGTAAATATGTGAGGCTTTTCTCAACGGGCATCCGTGCGGTCGCCTTGGGTCCTCAAGGGATGAACAGAACAAATATGTGGGAATCTGCATCGATAAGAGTTATTTCTTTTAGTATGAGGTTGTCAAAGAACGAAATAATTGAAGCGGGAAATAAAAATAAAAAAAAAATAAAAATCAAAGGAGAAAGAAGTGCTGTACTTTGGATGTCTATAGGCCCTTAGTCTAATTTAATTTGATCTTATAATATATTTTCTATACAGGGGTATGCGAACAAGCATAGTCTGTATACATATATAGATGGCATGTTGTAAAAGTTCTGACAGAAATGTGTAAATAAGGTGTTTTTATTCATTTTTAATTGTTCAGTGACGCTGAAATTGGGTATGTGTTGTCTCTCAGAAGTACCATGCGTTTGGCTTGGGCCATCGGACTTGCCGTAGTCATAGGTTTCAGAAAATCAGCTTCATTACTGCAGGTGAACCGGAGGGTGGGGGGGGTAGGAGCCGTCCATTTGCTTGTTATTTTGTACATTTTGTGCAACAATAAACTTGTCATTTATTACGTTCAACAACGCGTGGTGTGTGTCCGTACAGCTTTAGAGCTCCATCCATGATCACATTTAACGCCGTTGCTAATTTGATGAACAGAAAAGCTTTTTAGGAGCCATCGCGGCTCCACAAGGAATCTAAGGAAGGAAGCTACATTTTCTCTTATAAGAAATAAAAGGTCAAAGTCAATTTTCGATGCACTAAACCATCTTAACCATCTGTGCTGGATGATGAATCCTGCTTCAACCTAAACTGCAGGTGTGTGATGGATTATTTATTATTGTTCTTAGTAAGGTCACCTGACAACCGGCGGTAAGAAAACGTCTGCAGAGGTGAAATCAAGCTACTGTTAAATAAAACGAGAGAAATGTCCAAAAAGCACCTCAGAGCAGCGCGGAAGCCTTTCGACATTCGTTCAAATAGAATGTGCACAAACCCATCACGTCATGCATGAGGCTATTTTAGCACTGCAAAGTGTAATATTGCATAGTTTTAATTTTCTCTCAAGAATATTCAGTCGAGACGATGTGAACAGCACTTTGATGAAGTCGCGAGGAAGGACATCGCAGGAAGGGTGTGAACCGTTAGTGTACACACATCAAACACAGACGCACACATTTCTCGTTTAGATCCAGACTGAAATCCTCACATGACCTCCAGCCCGGCAGTGAGCGTCAGTTCCCACGCGAGTCGTCTTCCTCGTATAGTGCGAAGTGAACAAAGACGTCTTCTTCAAGGTGCAGAAACAAGCTTGAAGAGGAAGCTCTCCCACAACTCACTCAACCCAGAATGAGATCGGGGCTGGATTGGAATTGGGAATCGATTGCTTGTGACAGTTATGTAGTTATGGCCATGTCCCCTATTTTACCACAAGGAGGCAGCAAAGGATGAGAAAATGAAAGACTGAGCAAAAAATACAATCGGATCAAAAAAGAAGAGGCTTATTTCTCTTTAATAAAGACCTTCCGATGCTTTAATATGTTACCAAAAAGGGGAAAGATGGCATTGATCTGTTTTTCCAAATATGTAACAGTGGATCAAAACACCTTTAAAACATCCATTAAGCGCAACACCATCATCACCATCACTCCTGCCATCTGAATTCAGGTCCCGACAGGGTTTTTAAAAGATGACGGCAGACTCGGTCCGTCCGCCTGCACCGCACGGTGTGAAGTGGGGCCGGGGGACACAGGAGGGGCCTGCCAGCAGTCATATCTGGTAAAGAGAGCAGCAAGAAGATGCTGCAGCATCCCGCCAGGCGGAATGCAACCAGCGCAGACAGAACCAAGCTGCTGCAGGAGAAACGGGAGGATTTGGAAGTGAAATGAACAAGAAGATTGTAGGCAAATGGTGGTTTGGTCAGCAGCGGGATGTGACAGGTGTGTGTGCATGTGTGTGTGTTGCAGCGCATCCGCGGCTTTGGCTTTGTGCCCTAACTGTCGTGTAATAAACAAGGAACAAATGTCTCACTTTACTTCCCCGATGGCATGCATTCAAATACAAAAAAAACGCCTTACAACTGACAAATGTTAATTATTTACTGCCCTTCAGGAGACGCCGTGAGCACAAGATAACAAGCGTTAAATCACATGGGTAGGTCATGCATTGTAACTCTGTGTACTGAGTGACAGACACTGAAGGCAGTGAAGTCGCTGCAGATAATTGTTTTAGGGAAATTAAGAGTAGATTTTCTACTTTTGAGCCAAGACCTACATAAGAGTCATAAGAGTTCCTCTGGTTTGGCCCCATTTAACCAGCATGGGATATAAAACCCACAACCAGCGGACACTGGGCCTTCCAATAAAGAAGTAATTCAACAAATGCCACAATGAAACGAGGAAGTACAATAGACAAAGTGTTGTGGGGTTCGGACGGTTGTCGTTGTGCAGGAGGCGCTTTGAGCGGCGAGCAGGTCACACGGGGTCACGAGTCGGGGAATTCCCGAGGCCATCAGTTAATCCTAAAGTTCCCCGCAAATGTTTTGCAAATTACCCGCTTACATTGTGGCTTTGCGCCTTTAAGTCCCAGCTATTAACCGTTAACTGCCCTGTGGGAGGGAAGAGGGGAGGGGGAGGGGGCGCAGTTTATCAGCCAAACTGTGGGTCCGTTCAACAGCGGCCTCCCGTCCCGCCTTTCACTCATCTCTGTCCGCCCAAACAGCCTCCCACACGTCTATCTGATGCACACGCCGCCCTGACCTGGTTGGTATCAGCAGAAGGTCGCTCTCCTCGCAGGTAAAACACCGGGCGATGCCCTGCACTCAACTTGCACCTCATGGGTGTGTGTGTGTGCGCCTGCGAGTGCATTTCCGCAGCTGCATGAGGACAAAGACTCTCATTCAAAAGGAAAAAGTCTGCAGTTATTTGGTACATTTAAAACTTTTGTCTTTGAGATTCAGCTGTTGGGTGAAATTGGCTACATTTGAGGTTTAGGGCATTTCTATTGCATCCAGACGGCTCTGGACAGGGTTGAAGTTTAGCCGCCAAAACTCACAATGTGCCTAACAGCGCTAAATAGTTACCAGGGGGGGGGGGGGGGGTGTCAACCCAGCTGTAACCAAGGTGGTGTTGTGGGAATCACACCGTGTTTCACAGTCACAGGAATAAGCACGCAAGTCCTGTCAAAGAATCAGAGGCTCCGGATGAAATATCACGTTGCAGAACTCATGCGTTTGAATCAGAGAAATGCACAAATGGAGAGAACGGTGAGTGAATATCTGAAATATCAGTGCACGAGGGGAGTGGGAGTCCTGCTTAGCGTGTCGAAGCACACGGTTTGTTCATACAAAAGAGCCCTTTGTTTGAAATAGGGGGATGAGTATGTGCGTGGAGCGCACATGTATGTGCGCGACAGCTGCTACTGGTCTAATGTTACGTTGGCTTCATAACACACTTACAACACGGGCATGTCATGGGCAGTTCAAAGTAGACACACACACACACACACACATCTGTTTTATAATACGTGCTAAATGTAGAATATCCATATTGTAGCTTTGTACAATACAGTGAGTAGACAATTTAAATGAATAGTGCTGAATAAATGTATTATAAAATAACTAATTGCAAGGTACAGTATAATAACAAATTATTTATTTTATGACCTTTATAGATCCTGACGGTACAATATGTAGTTCAAGGACAACCTCCATTAAAAAATGACTAACTTAATTTATGGTAAATCACATTTCCACACTGGTAATCTGGGACCATGTAATATTCCAGTAAAGTAACACATTGCAAAGACAGTGGAAAATCAAACGGAGGGTGAATAATGTTCAGCAGCTCATTTAACCTTTGACCTGCACAAAGAACACTATGTTTTCACACTAACGTCAAAAAAAGTGTATACAAACCTGAGTGACCAGAAGGAGCCGGACGTGGCAGTGAAAGCGTTAAGCGCCGCAGAATGGGAGGCTCCACGCCCCGCCCACCGCCCCCTCATTTGCATATCGAGCGGGAAGCCCCGGCTCTTTGTTGCTACTGCGCCCAGCCGGAGCCCCTCCCACAAAACGCCGCACTGGCGGGAAAATGCTCCAGAGCTTTAGCCCACTGACAACGGGCACGCGCGTCTCCCACATTATGCACCGCGGAGTGCGCGTTGCTCTTCACACGCAGATGGAATCAAATGCGCGGGCACGCGCACACGCACACACACACACTTGTATTGTTTGTCATGTATCGGCTGCCACACCCATTTCTCGCCTAAGTGGACACACAGATAGATTAAAGAGGAAATGGACTGAGGATTGATTTTGATATGAAGTTGATGACACACACACACACACACACACACACACACACACACACACACACACACACACACACACACACACACACACACAGTGTGAGAGGAGTGAGACACATTATCATGGCCCACTAGACACAATACATCAATGGTAAGCGGCTTTAAATAAAATAAGCAAATTACTTACAAAAGGTGACAATGCTGTATGTGTGTGTGTGTGTGTGTGTGCGCGTGCTTGTGTTGGGAAAAGGGTTCATTGGGTTGTTGGAAAAACAGGAAGGCGTGTTATGCTCTGGACTGGGAAGGGTAGACGACGAAGGGAAAAAACTACCGAGCGCCCCCCGCATTACATAACCCGGCAGGAAATGTGTGTGGAGGGTGGACTTTGGGGGGGGGGGGGGGTGTAGGCACACTGCACCTATGACACTTTCCTTGAAGGCTATTCACATCTAATCACGTCTCTTCCTCTCCACGTCCTTCTGTCACGTCTCCTTGTAAACAGCGGCCTCCTCGGCGAGACAAAAAGAGGAGGAGCAGCAGCATAAACCCGCTGAACCTCACTCGTCCCTATAGAGACACACACACACACACACACACATCAATAAATGATGGTGTGCACTCTGGATGCATAGTCTACATCGGATTGCATTGAAACATCACAAAACCACCGTCTCTTAGCCGCCACACACTCATCCCTCAGTGTGTGTGTGTGTGTGTGTGTGTGTGTGTGTGTGTGTGTGGTCGTGCGTGCGTTCATCTATAAAGCCACAAACACAACAATTACATGAATATATATAAAGGAACCAAGTATGTATGATTGGGTCACACCTGAGCGTCTCGCTCTGAACCGTCCGTGTCCTCCTCATAAACGAGGAGCTGATGCCTGCGCGTTCTCTGCTCGCCGCGACGCTCGCTGACCTTTCGCTGTTCGCCGCCGTGTTTACCGGAGACGAAAGCGACACATTTCTAACAGAGTCCTTCGCGTTCCACACACTCCCGGCCCGAGGTTGCAAAAAAAAAAAAACGTGTGGCGTCTAGTGTTCCGCCCGAATATGTGTCCTTCTGTACTATCTGTAAGCATGTTCAGACCGCAGCGTGTTGATCAGCAATAAAGCTCCCTCGTCGTGGTCGAGTCATCGGCGTCTTCGACCCGCAGCTGCGACGCGATCTGATTAGCCGCTCGCATGTCTGTCTGCGTGTGTGTAGTTGCGTGTTTTCCCCCCTTTTTGTCTGGCCAAGGCCAGATGGCAGGGAATGTTTAGTCAAATGGGATTAGAGATTAGGATTAAGTGCACTCCAAATTACCCAGACGCACAGTCACTGGATGACACAACTACAGCAGAGAGGCTCTGCAGGTCAGCAGCACACACACTGTGTACGAGGGGATACAAACAAAAATACACTAATGGCAGATATCAGTCTCTCCGCACAAAGCTACTTAGCTTAGCATAGCAAGAGCGTAAACAGAAGGAAAAGGCTGGCACGCCTTCAGTCTGTGAAATCCTCCTAGCGGCACCTCTTAATTAAAGCAATTAACACGATATGCATCTCCTTTTGTCTAATTGCGCTTTTCAAAAGAAAGAAAAAGGAAAAGCACGAGCCGCCCGCCCGTGATGCTAAGATGGACTACGCGTTTGTCGTATGCAAATGAGAATGATTTGACCATCCTATCCAACCCCAAAAGTCTTAACAAATCTTCTCAGGGCTGCAACTCGTTCATTTCTGTCAGGATTATCTCTTGATTAGGTTTCAAATTTAAACATCGATCGTGTTTCTAAAGAAGATTTTTTTGGTCCGTAACCAAGAAAATTTAAAAGAAAACGACCCGCAGTGCAATGACGCTTCAGCTAAAATCACATCTTCAAATTATTGGTTCAATTTACAGACCAACGCTTTAAAAAAAGGTATTTTCAGGATTATTAAATAAAACCTAACATTTCACTACTGAATCACTACACTGGATGCAGTATGTGCAGTAAAGCCAGTGACCGGAGGCCCTGAAACCCTGACGGCAAAGAGGCCAGACAACAAGCGTCTATAGGCTGCCTTACATAAGGAAGCCTGTGCCCCCCCCCGCCCCCCCCTCCGGTGGGCCCCCTCCATAGGACAGAGTGTGCTCTGTGGACACACACAGCCAGCCGCCATAGGGAGGAGAGAGAGGGGAGAGACTGGGGCGCTACAACTGGGTGAGTTATCTAGCGGCTGGTACGACTGATAATAAAAAATAATAGTAACAAAATAAAAAACAGCAGTAATATAATCAAACATTTGAGACATCTAAAAAAACACACATACTTTTATTTGAGTGTGCGTGGGAAGCCACAGCGGCAGGTTTCCCATTTCAAACAGGCCCAGTGTGTTGATTCTTTGTGCTCACTGTCTGGAGCTAACGAGTTCACTCAGTGCGTGAGTGTGTGTGTGTGTGTGTGTGTGTGTGTGTGTGTGTGTGTCCATAGATGATCTACTGCGTCTCGGCGCGTAAATCCCTAATTGGCTTTGTGACCGTGGACGCTGCCCTTGTTGCGCGGCCCAAGAGGCCTGATGTCAGTGTCGTCTCCTTCTAAACGTGGAGTGATTCAGCAGCGCCTGGAGGTGCCGGGAAGTCCAGATAAGAACATTCCACGATTAGTTGGTGAAGAGAACGTGAGGCTTCGATAAAAAAAAAAGGAAAAAAAAGGTGCATCATTGCACCAGAGACAATACAAAGAAGGACAGAAAAACAAACCTGGATCAAAACACAGTGAAAGGTCATAAAAAAAACAACAACACAGAACCAGTTACACGGTGACCTTTGCCCTCGTGTTACCACATACTGTACGGTACGCCTTCAGTACGCTGGAGGCCTGACCCAGTTTGGAAAGAGAGAATGTGGGGCACGCACGCACGCACGCACACACACACACACACACTTCCAGCTATTATATGGCTGGAAATATTTCCAGTCATGTGGACGAGGTCAAGCGCCGGGAGCCTGTGAACGCGACTCAGAGTGAAAGAATTTGTCTCAGCCTTAGAGAGAAGACGGCGTGCTGCCCGGGACCGTGGAACCATTGTCCGATTCTTGGAAAAGCAGCAGGTGAGGAGATAGAAAGGGAGCGCCAAGCGAGGCCGGTGGCCCGATGCCAGGTATTGTGCATGCGGTTCAGCAGCGGAGGGGGGAGGGAGGGCGTGGATGGGAGGCACACCCCGGCCAGATAAACAGCGCAGTGAAAAACACTCTCTCTCTCTGCGGTCAGGTGACCTGCGATCAGGTGAGAAGGTGAAACCAGAACACCGGCGGTTGTCCTCCGGTTGAGAAGCTTCTTTGGTTTATTGAGAATCGTTTTTTAAAGTGCATAATGGTTCAAGTTAAAGACAAAGAAACAAACCAGGAAATGCTCACGAAGACAAAACATCACAAAAAACAGCTTTTATCATAACAGGCGGTAAGGAGGAAAAAAGGGCATTTGGCAATTATAGTTCCTGGCTGCAGCAAATGTGAGATTTATTCTTTTAAATAAAGCTATATCTTAAAGTAAAAGCAATAAAGATATTTGGGGGGGAAAAAACAGTACATCTCCTTCAAAATGACTCCAAGGATCCATAAAAGTAGTCTTTTTGATAATCTGGTGTTATCAATTCTTTAACCTGCAGGACGTAGAAGGTCGGTCAGCCCATTTCAGCCCACAAATAAGGTCAATAGAGGCACTGGAGTTCAAATTGGACTCCATTGGGAGCAGAAAGTAGGCCTGAGAGGGCCGGGAGGTGAGCAGAGGTCAGCGGGTGGAAACCTGAAAGTACGAAGTCCAGAGTCCGCGCCACTGTTACGACGTCACAGGGACGTCCTCCTGAGACGTCCCGACGTCTCCAGACGCCGCCTCCGTGCAGCCCGGGGCAACGGTACCGCCAGAGTCCTCCGAGTCGCCCCCCACCGCCCCTGCAGCAGAGGCAGGAGGGGCAGCGGCCGGATCGGACTTCAACTTCTTCCTCACGTGATGGCGATGCTTTTTGGACTTCAGGTGAGCTGCAAGTAAAAAAAAATATATATATATAAATATAGTCTAGTATAAAGAAGTGATACTCATCAGGTGCACTCTGGAGGATTGCAACATGTGTTTTTTTGTTGTTGTCCCTGAAACTAGAAGCCTGAAGTGGTTTGAGTGGCCTCTCCACATAGAATAACAAGCAGAAGGCTCACTGGTCTCCAAAAACTCCAATGTCACTACTGCCATCACATTACAGAGTCACTAAAAACACACTCTGCTACGGAGAGAGGTTTTAAGGGTCTGAGGCACTCATTTATTTTATGCTGCATTCCACAGGCATCTAAAGCGTAGATATCACAGAGAACCCGCTAAGAACACATCTGTTTAGAACGAACACGCCGTCGACACACATGTAATATAATGACGAGCGATATGGGACATCCGCTGGGCATCAGCGGCGATGATGTTTCTCCGCAGCCGCGTATGCGGGAAAGACGACGTGTCGGCTTGTTTAGGAACGACACACTTATAGAAAATGACTTTGCTCAAATAAACAGATTATTCCTCATATATAGATGCACACACACACATATATATATATATATATATATATATATATATATAGATATATACACACACCATTTACTAAACTAAATCAATATGTTCCAACAAGATATTGTGTATATAAACAATCATTCACATAAAATGAATGCAAGTACGTGTTTAAATGACAGCGATGATACAGGTGTTGCACAGCCTCACCTGTCCACTCCAGGTCCCCGATGATCACTTTGTCACACTGATCACACGCGTGGCGGCTCCGCTTGTTCCTCTGCTGCGCCCCCTCTGCTCTGATTGGCTGAACAGCTGGCTCCTCGCTCTGAATGAAGCAAAAATGTCGGATTTTTAGGATTTTTTTTTTTTTTAGGGCTGGAGATGCACTCCATCATCACCCAGGACCTCAAGTGGGAGCTGAACATCAGCTCCATCACCAAGAAGCCTCAGCAGAGGTTGTTCTTCCTGAGGCAGCTGAAGAAACTCAACCTGCCAAAGACGATGATGATCCACTTCTACACGGCCATCATCGAGTCCATCCTCTGCTCCTCCATCACCGTCTGGTACGCTGCAGCCACAGCCAAGGACAAGGGCAGGCTTCAGCGTGTCCTCCGCACTGCAGAGAGGGTGATCGGCTGCAATCTGCCGTCCCTGCAGGACTTGTTCGCTTCCAGGTCTCGGAAGCGAGCTAAAAAAGATCGCGGCCGACCCCTCTCACCCCAGACAAAACCTGTTTGTGCCCCTTCCATCTGGCAGGAGGCTGAGGTCCATCAGGACTAAGACCTCCCGCCACACGAACAGTTTCTTCCCGTCGGCAGTCGGGCTCATCAACAGAGCCGGTCCCCCACTTATATATAGGCCTTATTCTACTAACCAATTGCATTAGCATTTCATTTTACTTTATTTTATTACTTGTGCACTGCTGTCTTGTCTGTCTACTGTCACGCGGTCTACTGTCGCGCACCAACCGCCAAGACAAATTCCTTGTATGTTTGGCATATTTTGGTAAATAAATGTTTCCTGATTCCTGATTCCTGATCCTGACGAAAGAAATGACACTGTGTGTCTCATTGAGGTCTGACAAACACGTTGAGCGCGTTTCTGTCCTCGTATTTCAAACATTGTTTACACGCGCGTTGGCTCTTCTTCAACGCGACCTTGGTTGGTGTTTGGCTGCGTCTGTTGCCACGTTACTGCCACCAACGAACAAAACAGTAACAGCCAAAACGGTCAAAGGCTCCGCAGGGCTCCTTTAATAGAGCGCTTATGCAAGGCTGTGCTCGCATATCTAGGAATACCAATGGAGCAGGAAGGCTGGGAGACTTTAAAAATAAGTTTCAGTACACAAAAGGAGGACAAGTAGTATTTGATTGTACAAATTAGAGGTATGAAGAAGGGAACAAACGGCGGTAAAAAGAGGCAAATAAGGTGGTGGAAAGAAGAGAGAATATGATGAAATCTGGAGGAACAAAGAGCAGCGCAGGAGGAAGATCTACGAGTGCCGCTGACGGACAGGAAGCTATCGAGGCCCCACCTTGCTGAGGCTCTCCAGTATCTGCAGTGCGGGGTTCAGCACAGTCTCCTCCCACCGCGACGCGTCCGTCACGTCCAGGCCGTACACCACCGGCACGCTGTCTCCTGGTCCTACACACACACACACACACACACACACACACACACACACACACACACACACAGAAAACAAAAGGTCAAAGCCGAGCAGAAAATACACGTAACACAACGCCGCCCGACTTCCTTTACAATGTGTGAGGTCGGCGTGCTGATCCCTCTCGGCGCCCCTCTAACGTGTCGCACCATCACGCTCATCGAAGGGGCGGAGCTGCGGATTGTTTTCACATCTCGTGGAACAAACGAACATTTCATCAGACGACGACGACGACGACGACTGCGGGATGGATGCGACGGGGAGGGACATTTACAGGAGCAGCGACGTGCCCGGAGCCGCACCCTGAAGCTCCGTCAACCCGCTGACTCACACCGGCTCGATAACGTCTCTCCCTCCCTCCCTCCCCCTCTCATCTCTTGTGCACCCTCGCTCTCTCGCTCCGTCAGTCCGGCTTCAGCTTTCACGCGCTTTCTCTCTCTCTTCCTCCCACGAACTCTTCCACCTGCCGTGTTTCTATTTTCCCCGGTCAGCAGTCTCCAGGTCAGACCTGGACAATAAAAGAGCTGCATCAGTCCCTGTCTGTCTGTCTGTCTGCATGAAGAGCCACTGCCCTGCATTGATTGAAGAAAAGATGCTCAGGAAATCGGTGTGTGCAACTTGTAGAAAAAAATGTCAAAACAACAAAAATGATCCTTGAGTACCTGCAAGGGTTCGACTAAATTATTTAAAGAAAACATGATCTGGAGGGCGAGATGTTTTTGTATAAAGCGGGTGCTTTTTAAATGTAAAACTGTATTAAAGCACAAGATTCACAACAAAAAGGAGCAGCGTGCCAGGATGCTAACATTTGCTGTTTGGCATTAAACATTAAAGCAGGGATTTCGTGGTACCAGAATTGGCGAAATACTGATTAAATGGCCCTGAGGAAAAGTCGGGTTGTGACCAAAGTGAGAAGGGTTTATCCTGTGGGGACCCCGAATGCCCGTCCAAAAACATCTAGTAAATCCTTCAAATATTTGCTGTGACCTTTAAATCCGCAGCGGCGGAAAGAGCCGCCGACGTTGCTGGAACTCATTTTAAAAAAGGCGCAAAGCTGAACGCGTTTTTTTTTTCCCCTCCGATAAAAAGGTGTGGAGAACACGTACCGAGTGAATGAACCCCATTAACCCGGCAGGCTTTTATGCCTTAATCCTCCCAACACAGAGGCTGAACCGCGAGGGACCGACTCCGGGCGCCACGGAGCGCTACTTACTGCCGCGTCCTGCGCACACGCCAGCACCTGCCCCGCTTTGCATCCCCGCCGTCGCCGTGGAAACCACTCATCCGCAGAAAACACCTGTCCGGCATTTGTGTTCACGCAGTCAATTTGTTGACCGCGTGTTTTGTTAAAAAACATCACTGACTGTTAATCACAGCCTCGGGTTTATCGTGTGTGTTCACGGTCTGTGTGTGTGTGTGTGTGTGTGTGTGTGTCTTTTGTGTTTGTGACACAACAGCAGGCAGGCGGCGGCAAGCCTCACCTGGCATACCTTCACCAGACGTACAAATGGAGAGATCTCGCTTTCGTATTGCGCCCCCTCCCTCCCCTCCCGCCCCCCCACCGGCCGGTGAATAGAAGGGAGATCTTGTGTGGTAGGTTGCCAGATGCTGGACAACCCCCTCCCTCTCCGCACGGGGATCTGGTGAAATTGATCCCCTTTAATCCACTCTGTGGTGAACGAGGGTCGATAAAATAAAAACAACACAGAATGGACAAAGAGCAGGGTGACACGCACGCGCGCGCGCACACACACACACACACACACACACGCGCGCACACACACACACGCACGCACACATCGCCTCGCCTTTCAAGCACACGAGGGAGATCGCTTTGCCAACCAGAGAGAGCATCTCCTGTCGCCTGGCAGCTGCTGGCCAGAGCGGCGTGTGTGTGTGTGTGTGTGTGTGTGTGTGTGTGTGTGTGTGTGTGTGTGTGTGTGTGTCGGAAACAGGCGTCCACCTGTTGCAACGGAAACAAAGCGGCCGGCAGCCATTTGTCGTGTCTTCCTGGCGTTTTTTTGCCGCCGCTATAAAAGGCCGAGCGCCGCCCAGCTGTGCTCCTCTGGCTGCCGCCCACGGCTGCAGCTCAGCAGCTGCCTTCGCTCGCTTCGAACGGCCTCCTTCCTCTTTTTCCGCGGAGTTCCTCTTCCACTTTTTGTCTCCTCCTTCGTTCCGTGTTGTTTGCGTTTGACATTTCGGCAGCGAATCAAAAACATGTGAAGGACGTTTCGGCGGGTTTTGATGATTCGTTTTATCCCCCAACAAAAAGACGTTCATTTTGTAAATCTTTTTGCCAATAATGATTGACTTCTGGACAAAGATAATTAGAGAGATGAAGGAGCGGGTTGCTTGTGTGTGTGTTTGAGAGAGAGGGGGGGGACGACAAGGCTTCTGTAGTTTTATAGTAATTAATCATAAAAACCCAACATGAAAAGTGGCTGCTTTTCTTAGTAAAATTAATTTTGGGGGGGTTTCTCAAAGTGCCTGTTTCCACTTCCTGTCATTCCCACTCCGACGCATGAAGGCAAAGAACCCGGCGCCGCATCTCCTCGAACCCTCTGCGTCATTCCTCTCTGTTACAGCCCTCCGACCCATGTAGGTGACAGAAAGGTCTTTGTGCCCCCCCCCATCCCCGGCGAGGAGGCTGCATTTGTGTGTATGACACCGCAGAGGGCACACGGGTGTGTAAACTGGCCTCACACCTGTTGCCGGCGGCCGTGTCAGATTCCCCTCACAGCTCCCCGTGTGTTGTTTTCTGTCTGCCTCCGTCCTTCACCCTCTCTCTCTAAACATACATCACACTCACCTGGGCATCCTGGTTACAGGGAGGGTGTTCATATGTGTGTGTGTGTGTGTGTGTGCCGGTCTTTGGGGGAATTAAAGAAAGACGTTGAGGGCGCAGGCACCTTTCGCCATTACAACGTGGTGCTTATTAACATTAATTTAACCTCAAATTACCGTTTTCTTAATGGGTAATTAAATCTGCTAATTGACCATTCCCCTTTAAAAACACGCGCGTCTGTTCAGCCTGGACCCACATACAGATGCACTCAGAGGCGAGACCAATTAAGCTTGATTTAATTCGCTCTGGCTGCTTAAATCCCCGCAGCCGCCACAGTCGAGCCCGTTGGAGAACGCGGGCATCCTGCCGGAAAGTATTTAAGACAGCGAAACGCCCGCCGCCTGAACCCCCCCCACCCCCGACCCCCGACCCCCGCAACCCGAATCCAGGTGAGGCGCGAGCTTTCCAGGGAATCGGCCTCCTGCACATCTACGAGCAGCTCCGGGGGATCTTTTTCCCACCCTGACTGAGGCGCTCGGTCACGTCCGGCTCCTCCTCCCCTTCCGGCCCGCCGGCCTGCGTCTGCTCGGGTTGGTCCTCGTAGACCCCCCCCGGTGACCCCGGTGACCCCCTTGTCCCGAGTCTGTGTGGTCGGGGTGGATTCCCGGCAGCTCTGTAATGCTTCAGGAGATTAGCCCGCTCAGCTGAGGCTGTGTGTGTGTGTGTGTGTGTGTGTGTGTGTGTGCACAGGGCTCAGACGAAACAGAAACGAGGTCAGCGGTCACCGCGAGGGAGCGAGGTGAACACGGACGACGCAGACAGGAGGGCGGGATGAGCGGCGGTTTTGAGAGCACGCGCACGACAACTTCGAGAACTCGCTTGAAATGCGAAAACAAAACCACCATAACTAAATAGTTTCCGTCCGGATGCCTTGTGTCCGCCACAAGGAACGCGAGGAAGATCAGATGGTGCGTGCGGTCAGAAAAGAGGGGTATTGGGGGTTTAGGGCCGGCGCGGCCCATAAGCCACTTGGGCCTAACGGGATTAGCAGGCCGGGTTAATACGGGGCAGAAACACGCTCAGCCTTCACATGCATGTTAAAACATTGTCTGGGCTCCTGGCGTTTGTTTGGCAGCTTTGCGCTCTGCGGGGCCCGGAAGCAGCCGCTGAGAAGGGACGGCGGCAAAGATTTCGAGCGGCTTGTGTGCAACAAACATTATCCGTGATGTCACAGCAGCTCACATTCAAACATATAGAGCGATACCAAATGCTCGCACACACACACGGACACACACACGGACACGTGGGTGAAGGGTACTCACGTTTAAGGAAGCGGTTACGGACCCATTTGTTCTGTTTGCGGGCGTAACGTCTCGTGGCGATCTTCAACGCTTCTATACCTGCAGTTAAAGGAGGCTGTTGTAGATTATTAAATGAATTCTTCTGCTTGAACTGAATCTAAATCCGTCCCCAGGGACGTAGATCGAGTGTCCCTCTGACCTTTGTCTCGGAGAGCGTCTTTCTCCTGCTGGGTGCTGCTTTCAGGAGCAGTCAGGTAGTCGTGAAACTCCTTGAAACCGATCGACTGGAAAATCCCGTGTTGGTAGTTCTGACTGGAGACGAGAGAGGATGAAACTTTATCCATCAATAAAACCAAAAAGGTCTCCGTCTCCAGCGGGATATTTCCAGACACGCGGCGGGGACTCGTTTCACCTTTTCCTCCTCTATCGGTGAACAAGGATCTGTCCGAGCAGACGTGAGGCCGACAAAAAGTGACACAATGACATTCAAAAAACTGCAGCGGAGCCCCCGGGTGTCCGGACTCAGTCTGCAAAACGTTCACTACAACTAATGTGCATTTTCCACTACGTGTGAAACATGACAAAGTAGTTTTGCAGTTTTCAATTTGCAACATTAACGGAGTCTAAAATCAAGTCTCTTTGGCTGCAGCAGCCGGACATCAGACAATAAAAACGTAATATTTCAATCCTCGTCAAGACTATCGCTTTAATTTGATCACCGCTGCTTGTTCTCTACGGGTTATAGTAATAGCAATTTTTATTTCTACTGCAACAAGAAAAGGTTTTCTTTCCAACATTTGACTTGAGGAACGACAGATCGAGCCTGCACCTGTTTAACCGATTACCAAACTAACCAACAGCGAACTGAACCCCCACAGGGTCTGAATATTCAGACTGTGTGCAGAACGAGGCCTTTTGGGTCTGTTGGGGCTACTTGCAGGTCCTGTTTGCTGCACCATTACTGGATTACTTCAACAACAAAAAGAGAAAGGCTGAATATATTATTGATTAATGAATGGAGATCACACACCAGGGAAATAAATGTGCTCATATCCCTGTTTGAACAGCACTAAATATAAATAAAAGCTAAAAACACAATTAAACTGCAATTTCAGAGCCATAATCCAGTAGGCCTTAATCAAAAGAAAATGGCATCGTTTAAAGGGATCATTTGGACGCACATTCCAGCAGATTAATCCTATTGGGATAATATTAACAGATCCCACTGAACGAGTGAACTGGAAACCATGTCTGTCTGGAAATGTGAGAAGAGCAACAGAGGACAGGAAGTGTGGAGTCGATGGAGGGAGGAGAGAGAAGGACGGAGCGACGGAGGGAGAGGCTTGACCTTGACGTCCGGCCGCAGCAGCCAGCTGCAGGGACGGAGACGAGAGGGTAAAAGGAGTCAGACAGGGAGACGGAGGGCGGGACGGGGGGAGGCGGGACGGGGGGGGGTAAAGTGCTTGGGTGATCAGATTGCTGAGAGGGCAATAGTGGAGGAAGACAGAGAGGAGGGGGGGATGTGCCAGAGGGTGGGAACGGGTGAGGAAAGGAAGGAGGACGAAACTAGGAGACACTAGAGGCCGCTTCCTGGACCTGTCCAACAATGCATCTACCGGTCAAGTCCCCGTCCCCCCTGTTTCCCCCCCCCCCACGGCCACACCCCATCACGCACCAACAATATCAACATCTGCTGCCAGTCCGGCACATAGTTGCACACATTTAAAGAGCCGTGACTGTTCTCATTCCGAGGGGGCTTTTTGGCTGCGCAGTTGTAATAAATACCAATCAAGACGCCACGAGTCGGCGCGTGGCCACAGGCCGGTGGCGGCCCACTGAAAGGCCCCAGTGTGCTGCCGGTCACGAGGTTGCCGTCGAGGGAATGTCAGGGACAACTCGGCGATTGTGTGTAACACAGAAACATCAATCCCGTTGAGATTGTCTTTGAGAAGCATCCGGAGGGGACCACGCGGCCCCCGCGAGCCACGTCCGCCCAGCGAGAGGCTCCGAGGTCGTTAGCGCCGATCACCACACTCCCCCCGCCGGTGCTTGAGGTCCTGCGGAGGGCTCTCATCTCTGCAGTTATTAATAGTCACAGGACGTCCTGAAGAAGTACCAGTCCCGAGCTGAACTCGCTCCGGTGTGCGCGGCTTCTAAAAATCGGTCCGCGGGCCGCCGGGGGGGGGGGGAAAGCGACGGCCATTGGAACAGAGCCAGCCGGCGGAGGAGGAATAAATACCCGGGAAATCGCCGTGGTTACGGACCGAAAGGCCGGATCTGTTTAGGAAAGGGACGATGGGAGCGTGAACGGAGACGCGTTTTCGCTCGGGGACCCGTCGGCTACAGCGAGGCTCGTTACTTCAACCCTCCAAGTTACAAATTCTAAATGGTGATCGTCCTCTGTAGTGGCTATTTGCATAAAAACACACAATTCAAATGGGAATACATTGCCGTTGTTCTCGCATTTTAATAACCAGAAGTAGATTTGCATAGATTGTTCCAGCAGTTTGACGTTGGTGATGCTTCCAGCACCCGATTTTAGAGGCAGTTAACGTGGTTAACCTCCATCACAGCTTCCATTTAAATAAACCTTCAGCATTACGTATTATAACCTGCTTAGAGTTAAGATTAGGACGCTAAACAGGAGATGAATTTTATATTGTTGAAAAAGATTCTCACCAAGAACACATACGATTAGATTTGAACACATCAGGATAACGTTACATTTCAACCGAAGCTCAATCCTGGGGGGGTTCAGTCAGTGTAACCTTCGTTAGCGTTAGCCGTTAGCTCAGCTACGAGTAGGACGTCTCTTTTTCTCTCACTTCTCACCTGTTGTCCTGGACCCTCTGCAGGTTGAAGCGGACGTGGAAGTCTCTGAGCTCCTCTACGAGTCCAGCGGACAACATCTCATCGACGCGGGCATCCAGGCGCTTGTCTAGAGCTGCAGGGGTGGGTGGGTGAGGGGGTGAGGGGACAGGGGGAGATAGAAACATCAACAAAAATGAAAAAGGACGAACGCGAGACGCTTGGTAGCGTGGCAACGGTTGGTGTCGCTCTGGCAACGTCGGGAAAAAAATCACCGTCCATGTCGGCGTGCAGCCAGAAGATGCAGGGGTCCGGGTACCTCAGCGGCCCCCCCAGCCCGCCGCCTCCCTCCTGGCCCCTCTGCTCCTCCAGCCAGCGGCTGTGGGAGACGCCCGTCTCCTCGTGGATTTGAAGACTCCTGTGGACAACAGAGACGGGTAAATCAAACATTATGTCGGAAACCAGCAGACAAACACAAAGGCCTCTCTGATCTGCAGCACACTACGAGTCCCCCCCGCCCCCCCGCCGGGCTTTGACGGGTAAACTGAGATGAGATACGCATCCACTCATCTATTAAACCCAGTGTAAATTAAACGTCTAGTTTGACAGTGGTCTCAATGATTAACACGGCGGCAGCAGTAAATACCAAAGACGAGACAACAAGCGGTAAATAAAATCACACAGTTGACATTCGGCGAGATTCAAATCCTTCAGCGGCGCCTCGAGGTGATGAGGAAAAGATGATTCCTGTCGTCTGCTGTCATCCAGGAGGACAGAGTAACCTGACCCGCTCGCACGGAACAGCAGGCTGCTACTCATCAAGCGTGTGCGTGCGTGTGTGCGTGTGTGTGCGTGCATGTCGGTGTGGAGGCCGCGCGCTCAAATGAAACAAACAATTTACACAATCGCGTTTCCACAGTTTCCATAGAATATTCCTTAATGCGTTATTCTGCATTTGTATGATTAATTGTAGGATCAAACATTGAGGGTGGCGTTGCCGTGGCGGCGACCCGTCAATCACCTGGCTATCTTGCGTTTGTCATTTGGGTGCAACATGGCCGCCATCTCGGGGTCGACCTCGGCCAGACGATCGTGTAACTCGGCTCCTCCCAGTTTCTCCAGCTCCAACTTCCTGTCCGGAGCCTCGTCTCCGGCGTCCCCTGGCTCCTCCACCTCCTGCCGCAGCAAAGCGCATTTCCATAGAGCCTCTTTAAGGGCCGGCGCGGTTTGTCTACTCTCAAGGTGCTGAAGCGTTAAGAGCTCTGCTTTTAAACTTAGAAGACACATTTAAGTGACACTTTAAAATACCACAAAGCAGCTCCGGTGAAGAAAAATAAAGACATGAAGCCATAAACGGGTTTATTTCAGGTGGACTCACCGCCGCGTCCAGCAGGACTCTCCACAGCAGAGACTCGATGTAATAGTTCGTCCCGCCCACGACCAGCGGCAGCTTGTTCCTGCCGTGCATGTCGTCGATGTGGGAGGCCGTTAAGGAGCAGACGGGTGCGAGGGGGAACGCTTCGCGCGTCACGGATCCCGCCAGCGAGTATTTACAGGAACGCACCGGACACGCGTTTAAAACAAGCGTTGACGTTCAAGACGAACCATAAGCTCATAAAGCGCTGGATGAAGAACACGGATCAGGGGGCTGATATGAAGATACGCTGGAGGTGGTGATTTATTATTAAAATCAAAAAGTCCACCGTCATTGATTAGTTATTGGTAAATGTGATCTGTCGCTCTAATATTTAATTGTTCATTGAGGAAAACATTTATGTAAGAATGTCATTATATTATTTCAGGAAAGTTAGTGAAGAGTGATATGCTTTAAATTAAGACCCACAGTGTTTTATCCACTATTCTGTCATAGCTTTTAAAGGCTGCAACTGGTTGCTTATAAATACATCACTATTTTAAATCAATATTTAAAAGTTTTAATAAATTCAGGCTCAAATTGCCGTATTGCAACATGGGAACGAGATGAACGCGAGCTGAATACATTATTTTAAAGGTTTAATGGTTCTTCTTTACAACCTAAAAGCTTTAATAATTGATGATTTGTTCATAAACAAACAAACCAACTCTTTAACACCAAACAGTTTGGTTACAAATCAAAACTACAAATAGAATTGAAACCCGACCTCCCTGCTCACACAGCCTGTCTGTCTGCCTGCCTGTCTGTCTGTCTGTCTGCCTGTCTGTCTGCCTGTCTGTCTGTCTGTCTGCCTGCCCGTCTGTCCCACCTTAGTGCTCTTAATCTCCCCTCTTCAATCACATCGTCTCTCGCCCTGCACCTTCCCTTCCTGCCTCCTCGCCCTCCTCCTCCGCTCAGACATAATCAAATAACCACTCAAACAAGGTGGAGGCTCATCAGCCCGCATCATCCCTCACCCCCCTCCCTCTTTACACACACACACACACACACACAACAGAGAGGGGTGCATCACTGTGTTTGCAGAGAGGCACGGAGGAGATGGGGGAGAATTCGAGGGAGGGAAAACCGAAAGCGGGCTGCAGGACTGCGAGCAATGGAGGAGGAAGAGAGGAGGGAGTTTATAGCACGTTGAGTGAAGCATTGATAGCCGAGGACGCGTCATTAGGTCCTGCGACTCTGAACTTCTCGAGCTTGTCGGCATTCTTCTCCCTCTTTCCTCCCCCCCCCCCCCACACCCCTCCTCTCCTTCCTGGTCCGCACTCCTCCACGTCGCGTCTCCTCCTACTAATCTGGATTCCTCGCTTTCCATTCCTCCCTCGACCCACCGGCGAGTTCGCGGCGCACTGAGCCTATTCCTGGAGCTACCGCAGCCCCTCGCCGCACTGGTGTGTGTGTGTGTGTGTGTGTGCGTCCTCCTAGATCTATTAATACAGTCTCTACTCATCGCCTCCTCTCTCCACATCTGTATGACGGCTGGTGTCGGCGGGATGGTGTGACTGCCCGCAGAGAGAGAGAGAGAGAGAGAGAGAACCTCTATAAATATCTCAGCCACTCTTCTCATTTTTACTGCAACATCTGCAGTGAGACACGCTGACGAAAAGAGGACATGGCAGATCAGTCCGTGTGTGTGAGAGAAAGTCAATTAGTGACTCAATTCCACTTAATAATCTGGGGGAGGAAGGGGGTCGGGGGAGGGGGCGTGGGATAGTCCAACTTTCCAGGGGAAGGATATGAGAGCCAGCGCTTTGTTCCTGAAGTCCACCACCGAGTAGCTGCTGACCAGCGGGTCCACGAAGCCGATCATGTGGTGTCTGCAGCGGGCGCGCTCCTCAGCCGGCACCTTGTTGGTGATGACGTCGAGGCCCTGGTACACCTGGAGGGAGGGGGGGGTTAATGACAGCTTAATGAAATCACGCCAGAAAAAAGGACACGCATTTCGTGTCGGATTCTCATTGTCGGTGCGAGAATCCCACCGGCCAGAAAGCTACTTGGGCAGGAGATTAAAATGTGTGGAAGCGGTGATTTATGTGTGCGTTTATTCATGCAAGAAGCTGGTTGTTGTGGAGGACGAGGAGCGCCGGTTCTACGCCCGTTTCTATCATCGGCTCCCGGGTGGAATTTGACAGCGGGGTGTCGCATACAGGAGTCTGTCAAGATTCACTCTCACACACACACACACACACACACACACACACACATACACACACACACACACACACACACACACACACACACACACACACACACACACACACACACACACGTTCTACCTCTGGTTTGTAGAGGTCTTCTTCTGTCCTTTTATAACGTGTATATAACGTGATGCTGGGCCCATGGGGGAGAAGGGGGGGGGGAGGGGGGGTGTAACGGGACAAACAGGTCTGTGCAAAATGAGCTGCTTTTTTCCACATTCCCAGATCAACACAAAATGAAAGGTCCTCTCTGCAGCGTTAATGTTGGGACAAGGCAGCAGTGTTTTCAACCAACCCTGCAAGCAGCTGCCATTTTTTGCCAGGAAATAAAATAAAATGGTTTTAGCTAAAGTTGAAAGACTGTAAAATCAATGGGAATTCAAACTCATTCACTGTAAACTGCATGTTTTAGGTTTTTTTTAAGTTCATCGCCAGCTTCAGTTTTAATGCAAGTGTTGCCTGAGCACTTCTGGACCAGCTAACCTGTATTTATTTCATATTTTCGGGGCAGAGGGAAAGACAAAAAACAGACTAAAAGGAAGTGGTCAGTGTTCACAGCATGAGGAGTGGAAGCGTTTCGGTTCTGCCCACATCCTCTTGGACCCCCCCCCCCCACCCCACCCCCCAACAACTGAGTAACAGCAGCTTCCTGTCATCCTTTAAAGAAATAAAAAGTAAAGAATGTTTAACCCAACGTACGTGCGCCGCGGTGATCGATACAGCCGTGAGGGTTATTGATCACATCGCTGGTGAAGGCGTTGGCGTGTGGGTTGCGTGTGCTTCGCCAGCGGTGGGGAGGGGGGCACGGCGGGGGGACCGAGCCGGATAAATTATTCACGACATCTCTGCACGACACCACTGTCAGCCTAGGGAAGGTAGGGGAGGTGGGGGAGGAGACGGTGGGGGGGGGGTATGGTTGGATGGAGAAGAGATGAAATGAACCCCTGGAAAGAGTCTTTTTTTGGAGAACCTTTTTTGTATTATTTCTGTAAAAAGCACCGGAGAGGACGAGAGGACTAGAGGGGGGGCGGGTGCTTGTTCAAGAGGACAGGATGCTCCCCGCCAAATTTGCACATTTTATCCTCCCATCACTACGCTCCCTCCCTCCTCACGGACGGGAAGCAGGAGGATGGCGAGAACAAGACAAATGGAGACCCTCAGAGAGAAAGAGGTTGGTATCTGATTAATCTGTGTGTGTGTGTGTGTCTCATTTTGAGGACACTCACATGACGACGGGACAAAAAGATCTATTTAAAAAGCACAAGTTATTTTTCGTTCTCTTCCGTCTTGCCTCAGAACTCTTCTGTGCAGAAGCGTGTGATGTGGCTGGAAGCTACAGAACAGCGACCGAAGGCCCCGTTTGCAGGGAACGCCGCTCGCTGATTGGTCGAATACCCACGGCGCCGCTGCCTCGACTTTATTCATAAAACAAGACCTCCACTCGTGATCGGTTTAGGACGAGGGGAGGTCTTTTTGAAAAATCATTTGAAAAAATCATTTGAAGTAAACCGGGGCGTTTTACGTGCTAAAAACACAAATAAATAACCATCCAAACACGCAAAAGATCATTAAATGATGCAGGAGGAGTTTCCTTCTCGTCTTCTGCATTTCATACGTTGTCCCATCTGCATCAGTAGAAATTACAGTTCTTTGAGAAGTAAACCCGGGACAAAAATTGACAGGAACTTATGGCTGTTAAAACCCTTTCTCCATCCTTTCTCCACCCTTTCTCCAACGCTCGCGACCAAGAGCGTGCAGGGTAAATCAGAAGAATGAAAAGAGCCACTTTGGTGGAAGATATATGCTTTGAGGTGGAGCTGTAATTGAGAGGAAATGAGGGAGACGTCTCTTGTCGGAGTGGAAATTGTAACAGAAACGAGCTACAGATCGCAGCGATTTTCAGCGATGCAGCAGTGATGAAGTCGTGAAGGAATAAACTAATCTACCCAGCTAATCACGTTTACACGCGCCCCGTGGAGGGAACTTAAAAAGGAAATGTCACAGTAAAAGAGGATGAACGCCTTACCCACATCAAAGGCTTGGGAGCAAAAGCAAAGGGAGAATTGATTACTGCCGCGTCGTTCTCTGACGCCGCTCATATTTCACGCCCTCTGAGCTAGAAAGCGCTTCCCTTCTAGGAGGCGGTCAGGTGTTTTAACTGGGAAAGGGACGGAACAAGTCATCAGAATCGAAGAAGATTCCGATGTCATCGTGCCGTTTCATCTCATCGCCGATGAAGACGACTCCCGGGGCGTTTTTTTTTTTCTGAGAAGCGCGTCGCCCCGGTCGGCTTTTCCCAAATTCACCCGTCATAATTCACGGCCATCAAGCGTGGCTTCAGCTGCCTTCTCCTTCCTGTCTCGCTTTAAATGGACGTGACTGGATGTGACCATGTGGCTTGTGTAAGGGGGTGCGTGCATGTGTGCGTGTGCGTGAGAGAGAGAGACACAATGAGCTCAGTGTTGGAGCTCTGCGGCGCCTGCAGCCAGCCAACCTTCTGCCCTGCACGAGACAGCTGTTCCTCTGCCACATAAATAAGGAGATGTGTGGAGGGAGGGGGGGTGAAAGAACGAGGGCAAGAGAGAGTGAGCGAGAGAGAGAAACTCGTGGGGACAAGAAATAAGGGTCAGAGAAAGCGACACTGCAGATCTTTCAGTGCGTCCTTTCGCCAGCGTTGGAATTTCACATGCAGAGATTTCTCACTCAAGACGCCCAAAACCGACCACACCACCAACGGGCTAAAAGAGCTGGTTTTCCCTGATAATTATTTAGGCATGCAAATGCCGATGATCCGGCTGTATGATCCGTATTGACTAGGGTTGCAAAGGGGCGGAAAGTTTCCACGGGAATTTTGGCTCGGGAATTTGGGGAATTTTGAAAAAAACGTTTTTTTGCAAAAGCATATAACAGGGAACTTAAATGTAGTTGAGAACAAGACTACGCACGCCTGGCTTAGCTGGACCCTGAATGAAGCTGGTTGGGAACATTGTCTGCCAGAAACATCCACGTAAACCAGTGGCGATTTTAGGCTGAAATTTCTGGTGGGGCAATTTTGTATGACGTCATGTCACCGTCACAAAAACAGAAGATGACGACGAGTCAGATGTTGAGGATGTGGACAGTGAGGAGTACATTGATAAGGTCCAGGAAGAAAGCATTTAGACTTGAAAGGATTCAGGGAAAAACACAAAAAAAATTGGGGTTGGGGGTGGTGATTTTTTTATTCAACGTTCATGTTTTTGTTGTTCGATGAAAGAATAAAGTTCTACTCACAAAATGTCAAAAAAGTACAAAATGTCATTTTTAAAAGTTGTATTATAAATGTTTGCATGCAGGTCTGCTTATGAAAAGTTAAATACAGTTAAATTACCCCGAAATTTCCCGTTAATTCCCGTAGAAAGTTTCCAACTTTGAATATTCCCGGAATTTTGCAACCCTGGTATTGACACAAATACGGTGTTCACATCCAGTCGGTTTACTCAAAAGACATTCTAGTAAACTTACTTGCCGTTATTTATGAAGCTACCTCAAGCTAATGGTTTGTAGCACAAAGATGGGCTTATGCAAGGAAGGTCCAAGTCAGATAAGTTGCTTTGTAACTGAAATCAGAAAGCATGTCCAGCTGCCATATCTGAAACCTTGCAGGAGATCTCGTCTCATGCCACAGAGTCATCACCCCGTTTGACGGGAACCTCCAGACTACTACCAGAGCAAGTGAGCTCAGCATCGGGATGGAGAAGGGTGAATCAGGGCATCCCTTTAATCATCACACAATAAAGAGGCCCAGAAGGTGCTGAAGCATTTCATTCATTGTTTGGGACTCACGAAGACTCCACTCCAATGGTGTTTGTTCTCGATGACGGTACCATTTACTGTACGATACCGTTCTCACCAAAAACAACATTGCGGAGACACGGGTGGTTGCGTGAGGCGACAGGATATTGGACCCGCTGGAGAAAAGGTCGGATCAAAAACAATTGCTTCGTCCTTGTTCTGACCCGAGGACACATCCAACCAACACGCTGTAGGCTGCGACGCTTTGTTTTTACCCTTCCCTCTGAATCGCTTTCTCGATTACACCCGGCACAGAGCACCTATCCGCTCGTTTGCTTTTTATTTCACCCCCTTCTATCCTTTGCCCTCAAGGCACCATCCTTCAACAATGTATCCCTCCATCTCCCTCTGCTCTCCCTGTGGGGAACGGCCCAGTAATGCCAGACTAATAAATCATTCATGGCGTTGTTCCACCCCTCCTCCTCCTCCTCCTCCTCTTCTTCCATCCTCCTCTCCCTCGCTGCTCTACTGTAGCCGTGGTGACCGCATCACCACACCCGCACCCACGACTATTTACGCACACACACAGAAAATAAAGAGTTAATGAGCCTCTCTGGCTCGCTCCCACACGGGCTTACGTTACTTCAAAAGATGCCTCACAGATCGGATGTGGGAGACGGCAACGCCTGAGCAACGGCACTAACAGATACGTCAAAGCCCAGACAGGTCACAGCCACACCAGACACGCACAAAGACACCGGGAGGGGGGAGGGGGGGGAGAGAGAAGGAGAGGGAGGGGGGGTGACCGGGATATAACACGTAGCTGCAGAGTATGTGATGTGTTTAATACGCAGATAAGCAGTCGGTGTCGGTGCGGAACAACCTCTGGCCGACAATGAGAGTACCTTTGAAAAAGAACACTCCCCCCCTCCCCTCTCCCCTCCCTCCCCCGCAGCGGTGAAATCAGTCGGCTGCACCATTTCCAAATTTACGACTTAAAAGGCAAATCGGCCCCTTTTGTGCTTTTACAACAAGACCTCCTCTTTTATGGCGCCGTCGAGGGTCGAGATGACACATGGCCGGTTTCCTGCTGCGTCGGCCAATTTCTCACATTCAACACAAAACCACACGCCACACAAATTGTCCGCCTTTCTTCACCTTCTTTCACGGAGGCGAAAAGAGCAGAAAAGGGGACGGGGGTCGGCGTGCACCGATGGGCGCAGCAGTCCCACCGGCTGTAGAGGCGGTGCATACGTGTGCGTGACCCTAACCCTAACCCTCGGATGGTCCTTTCGGCGTGACACCACACAGCCGCGCCTCCACATAACTCAGACACGCCCCTTTTTACTCCCCGCTGTGAAACTATTCAGTGGGGGGAGGGGGGGGGCAATGTGTTTGGTTAATGCGCTGGGCAGTGACAGTGAGTGAGGATGAGAAAATGTGCTCGGGCACGACAAAGAAACATGCACCGTCTTGTTTGGAGGGATGAACGTGTTGAATAATTCAAATGTTTCCTCAAGTGTGAACAAATTCAAGCTGCTGGTGTTTTGGGATTTTAGCCAATTTATTCATAATCTGAGTAGACTTTGCACTGCTAATGACTAAATTAAATTTCCTAATTTCAGCTGCTTTCAATTAATTTATCTACTCAATGAAATTAACTTAAAAACCAACCTGAAAAAACTAAACTATCTGAAACTTCACTGCCGTTAATGTCAATATTTAAAAAGGCCCCTGCTCCAAATGAAGCGGGTAAACGTTGGTCTGCAGGATTATTGCATTTATTTACATACATTTGTCACGTTGCCCGCTCTGGCTGAAACAGTTGCGTAGCCTTTCGTAGTAGAACCCTGCACACGTCACCCGCGTGTCCTGAGCTCTGTCCCACAGTGACAGAGATTATATCAATTACTTAAAACGTGATAGGTTTGCCCAGCTCTCCTATACATGCACACATTTTCCCATAATTCCGAATTCTAGGGTGTGAGAAAATGGTGACGTTTTTGTTCTGGAAGCCTCTGAAGGGGAACCCCCCCCCCCGCTGGTTCCTGGACCCCTTCTTTGGGAACCTCGGGTTTACACTACTTGGCAGTGCCTCATTCACTGACAGTACAGCAGAGCTCTTGTGTGTGTGCCATAGATAGCATGTTCATTTAATGAGTGGATAATAATATCCCCCTCCATGTCCAATGCACTGGGGGTTGAGGGCATTGGCCAGGGGCAGGGCGGGGGGCAAAGGGGAGGGGTGTGTGTGTGGGGGGGTATAACACAATAGGAGTGTTGGGGAGTGTGGGAACCGATTCTCCCTGGGACAATAGGCCACTTCCCAGTGGCCACAACGGGCCCATTCACTATCAGCTGCAGGGCCGGCGTAGCGCGGCGCTGAATAATATGCACCAGCTCAGCACAATGCTGCTTTCTCCCAAACAAGACCAGACTGTTTCCTCTCCCAAAGACAACACAGGCCAGCCCTAGCCTACACACAGTCCCATTCTCACACGGGCAGTCGATGTGTCTGCATCGCTCTCTCGCTGTCACACACACCAGCGGGAGGGCGGCAACAACGGCGGGGATTGTGGGGATTGGACCGGGGCTGCCGTGCCACAAGTAGGCCACCGGTTCCCTCCGCCAGCGCCGCTGCTGCCAGTCGGCGAGATATTCTGGGCTGAAATGTTATTAGTGTAACCCAGTTTACCCAGTTGGCAGCTGGAAGAGCAGCTCCGCTGCCGGACGCACCCTCAGGGACCCTCGCACACGCACACACATGACGACGACGACAAGCAGGAGGGGGAAGAAAGATGGGGGGGAAACAGGAGCAAGGTGATGAAAGACCCGAACTCCATGTGATGAATTCTACCGTCAAAAGGAATAAGCGCTGGCCGATTTGAACTTGGTGTGTGTGTGTGTGTGTGTGTGTCCCTAGAGGGGTGTGACCCAAACTCAAACCTGTGCACAACCTTTTCTTTAGTGCACGTGCCCTGGGGTTGCTGTGGCAACGCAGCCTGAGAACCAAAAAAGAGAGCGAGCGGAGCTTAAAGGGAGGAAAGAGGAGCATCCCTGAGTATTTCTTAAATGTCACTGCTTTGACAACACACATACGCACAAACACACACAATCCCACACACTAGTGGAATTTAAAATGTACATTTTCAATAAAGCTTCCCGTTGGCCAACATCTCTAAGATCTCCCTCATTGTCATATAAATGCTTAAATTACTTCCTGTCATGTTTGCTTTTTTTTTTAAAAGACAGAACCAATAAATATCTTGATAGATGTATTCATTGTATTCATGGTTCATTGATACTTTGATTTAAATAGCCCAGAACCTTTTATATTGCAGTATCTAAACAAATAATTAATAGTTACATTTTACCGACAACGAAAATCTGAGAGGGCATTTTAATGATTGCCACCGTATTTATCAGCTGGGTAAAGTACAATTTATTTGAAAGTTGCAGAAGGGGATTATTTTTGTTTATACTCACTATTCAATAACTTTCACATGTCTTTGTATTTCATCAATACACTTTGTAATTACCAATGCTGTCTGGCTTTTGCAGTATAGAACATTATAGCCGATAAAGCATGATAAAGAAGTTACTTATTAAGAGTTTTCACTTAATGCCAAAACATATTGAGCTGCAACGCGCCATCGGATGGAGTATTTCATGTCTCTATTTTCTTTCCAGTCTGAACGACCGAAATGTGTTTATCTTTGCTTTAAATGACATGATTCATTTGTAGAAATGATGTATACATGTCTGAGGTGAGGTTGAGTGGCTGCAGACCTTTCCGTCGTAGAGCGATAGTCGCATAATAGTGACACAGCCTGTTAGCTAGATTGCTAATTGCTAAAGCTAAGTTGCTAACAGGCTGCGGTCTTGCTCGGAGACCGTTTCGCTGAATAAAACCTCCTCATTCAGAAACACACAGTTAGTCCACCGTCTGATCAATTGTATGCGGGTCTCCGGCGGGTTAAAACTCGGCAGCAGGCGACTTTATTCGGGTTTACTCGACTTATTCTAGCGTCATCCGAAGCATTATGGCCGCCGTGTCGAGGGCTCCTCGTTTCCTCGCCTCCTTTCCTCCTACCTGCATGGAGTCGGCGCTGATTATTTCTCCCTGAAGCCGCCTGCCGATCTCGATCGCCAGCTTGGACTTCCCGGTGCCGGTGGCTCCCAAAATCACCACCAAGGACGGGACCATCGCTGGCCGAAAGGCACGCCGCACGCTACCAGCGGACGCCGCCATGATGCCACTATCCCCGGCGCCCAGCTGACGGCACCGCGCACGCGCAGAGGGCGCAGAGATGCGAGGTGGGCTGCGTTACTAGGCAACAGGCAGCCGTTACTGTGGCAACGGCGACTGATGGGGTTTTCATCTCGTGAGACTTAATAAACGTATTTGAAAGTCGTTGGTAAATCTGGGCTATTTGCATGCTAATGAAATTGATTAATACGAGATTAACAACCTCCAGTCAATAACTTCTAGGAGATTAAGCATCTCGCTTTATTGCTGCAGCCTGTTGGGTTGCATTTATGAAATGCCTCTACATGGAGGAATCGCAGTATATTTATATTTGTTTCTATGGAAACTGCCGGGGCTCTGCAGCAGAGAGCGTAGATGCCCGTTGCCATGGCAAAGATGCCAGGATCAGTTGCCTTGGAGACCGCTCAGCGAAAACTGCATATGGGGAGATGCGCGTTCACTCATACACGAAGATTATTCTTGTGGCGGGAAAGAGACAAATATAAGGCACACATGTTATTTCTGATGTCAAACCATGTATTTATTATTTTTCTGACTTACTCTTCTTACATAGAGGCTTATGGAGGTACAGAAAAAAAACAAAGTGCTGAAACAAGGCTCCAAAATCACCATTTTTAATCTCTCAAAGTAAGAAAACATCCACTGCTTCCGTGACAACAAGCAGAGACCAGTGATCTGATACAAGTCAGACAAAAATTGAAAATTGTGCAAACCATTGCGTTTGTGGCACCACTATAAAGAGAGAGTGGGCGGGGTAGGCCAATGGTGGTCTGTGCTGAATTATTTAGCGAAAACTATAGATTTAAGGGGACATTAAGGACAATATCCTGAGTCCCCTGATCCAACGGTGTGTTTCTGTGTGTGGGTCTCAGCTTGTGTTACATATACAGCAGATTAAAGCGGCGTGGAGGGGGTGGGTGGCTGTTTTTCTCAAGCACAGTTTATGGCCCAATCACAAGAGCTACAGGCTACGTGGGAGTTTCCTGAGTGCTGGTAAGATCAGAGCATGTTACTTGTGACGGAGTCATTTACAGTACTAGTTCAAGGGCTACAGTGTTCAGTCGCATGGCTTATGGGAACAATAGGGAGCAGCGACAGCAACAACCAAAAAAAGCAGTAACGTCACTAAAGGCTACACACAGCCAGAAGTTTAATCGGTAGATCCTCTTAAGTCCCCCCTCCCCCACCACCAGCTATAGTGATTGGATTGAGGAATTTCAGGTGTTTCCCGAAAGCGGACCGCACACGCCAATGTTCAGCACATAACCACCAATAGAGCCCTGCCAGGCGCAATAACCAAAACAGTCATTAGCTCACACTGAAACACAACTCTGTAGGAAAATATAGTATAAAACTTTTGTCAACTCTTGACTTGTACAAATAAAATAAACCCCAGTGACAAAAAAAAAAAATGTACTGAACGGTAAAGACGACAAGTAGGCATTGCAACAAAAGCAAATCCAAAAACAAAGTGTCTAGTGTGATCAATGTTTCGTAAAGGTTTTATTTTGACTTTTTTCATAATCATTTTATTAACAAAAATAGAAGCTTCGAGTTCTCTTTGAAAAGCCAGTAAGGTTTAGGGCCGAACAAAAACTAGGATGAGTATAGTAGACAGCTCTGGTTTTGGTTGGGACTGTACAGTAAGGGTTAGTCTACGTACGTTGAAAGGCTTTTAAAGGCATTACATCAAATGCAAAACAATTTACAAATCAGACCTCATTGGGCTTCATCTCAAAAGCAAAAGTTGGCATTTTTGGATGTTGCTTAAACGAACAGAAAAAGCGAGTCGAGAAAACAAAATTAGAAAATGAAAAACGAAAAAGTAAAAAAAGCATAAACTAGGCACAACTCCATAACTAAATGTGCAAGCTGTCTGTGTGCCAAGCGCCAAGGAGCGAGAGACTGCAGAAGAAAAACGGAAAGCGAAGGAGACCATCGAGGGGAAACGTCGGTGTCCTGAAGACAGACGGAAAGAGGAGACGTCTCCGCTGTGCGACCGCACCTCCAGCCAGGAGACATCTGACCAGAACATGCAGCGGTCAGACAGCTGGACGCCAAGATGCCGCATTGCCAGCGAGCATCCCCGCAACAAGCGACAGTTTTCAGCAAGGGGGGGGGGAAATAGAACAGTTCTAGACTAAATCTACACTGAATAGCCATGGACATATTAATCTGCCCGTAAGATGCCCCGGGACAATCGGTCCTGAGCTCACTGTCCTGTCCGGCCCGGCTTGCGGCCTTGTCAATCACTCAGAAGCTAATGTGCAAACCAACAAAAAAAACAACAAACAAACAAACACAATAAATCCACCCGCACTATTCCAACGTGACCAAAAGTGAACAGTAGTGTCTCTCCTCCTTCATGTAGTCCAGTCCAGCGTTCACATGTGTGCCGCGGCGCCGCCGCTCAGGAGCGCTTGAGCAGAGCCAGCCTCTGCAGCAGCTGCAGCTGCCTGGACTTCAGCTGCTTCCTCTCCTGAGCCTTCTGCCTCTCGCCGGCGTGCAGCTGCCGCAGGTACTCCGTGGCTCGCGTCAGGATCGCCACCTTCGGCGTCTTGGGGCAGTTGGCCAGGCCCGGGATCTCGTCCCGCAGCGACAGGAACCGCGAGCGCAGGTCGTTCCTCCGCTTGCGCTCCAGGAAGTTGTGCGCCTTGCGCTTGTCCGTGTCCTCGCAGTCCGAGGACTGCGGGCTGGAGAGGTGGGAGAAGGAGTGGGGCTTCGACGGGGAGCTGTGGGAGTAGAGGGTCGAGGAGGAGGAGGAGGAAGATGAGGAGGAGGAGGAGGGAGGGGACGAAGGCGCAGAGGAGGAGGTAGGGGAGCAGGCGCCGAGGTCTGGCGACTCCGACCGGACCCCGGCGGACTTCCGGCCGTCTAAGTTCAGAGGGGCGTGGCCGGGCCGGGGCTGGTGGGAGTGCTGGTGCGGCTGGGAGGAGGCCTCCTGCCGGACCCTCTTCCGGGGCGGCTCGACCGGCGGTGGCGGCGGCAGCGTGTCCGGGGAGGGGGCGGCGTAGTTGTGCTGCTGCTGGTGTATGGAGATGTGGAAACGCTTCATGCCGAGGTCCAGCGGGTCCGCCCGCACCGTTATGGTCACCGGTGTGCGAGCGTTGACCAGTCGGCGCGGTTTGCGCTGCCGCTTGTGCTCCACCGTCACCACGTCGATCTCTTCTTCGTCCTCGTCTTTGTCATCCTCGTCATCTGAAGGAACAGGAGGGGAGCAATCAAACGACGCGTTTTTAAAATTTGGCTGAAAGCGGAAAAATAAAGCTCAATGGGAGGAGCCAAAAACACACCCAGTCGCCCTTAAACCAATGAACTGTTGACATCCTCAAAGCCTCACACACCTTCAAAAGGTGATCGGCTGTAAAGCCCCCGGGTGCAAATCGACATGTCACAATAAGACCACGGATGTTTAACTCTGCGCACGTCTGAAGCCATTTAGCTGCCCGAGTCGCTGGAGCAGAAACAAGGTATTAAATATGAGGAAAGGTCTTATTGACTTTTCAGTACTCTCAACGGAAACCCACTTTTAAAGTAATTGCCCCCCTGAGCCCTTGAATGCTCCAGAAGAAGAAGTCATCTCTGTATGAATAACACACCAAAGTGGGGGGGGGGGGGGGGGCACCCGCCTATTATGTGCAACAGCAATTATAAGACAGCAAGATGTAATCTCATATCACAAGGCACACAGAATTGATTCCCTCAAGTGGCCGTATATTAGAGCCGAGGGCGCACATGCGTTTCCAATGACTGCTCGAGCGCCTCTTCTTTGAGCGCGCATTATCCCCCCCGTAATGGGGCACAATGCCGCCTCACACCCCGCGTCAAGGAATTCTGCACGCCTAGCCGACCTCCCTAAACGGCTAATCCCGCTCCATTCACAGCCCGGGCCGGCCCGGATCCACCCACTGGCACAATTGGCGCTGCAGCCTGTTGAGCGGCGGAATGCAGCAACAAGTTCCCCATTGTGGCATTCCACACACACACACACACACACACACACACACACACACTTTACAGAGCGGGAATGGCAAAAGTAAAAGCTCTGGAGTCGTCATGTGGCAACTAACTATACTAAAAACAGGCTTGATTATTCTTCCCTTCCATGCAACATCAGGTTCAAACATGAATCCATCCCAAATGTGAGGGGGGGTGGAAGAGAGGATATTGTTATCATAAGACTGGGAGACAGACAGGGAGCAGCTGGTCTGCTGGAGGCCGGCCAAGCAGATGTTTCAATGGGCGTGTCGGCTTGGAGCTTCAAGCATGTGTTGCATGCACCCAGGTAACGCAATGCAGTCATGTGCGGGACAACGATCAATCACAGCGAAATATTTACTCTGTTAGGAGAACAGAGGAACTCGCACAAAGCTCCATTCAAACAATAAAGTAGATCTTGCTTTTGGAAAATTATTAAAAACACCAGGAGGAAGCTTCCATATAAAAACCGTGTCGTGGTGTTTAAACCACCAATAAAGTATCTCACACACACACACACACACACACACAAGGCGTTTACCGCATTACACATTCGGACCGTTACCGACCTGATGAGTCGGTGTGAGACTCGGAACCGGAGGACACGGGCTTCTTGCAGCCCCCGGTCAACGGGAAGGTGAGCACCGCGGCCGGGTCCACGCAGTCCGCCGCCAGTCCGCTGGCGGCCGACGCGTCTGCGGGGGGACACTGCGCCCTGCCCGGGGAGGCGGCCGCGGCTTTGGCGGCGCCCGCCGTCCCGGGACAGGCGGCGCAGCGCTCCCCCACCACCCTCTCCAGCTGCTGTCCGGCGGAGAAGCCGCTCCACATGCAGTCCTGGATGATGATCGAGCTCAGGTTGCCGAAGGAGTCGCTGGACGCGCTCAGCTTGCAGGGAAGCTCCTGCTGCTGTTCGTCCTCCTGCCCCAGGAACTGAGACACCCACTCCAGCTTGTCCCCGAGCGACGGGCACAGCAGCCCGACCCTGCCCGGCCCCTCCACTGCCCGGATGGGGCTCATGGGCGGGGTCGGTACCAGCTCGAATTTCTTCCATATGTCCTCGCTGGGCGCCGTGGACTTGAAGAAATCCTCGTCCGGGTCGTGGTGGTCGTCGTAGAAATAATGTTGGTAGTGGTCGATTTGTTCCATGTCCCAGTTTTCATAACGAGGCGCGGTGGTGCTAATGCCCGGCATGGGGGCTGCAGGCAGGGTGGGGTGCTGGGGTGTTGGGTGGATCACTCCCTGCTCCCTCTGTCTGCGGAGAGATGGACAAACAGCTTTGTCAGAATTCAGCTTATACACCAAAAACATTCACCCATGCGCACAGTGGTTAATTAAATACTGTTTGTTACAGCTAAACACCGTCCTGGGATCAGCCCCGATGGCAAACAGTTAAACGCGGCACCTCCGGCCAATCAACCCAAGGTGTGCCAATTACTGGGTTCTTCTAAGGTCACCGAGAAAGTTAAGCAACTCGGAGAAGTTTCGCAACAGGGTCTCGTTACATAACGCGGCTTCAGTAGTATTCTGGGACAGAGAGGAGGCGGCGGGTTCTATTTTCTGCGCACTTAAATTAGATAGAACTAGATTAATTGGATAGACAGGTACCGGTCCTGCAGCGACAGCGTAGTCGGATGCAAAGGTGGTTTACTTCGCGCCTCCTCGGTGCAACTCCTTCCTCAGGATCAAAAATTCAGCCGCGCTGATCAGTTAATTGCGCAGCAGGCGCGCCGGGAAAATGCAAACTTCCCGAGGACCATTTAACCCCACGTAGTGCTGTTAAAACACCCTTTTCCCCAGAGAGGGCGGCGTGGAATAGAAGCGAGTTGTACCTGGTGTCGCGAGTGAAAAAGCCGCCTGCGTCCTCATAGATCCGCCGTGCGCAATATCGGTGTCCAAAAAAAAAAAAAAAATACCGGGCGCAGCGGCCACAATGAATCCTTAAGTGTGATCTCCCTTAAATGAGAGCGCTTCCACCGGGGCGTCTTCTCCAGGTTGTAAACGGTTGTTGTGGGGCGGAGGGCGGGGTGTTGCGAGGGGAGGAGGGGCGGGCGGGGGGGGAGGGAGTGAGGGAGGTAAACGAGTCGGTTTGGTCGCAGTCCCGCCGCGCAGAGGGGCCGGATGGGCTTCGGCTGCGGTCACTTTCTTTTGCCGACTACCGCACTAAACGGTCCGCGGGAAGGAGCGCTGGCTGTTATGCATAAAGGGCGGGGCGTAGTAGGAGAGCCACGCCCTGCGGCTTAAAGGCGCAGCACGCTCAAAAAGAAGAAGAAAAAAAAAAAAAACCGCGCTTCTGGTGCTCTGCAGAGGTGATTTAAAGGCGCTGGTTTTTAATGGGATCACAATGCTTCTGTGCTAATCAGCGCGAACTAATTAACACGTGTATGCGTGTTGTAATGCACACACACACAAAAGAGAAAAAAAAAGAGGAGGGCATCTTCTGCAGCGGGGGAAGGGAGGGGAGGGGGGGCGCATCTGTCCGGTTACAGTGGTCTCATCCAGCTGCAGTGTCCGATGCCGCCCATGCATCATCACAGTCTGTAATCAATATGTTGCTTGTGATGTGTCCCTGCCCCCCCTCCCCCCTCAGGGAGTTATTATGGAAGCAACCCTCAACACGCACACACACAAACACACGACTGCTGACTCTTGTTTTTCTTACCAAACGAAACTGTCCGTCTTGCCATTTTTTCTTCTTCTTCTTCTTTTCCTTTTGGATCTTCACTAAACTTTCGCACACTTGCTCTTGAGGATGGTGATTGAGAAACATCCTTTTTTTACAACTGCTCCCCTAAGGACCCCCCCCCCCCCTTCACACACACACACAGACACACCCTCCACCTTCCGGCTCGATTCAGAAGCAGACAGCAGGAAATCCTCGTTTGTCCACCTCATCGTCCCGTCAAAACTCAGACGCCTCCTCCTCGCCTTCATCTCTCCAACAAAACCCATCTTCTGTCAATCATCTTCTATTCTTCGTCTCCTCGGTTTTTGGCCTACTTCCCTCCTCGCTCTCCCAGCCCCCCTCTTGTGAGCTGCCATTCTCATTCACCCCTAATCACAAAGATCTTGACCCGACATGAAACAGGCAGAGCAGAGGGACGTGTCCCGGGAGAGATCACCGCGAAGACACAGACCTAACCGACTGCATCTTTCCCCATCTGTATCGCTTCTCTCTCTTTAGCTCCTTCTGCTCCTGATCCCTCTTTTTCTCGCCGCTTTCATCTCCTCCCTCTAACTCTTGGGCCTTGTTACACACTTTGAAATGCTTAATCTGCCTCCTCGCTTTGAATTAATCATCAAAGGTGCTCGGACCAGATCTTTCAAATGAAAAGAAAAGTTCTTTTTGGATCTGAAATACACAGATCAAATGAGATCCGCCCCCCATGGACCGTCCTCCCGCTTTTAAATTATTAAAATTGACAAAAGAATGCACTCACCCCTTTGTAAATGCCAATATATGATTTTGGAGATCTCGCCGTGCAGATCCTTACGTGGATGTGTGTAGCTGCAGTCTACAGATTAGGGATCCTCGTTCAAATGCAAATATGAGGGCCGGCTTGTGAGGCGCGATCAACCTTTGATCCATTCCCCTGTTTTTCAATACAACAGACATGCAGAGTCTCTTATTAGTGACACATTTACATTTACGATGTCTCAATGAAGTGACATCTGCTCCAAGGAGAAGCTATTAATAAATGGCTTCAAAGTTAAGTGTGTTTTTCGATATAACTGAAACCATGACAAGGGACTAACTTTCTTTACAGCTGAGGTTAAGCTGTAAATGTGAAGCTAGCCGGCAGCCAGTTAGCTTAGCATAGCACAACGACTGAAAAAAGGGGGAAACAGCTATTTAGGCTGCGTTCAAGTAACAAAAAAATATATATTTATATTTATATATTACTATCAACAAGTAAAGCAATTTATTTTACCCACATTAAAACTGAGCTGAGTAATAAGTTGAAGACCTTTTAAATAAATCACTGCGCACAGGTATTGAATAAATAATCCTTAAATAAAGAGGTTTCAGCCGCTCAAATACAATAGTTGCTGTTTTCCTCCCACACTTCCCTACTGAGCATAGAATTGTTTCATTATGGAGCTTCTAATCATTACATTAGATGAGACTAGACGAGGCCGTAACGATCCCCAGAGGCCGTCGCAGCAGCAGCAAAGTGCAGTTTATGATGAACGCCTCCATCATACGTAGTTTTGCAGATGATAATAAATACGTCGCTGTTGTTATTTAAAGAGATAGAACAGTAGTGAAGTAGCGACGACGACGGGTTCGCTTGAATAAACCTGTGTGTGTGTGCGTGTGTTTTAATCAGATTCACTTACTCTCATCATGCCACTCAGATTGAACACATAGAAATAGAAACATGTGCAGAAGCTCACCCTGGTCTCCCCTCCCGGGTCACCCTTCGCGCCACTCCTCCAACCGCCTCGTCTCCCCGCCCGACTCTGACCTTCCAGACGGATCAACGAACGCCTCGTCTGGGCGCCGCCCACCCGGCCGCGGCTTCAGGTCATGTAATTTGGGCGACAGGAGAGGAAAGGGGACAGCTGCTACCACCTGGATGGGGCTGACCTCGTGCTGACACGCACGCACACACACACAACACACACAGCCCTACACACAGAAAGTGAGAGCATCGTCTTCCAGGCCAGATGCTCATTGCGTGGAGCCATTGCACACAGGCACACACACACGCACACACACACACACACAACACTTGTTTTTTTTTTTGTGAACTTCCCTTTCCTTTTTGCAAACGTGGGGTATCATGTGCACGCATGGCTCCGTCTCGGCTCTGCACACCAACCACGGGCCAACAGGTTTGTGTAAGCAAGTGAGGAATGGATTTTAATCAGACAGAAACACGGCTAATGATTAGAGGTTATAGGAGAGACATCAAAGTGGCAGGAAATCTGTGGCACGTGTTGGAGGCTGAAGGCCGCGAGAGAGCATTCCTCAAAGCCTTTCGCATGTGAAGAACACACCGTCTCTGTTATGTTTAGACAGGTAAATCAACTCTCCGCGTACACGCGTGTGCATGTGTGAGCATGTGAGAGTGTGTGTGCGCGTGGAGCGCATAGAAAACCCAAATTACACGCATGCAAATGGCAGTGATTGACAAGCTGATGTTACTCAGTTGCTTCTCTTCTTTCCTCAGTGACTTTTATTGCATTCTGTGCAGAAATCAATTCAGGAGGAACAGGCTGTCGGCACAGACTGTACCCTGCAGAGAGAGAGAGAAAGGGAGAGACAGAGAGAGAGAGAGAGGGTGAGGTAAAGAGAGAGAGGGTGAGTGTGAAAAAGAGCGGGGTACATGTGTGTGTCAAAAAGCAAGCGAATAACAAGTGTGTACAGGAGGAGGAGAGCGTAATGAACGAAAGAAAGAGGGGGGTGTGAAGAATGTAGAGACAACTGGGGAGGGGGGTATTATGTAGGGAGTGGGGGGGGGGGGGGGTGACAGAAGCGGGTGAGAAGAACAAAAAAGCATCAGCATGAAGGAGATTTAGGGAGGTGAAGAGGAAGCAGCTCGCAGGAACAGACGTGAGGAAAACGCCGCAATTACATAACTGATATTTGGCAGGGCAGCGTTATTGAGCATCACACACACACACACACACACACACACACACACACACACACACACACACACGCACACGCTTTCAGTCTACACGGGCTACAGATAATCCCACATATATGAATACACACCATCCTAAATAAATACAAGCAAATAGCCCGATAACATTTGGTCTGTTTTGCATTTAGGCCATGTAACGTAAATGCAAACCAGTGTTCCCAGTGTTCCCAGTGTTACCGGTGTGTGTCTTTGTGCGGTGACTGGCTGAGGGGATTGTTTGGAGCGCGTCCGCAGAGGGAAACCAGGAAGGAGGTTGACCGGCCGAGTCTCCGGTCACGTTGAAGTTCGCCATTTAATCCTTTCTGAAGAAGAGGCGTTCCACCGGGACGCCGGTGTTTCCCCGTTGAGCATCGGGACGTCGGGACCCCCTCCCCGTGACGTTGGTGGGTGGGTGGGTCACATGCGGCGTCCAGATGGTGATGGTCAAACGCATTCCCTCGTGTTGGTGGATGGAGACTCCAGTCCCCAGATTATATGCTGAAGGAACAACGTCTCAAGCTGCCCGAACTTGTGATTTGACCAACTGGGAGCAGTAAAAACAGGCAGTAAACACAACATTGACACGTTGTCCCCTCATAAAGCTGTCGTGCGTCGATTGTCCTGGACCCATTTGGTGGCATTCTAAAGACGCCGGTGACTCTTTCGTGCCGTTAAAACTTTAGAAGACACTCACATTGTTCTCGCTCTCTTTTAGGAATCAGACTCGACGTTCAAGATTCAACATTCGACCCAAAACAGTTGAAAATCAAACCGGACTTTTAACGGAACGAAGGGATTTCTGTCGACCTTCATTGTCCGTCCTCAGCCAAACCTTCTGCACTGCACCCATCAACACATTAACCCCCTCCGCGTCACCACGCGTATCATTCTCATCAATGCTCCTCAGATCACACGGTTTGATGGAGGTCAATGTTATTCATCTAAAGCTCCTTTGGAGGCTTAAACCACTTCACATAACTTTGCACATTCTTTTTTTTCATGCTCTGAGTAATTCATGGCGATATCTAAAATAACTGAGCCACACATCCTTTCTCGTCCCCGTCTTTATTCTGTGTGTCTGAAAGTCAGTGATCTACACGCGAAACCGTTGGTCCTGGTTTGAACCCGGGACCTTCTCGCTGCGAGGCGTCAGCGCTGCCCACCACACCCCCACGCTGCCTCTGATGCCTCCTGGTTAGAATTGTTTGTTGCGATTCTTGTAATTGTTTTTCCTTTATTTGTCTTTGAGTAGTTGTGTTGTTTCTGCTTTTGCAGATTGCTTTCTGGCGACTCGTCTCAGGTCTTAATCTCAATGACACCGGCTGATTAAATAAAGATTTAATGAAAAACAACAAAAAAGATTGCACAGCTACACACCCTGCAGACACGGTGCCGTTTTAAATCCCCGGATGAAAGAGGAGAGTGATGAAAACAATGCGTACCCACTACATCCATCGTGAAGTAACATTAAAACGCAGCTTCTGGATACATCGCCTGAACAGAAGCACAGA